CCGGGCTATGTGTCTCAGCAAGAACCGGAAGCATATCAATCCGTCTGAAACGTGATCGGTGCCGACTTCTAAACCTTCTCAGAGATTCGGATTCTCTAGCAGGTCCATTACCCCAATCAGACCGAGCATAATTCGTTGCTGGCTCGAGAAATAACTCAGGGCCAAGACCCAGATTCAAATCCAGGTTCACTGTGCTAGATATTTCCTCACCCATCAATTAACAAAAAAAATGGACTCCTTTGTTATCCTGCTTGAAAAGAAAACACAATCAAACCTTATCTTATATAAAAATTAGACGAATGAGCATGACATGGAACCAAACAATTTAACACACAAAACCATAAACATAAGGATAAAGAACACACCAAAACTAAAACATACCATTAAACTCAACCATTTCAATAATCACTGTCAATGTATAATATAAAAGAACAAAATTTAAACTCAGCAGAAGAAAACGAGAGATTACCTACAGAAAATTTCCAGAGCCGGTTTATGAATTCTCCATTATTCAATCTCCAAAAGTCCTTTCGATGTAACAAAATCCCCAATCTGAAACCCTAAATCGCAAAATCCCCGTATGAAAAAAAACCCCCCAATTCTCAATTAAGATTAGAGAAAAGCCCTCAAGCTCTTGCCTTTAATCCAAAATTGAGGCAGAATTTGCAAGGAAAGCGTAAGAGAAGTCTGGAACAGAGAGGCTGAACAATCACGACCACGGAGAAGGAAAAGAATTGGTTTTAGACGATAAGCTCCGGCGAGGTTACTGTTGAGAACTCGTCAGCGAGCTTTTGGAAGTCCGATTCGTCAAAGGGAATTTTTCACCGATCAAATCTTTTCAATCGGGGGCTCTATATTTTAACCAGAGAGGGAGAGAGGGCGCGATCCTCTGTGCTCCGGTGTACACTAATGACGATATTCCACGGCGAAGATAACCTTTCTTCTCACCGGACGGCCCGGATTAGTTGACCAGATGCATATACAATTTTGGCTTTTTTATTTATATTAGTTTTTTTTTTCTTTACCTAAATTTTTTTAAAAAATGAATCACATCTATTTATATTGATTTGGTGAAAATATAATTAATTTCTTGGTTAAATTTGAATAAAGATAGGGATAATTCATTGTTTGATCAAAAAAAAAGATAGAGATAATTTATTAAATGTAATTAACAAAATTTATAACTTTACATAAACTAATTATTCATTTGACTAAAAATAACAAATACTAGTACCATTGTTATTGTTTTGCATAACAACTCTTTATGAATGTGAAGTATGATAAACAATATTAATATAAAGAAAGTGTCGATCGATCCACTTTTCCTTCGGTTTCATATTGTTAGATGTTTACACTCTTCACACATATTATAAAATAAAATAAAAAATGCAACACCTAATATTTATCTCTATCTTCAGTAATTAATTATTTTAATTTTTTATAGCTCTAACTAATAAACTATCATACACTTAATATAACATAATATCCCTCAGAATTGACTTTTTTAAGTTAATCTAATAAAGTTGTTGAAAAAAAAAACATATCATAAATTATGATTTTCTTATATATGAGTCAGGAATCAAAAATTCTTTGTAATATTTGAATATCGAACGGTTCCATAACGATTTCACAACCAACAATATTTTTTGTTTTTTTTTTTGTTTTTTTGAACACCCACAACCAACAATATTAATTATAAGTATTAACACACAAAATCACAATAGACGATTCTTCTATCAACAACATATTCATGAATTAAATTGAAAAGTATGTGACTGAACAAGGTGCACGTTAAAACATTAAGCTGGATTATTTCTAACCTACACCTACACCTACACGGCTTAATGTGACATGCTAGCCCAAAAAGAAGGTGAACAAATTTAAGAAAAAACTATTAGCCGTTTTCGGCTTAATCTGACATGCCAGCCCAATCCCACCAATTTCAATGGAGAGAGTGCAAGTGCAACATTGTCGTTCCTCTCATTTTTTATTATTATTATTTTTTTTTTTTTTTTGACACCTCATTTATTATTATTATTGTTAGTACTTAAAATTTGATAATGGGGAAAAATACAAATTAAATGTTGAACTTTTTCATTACGTCGTTTTTAATCTCCAACTTTTGCTGAAACGATTTAAATGCTGAACTTTCTTTGACTTTCCATTTAAATGCCAAATTTTGTTTGACTTTGCCATTTAAGACCCGACGTTAAGTCGATTAACGGAATAATTAAACGCTGATTAAATGCCGTTAACAGCTAGATTGAATTAAAACAATGTTGTTTCTAACATACATCAACACGTCGTTTTTTCAATTTACAAAACCCAAATTCGATTTCATTTGCCCCAAATCAAAAAATCCCCAAATTCATAACCCTAGAAATTGATTACACTTCGACAGCACACCACGGACTCCGACAACGTTCGATGTTATAGAACTTGAACTCATTATAACAAGTTGAGAGAATCACAAGAATGAATCCAAAAGAGAATGAGAAAATCCCAGAAGAGAATGAAAGAAATCTGAAGCTTTCGATTTCTAGGGTTATGGGTTTGGAGATTTTTTGATTTAGGGCAAATGAGTTTGATTGGGGTTTTGTAAATTCAAAAAACGACGTCGTTTATGTGTATTAAAACGGCATCGTTTTAATTTAAGAGGAACTGTTAACGGTATTTAATCAGCGTTTAATTGTTCCGTTAATCGACTTAACGTCGGGTCTTAAATGACAAAGTCAAACAAAGTTTGGCATTTAAATGGAAAGTCAAAGAAAGTTTAGCATTTAAATCGTTTCAGGCAAAGTTGGGGATTAAAAACGACGTAATGAAAAAGTTCAGCATTTAATTGGTATTTTTCCCTTTGATAATTATTTATCTCCATTGATAAACACATGTTTACAGGTTTCACATGACAAAAAGACACATCATATATGCTTATATTTGTATTGTATGAGGTAATGTATTAGAAATCAAAACAAACGAATTAATAAAAAAATGGTTAAGGAAAAGTTTTCCTTAGATCATTTGGAGAATCTAGAAAAACATGAACCTCTTTTTCTTTGAAGGGAAAAGATTCACAGTTTTAGAATCTGTTCAGAAAATCAAATCTGATGTGTAGGAATGGTTTTTGGCCCAGATTGTTCAAAGAGAGGACTCTTCTATGTCCACCAGTCAGGAAGAAGAGACTTCTGCATCTGTAGTTTCTGTGGAGAGTGTATTTGCTTGGACTGCCCCCTCCCATGGTTGGTTGAAATGTAATGTAGGTGTTGCTTGGTCGAGAAGAAATTCTTTGGCAGGTGGTGCTTGGGTTTTAAGGGATGAACATGGTATTGTTTTGCTTCACAGCCGAAGAGCTTTTTCAAACGTCATCGCTAAGGATGAGGCCAAATTACTCTGTCTGATTTGGGCGATTGAAAGCATCAATAGCCACCACTTAAACCAGGTTATTTTTGCGTGTGAGGAGTCGGAGAGACCAAATGCTTGGCCTTCCTTCAGATATCATGCAGGTGAAATTTGGAGAGCCCTGGGGCTATTTCAGGATTGGAGATTGGTGGTGGATTCTTCATCAACAAACAGAACAGAGGAGCTAGTCTCATCGCGAAAAGTGTAACCTCGGAGTGTAGGCTGCAGTCCTATGTAGCTTCGTGGCATCCGTTTTGGCTCAATACTTTGTTCGAAAATGAGAGAGTGTAATCCTCTGTCTATGCTTTTGGTATTGCTCCTATTGCTGCTCTTTGTTGAGAGTAATTTTTTGTAAAAGTCCTTCCCATTAAGGTGCTTAGTGTAGCAGTTCTCTTTGCTATGTCTCAATAATTTTTGTAAATTTCTTTTTTTTTTTTAATAACCGCGGGTCTTCCAAAGACTTCCTAGGTCCAAGGATTAATCCTACGAGGCTGACAATTCCTCTATGTAAACCTGCCAGTGGTCGTGCCTCGAACCCTGGTGGCGGAAGTCACAGTTGTGACCCCTTTACCACTAGGCCACAAAGTCCGGTTAATTTTTGTAAATTTCTATTATCCTTTGAGATTAATATAATCCATCAGATGACGAAAAAAAAAAAAAAAAAAAAAGGGTGAAAATGGAAGAAAATGGAACATCAGGGGTCGTTATGAAATGATGACATGTTAAAAGGACCCACAAATGAAAGCCTACGGATAAAACTTCTCCCCTCACCCACTCCCTCTCTCTCTTTCGTCCAAGCTGGCAACGATGAGAGTCACCGATTACCTTCTCTCCCGGTTTCCCCGCACATGCGCCATCCACTCTCCACGTGCCTCCCTCCTATAATTCTCTTCTTCTTTTTTTTTCATTCAAAATATGAGAATACTCAACGCAAATCACACCTCACTTTCAAGAAATTTATATGCCATGGACGTTAATTACCAATTTTTTTCTTTTGCTTTCTAGATGTATTGTTTTTAACTATTTATCTTCAAATCTGTTTCATATATACACAAACATTTGTTTAAAGTGTACATGAATTCATTAGATTTATTACATCTCACATTATACAAATATGTAACATGGTTTAAAAGTACTGGAGTGAGTTGTCGATACCAAATTATATCCCAAATCTTTTCATACGTGAGGCTATTTTGACAAGAAATGGTTATGTAAAAAATTGTCATGTACATGTGTCTCTATATAGTATATTATTATAGTATATGACTCATTATAATTTCAAAAACTCAATCTTAATGACCACTTAAATATGCATGATCTTTTACCATTTTAGTTGTTAACAAACAACTATAAGAAATAAAATAAAATAACAATATATTTAATACATAAACATATTATCTTTTACTTTTACATCTTATCGTTATTTTTTAGCTATTCTGTTTTGCATCAATCTTAAAATAATTTTATCGTTTTGTATTACTAATCAGACATGTTATCAATTACTTTCAATAAACAGATTCATAACTTATTGAAAATATTAGTCATTCCTACGGGCTCTTCCTCTCTCAATTTACTACTAACTTTTTTTTTGTTAAAGAATTTACTACTAACTTGCTTTTTGGGTGCAACAAAACAAAAAAAAAAAACAAAAAAAGAGAGTTAGAGATAGAGAGAGAGAAAAAGAGCTCACAACAAGAACACAACACCACCCACAAAGCCTTCTCCTTTATTTTTTCCCAAGTCCGTGTAACCAAAAACAAAAAAAAAAGATTACTCTCTTAATATCTGGGTTTATACTACAGTCCTTCTTTGGTGCAAAGATCCCAAAAAACAAAATCGAAAGATTTGAAGAGAGAAAGAGCAGAAAAGAAAAGAAGGAAGAATCTTTTTGCTATATCTCCCGATGAGGATCCGGAAACGACAAGTGCCTCTTCCTCTTGCGTCTCTATTACCAGTTCCTCTATCAGATCTCTACTTTAACCGCTCACCGACGGCCACCGCGAGATACTTTCGCGGTGGTTATAGAGACGGAGGTGAAGGTTTTGGTTCTCTTCACCTTTCGCTTCCGCCGCCGTCTCCGATTTCTGATCGGCTGATTCAAAGAGATTTGATGAAGAAGAAGGAGGTCGAGGCTTTGGTAAGCTTTTAGTATTGACCAATTTAAAACATTTAATTCATTTTTATCGATAGATTATTAAAAATTTGGATTTTTGGGTGCAAGTTTGTGTTGTGTCTGAAGACCGCACTTGACTCTTTTTTTTTTTTTTTTTTTTTACTACCTATTTGGTTGTGTGGGAATAATTGGTTCAATTTTACACCATGGAGAATAACAGTTCTCATCTGCAGATCTTATTACAAGAAATGTTCAATTTCGTTCTCTTTTGTTATGTTTTGTTTTTCTATAAGGATGATAATGGTCGTGATGGTGATGTAGAGGTGATGAGTCGTACTGATGCATCGGGCAGGTATGCGATAATTCGATAAAGATTTCTTCTTACAATTTCCTTCTCTTCTCTCATATATAACTTTGCGTGGTGTAATTACTAATTATTTAAGATCCAAGCTTCGAAAAACCCAACAGTACTGAAACTGGATCAAAATCAAAACTCTTTTAGAGCTATAAAGATTTTCCTTATATGTGAATTGTAATGTTTTGAAGATATATGAATGATCAGGTTGGATCTAATCCTTTTCTTATGGTTTTATAACCGTTACTCTTCTCACACTGTAAACATTTGGGAATATATACATGGAGTAGTTAGGGAAGAGTAACACAATAATACTCATCTCTAAACATGCACACCTCATGACGGTGCACGTTAGCATGGGATACTCTTATACGAATGGTCCCATATCGACCCTTACCTTGTGTGTGTGCTCTATTATTATCATTATTGATTAATTGTTATTTTTTCTTGCACTCATAATATAGATCGCTTTCATCTCTTTATAAAAAATCTGATTAAATTCTTTGTCCTTCTCTTGCTTCAAACAATCGCAGCAAGAATGCTAATCTCCGAGGAGAGTCCGACTCTTCAACACAAGGTATGCATAGTGCTTGATCAATATATGTATTTGGTGAACTTAAGCCTTTGTGTTTTGGTTGCACCATTCACCTTTGGATAAAATATATATGATAGTTGTCGAGAAGAACGAAAAGGTTGCGTCTTTGAGGAAGAGAAGAGGCTTTATAAACTTTGAGGATTACGAAGATGAGGAAGATGAAGAAGCTAGTGGCGGTGGAGGCGGTAATAAAGGGAAAAAGAAAGGGAAAAAGAATGGTGGTGCGTTAGAGGAAGGATCACGGTGCAGCCGCGTTAACGGTAGAGGATGGAGATGTTGTCAGCAAACGCTTGTTGGTTATTCTCTTTGTGAGCATCATCTCGGTAAAGGAAGAGTAAGAAGCATGAACAAGAGTGGTGGTGGTCGTGGCGGCGAGAAAAAAGCAGTGGTGGTGGAAGTGAAGAAGAAGAGAGTGAAGCTTGGGATGGTAAAGGCACGTTCAATAAGTAGTTTGCTTGGACAAACCAGCTCTAGTGGTGGTAGTGGTGATGTTGAGGGTGAGATAAGTGCACCTGCTGATCAGTTTGCTGCATGTGATAAGTAAGTCTGTTGATCAGCATTTGCATGTATATGTTTATGTACATTGTACATGATGATAATGAACATAGCTCTATGTATTGGGTGTGTGAACATGTGTGTGTAGATGGATTGAAGACTTAATTGGCGTTTGCTGCTCTTGCATCTTATATATTGGTGGATGTTTTCTAGTTTCAATTTCGTTTCGAGAAAGGTTTAGACAGTACTTGAACTTTAGATGAATAAATTGGGCTATAAAATATGATTGATAAAATAAGATAAATTCTAAAATTGTATTCAATCTATTTTTTCTGTAAGTTAGTTACTAGTTACTGTAAAATAATAGTAGTAATTTATTGATGTTTCAACTTTTTTAGCAAAAAGCATGTGAACTGTTTTTCTCCACGATGCTCACTGCAACTGGTGCAAAATAAATGAAACCCAACGATGTGAATGTGATGACTAATTATTTCAATTTCCAACCATAATTCTTTACGTTATTTGCACCTTGGTTTCAATACGCTATTTCTACTACGAGCAGTTTTAATTAGGACTATATTAATTTAAAATCACAATTGACCAAAAAGTTAAAGAATATATCCATGGTTTTTATATTATTAGTTTTCTCTTTTCAACTTCGGTAAGTTAGACAAAAATACCTCTCCACATATAACAAATTAGTTAACACTATAATAAAATAGTTACCGACGTTTCTTATTTGATTCTGAATAGATTGTCCGTCAAATATTTGAGTAAAAATATATGATGTGTTAAATGATTATCTATTGGTTTAACACGATAACAAAATATATATCAATAAGTTTATAAATATATCGTTTTAAAACATATTGTATCGAAATAAATTTATAATTGATATGATAAAGTTTATATTATCATAGAAAATATTTATGGTAAAATAGTAGATATATAGATACTATTTATATTAACGTGTATAACGATGTTAACATGATAACAATAAAAATAATATGTGTTACTCCAGTTATCGATAAATATAGAAAAATCAAACCCAGAAAATGTGCCAATGACGCCGATGATTCCTCTCTTTTCATCGATTAATTACCCTAATCTAAACTACAATTGACAAATTCAGTTTTAATATCTGTCTCAGCCCACCACTCTGTTTGTTCTAACTTCACGACACCATCCATTTCTCCCCCGTAATTACCGCAACAGATATTATCATCATCACCACAATACAGCTTTTAGCCATCACACCTTCTCAGTTCTTCTTTCATCTTCTTCTTTCTATACTTACCGCCACAAACAATATCATTGTTACCATCATCAACGGTAAATCTCATCATCGTCAAATCAAAACCACCATCAATTACCATTATTTTTTACTGCAGAAACTTAACCAACTTTCGCAAGAAAACAAAACAAAAACTTCCCTTATCAATGGTAAATCTCATCATCTTCGCCAAATCAAAAGCACTATTGTCATAGGTGAACTACACAAATCATTGGTTTTGCTCTTCGGTTCTCGGCAGAAAAAAATCTGATTTAATTTTCATTATTAAAGTTGTGTTCTCGTGTTTGAAGAAGAAAGAAGTAAAAAAAGAGAGATAAAACATTGAATAAATAAACAGTGAATGCCAAATAATAAAGAGGGAAGAGAACTAATTATTCATTCTTATGTGGTTATGAAGTATGGATACGCTTTTAATTATATGGTTTTGTTTAGTTGTATAGATTTTAGCTTTTACATATCACATCTGTTTTAATTTAAAAAATAATAATAACAGTACGTCGTTTCATGTTTTAATATTCACGTAACTTCTTTTTTTTTTCACTCTATGTCCCCTATCAAATTTGAATTTCTATTTTGTCTAGGAATGGTTTGGAGCTTATATTATGTCTCGTAATTTAATAAATAAAAAAGATACAATAAGAGTCAAGACGGCTAGAGTGTGGGTATAACTATAAATTTGGTGATTGATGATGGTTTGTTTATAAAATACATGGTGGGGATAAACTAGTCTAATTAGGTATGGCTGTCGTATTATCAATTTTTAGACTATTTAGCTGAAACCACCAAAAATTATTAACGTAAAGTTTGTTAGTTAAGTAACTGTCCCCAATAATGTTTACTAACCTAATGATTCACTTTTTTTTTATTGATTTGGTTTTAATTTTAGACAAACCATTAACCCTTTTACGACCACGGTATAATATATTTACATAAGCCAATAACAGTAACGTTTTAACACCAAAAAAAAATAGTAACGTTGAACTCCATATATCCACTAGTCTGGTTTGGTGCAACATTAATGTTATTTTGTTTGGGTTGCAACTTGGATGGGTATAATGTGCTGTCTACAAATTTGTGTTTTTGATCATTTTAAGAAAAAAGATCATTTAGAAAATCAAATAATCTTGGATATTGGCCTATTGGGTTATAAAAACAAAACAAAGACTATAAGAAAACAGAAAAATCCTACTAAAGAAAAATTATGCCAGTGAATCCATCAAATTTCAAAGATTTTTAAAAAATTTATTTTGTTGCTATTTAATTAATTACTCGTAGGCATCCAATGATTACACCAAATAAGTAGACATGATAACAAAAGAGTAATAAACAAACGAGAGTTATAGAGAGAGATACGACGACTTCGTTGGTCAAAGTTCAAGTAGTTGACTTTCTTAAGTTCAGCGCTGTTTCCTTCCAACTTTTATCATCATCCAAAAACTACTAATTTCCCATTACGAAAACCAAATTTTTAACCAATCAAAACAACTTAGACTTGGAACAATTCAAAGTCAGAGAAACCTTATATGCAGAGTGTGATCCAAACTCCTAAACACACAAGATTGCTAAATCAAAAAGAGACAAACTCCAAGTAGTGATCAATGGAGTACAAACATTTCAGCCATCCACACTCTCTAAAACTCCAACAGATTCAGCCACATGGAAGCTCAGATTCTTTAGTAATCTGCTCAGGTTGCGAATCAGCCATCTCTGATTCCGAAACCGCATATATCTGTTCTACATGTGACTTCAATCTTCATGAGCAATGTGGTAACGCAGTGCGTGGGATGCTACATCCTTCTCACGCTGGTCTCCACCACTTGACTCTAGTCCCTTACACAACTTACAGCGCCGGTATCTTCCTCTGCAGAGCCTGTGGCTGCACTGGAGGTAAAGGGTTCTCTTACTGTTGTCCTTTGTGTGACTTTGACCTCCATGTTCAATGCGCACACCTGCCTCAGGTCTTGGTTCATGAGTCTCATCCTCTCCACAGTCTACTTCTTGTCTACAACAGTGCTCCTGCTATGCCTTTTACTCAGTTTGGTTACGCGAATCAGTTTGTTTGCAATCTTTGTAATATGGCTATGGATGGTAGGTTTTGGTCTTATAACTGTTATGCTTGTAACTATCATATTCATGCTTCATGTGCTGTGAATAAGCCTAAGCCAGTGGCTCCTTCTGCTGAGAAGTGTGGGACGAGTGATGAAGGAAAGATACCGACCCCTGAATCTCTTCCTGTTCAGGGTTTGGAGACTGAGCAGACGGAACAAGTAGCTGCAACAACAGAGCAAGTGGAAGATCCAGCTTTGAGGCAACAGCTTGAACTTCAGAAGCTCCAGCTTGAGCTAGATATGAGTTCTGCTATCGCAAACATGATTGGTTCCTTCAATCTCAGTTCGTTTGTTTGAAGTATCTTTGTATTGCTGCTATCTTTTTCTATTTCAGTTTGTTTGATTGATGCATTTACATGTGCCAATAGGACCTGGAATTGTCTCTATTCTTGTGTTCCCTATAAGTAATTTCTGGTTTGAATAAAATATATCCTCTTTTTGATTTCTCTTTCTTTCACTGAAGACCTTGAAGTAACAGTAACACGTGACTTAATTACACAAAGATTGATCAAAATGTGTTGCATCCACACCTGAATTTTTCTTTTTACATTTGAGGCAACTGAAACCAGAAAAGATACATTGTTTAGCCATAACATCTGACATGAGATACCTAAAAGTCATCCAAACCTATTTCTCCACCACAAATACAAAACGAAAGTCTGTCCAAATTATCTTCTTCGGTGTTGTTTCTCATCTTTCCACGGAATCTCTCACATAAGCAACTTCATCTTTCCTTTTCTTTTCGTAACAACGAGTTGCGAAATGACAAGACTCGACATGGAGAACCAAGCAAATCCAGAAGCTGCTTCTGTAAACTGTTCAGAAAAGCTCTCAAATTAGCTTTCATAAGGACAAAGTCTCCATGAAGATAACCAATTATAAAAGAACATTTTCTCCTAAAGGATTCACCATCTGAGGTTTTTTACTAGACTCATACAATCCAGTACATCTATGTAGAGGGGAAGGATTACCAAACCTCGAGTCACGGCTGCAGATGGTAATCAAGACTAAAGGCACGAATATCTGAAGGACTACTTCCAGGCCTGAGAAAGAACAAAGCACATAATTAGTCACATTAAACCATAAGTGAAATAAATTAGTACCTCAGCAATCACTCTACATGCGGGGAGATATCAATTGGAACCTACCTTTTATTTATCGTACCATAGTGAAACTTTAGTTTCCCCTTTTTCAGGTCTTCCAAGTACTGCAAATACAAAACCAAAAAAAAGCAAATATGTTTTCTTAGAAATCTAGTGAATGGAGACTGGAGGGTATGAGAATCTTCTCTGTCCATATTCATACCAAATTTAAGGTAACATATATAGATGAAAAAGCCAAGGAATCAAACGGTATCTCATCTAGTGCAAAAAGACGACACTCCAATGATTCGGGACCAGGCGCGAAATGCGGGTTCTTCAGTTTGGCTAAGAATATAACATACGTCTGCTCCAAAATAAACAGAGCTATATAAGAATCAATAATATGAAGAAAGAAAACTAGGGATGTTTTGTATGTATATTTACTTGGCCAATAAGAGGAATATCGAGTTGCGCAAAAGGTGAAATAACTTCCACAGAGGCTCCTGCTTCTTCCCAAGTTTCCCTCATTGCTCCTTGTGCAGCTGACTCTCCAACTTCTAGATAGCCAGCAGGAAGAGTCCTATGTACTCAAAAGATCCATCTATCATTCACATAACTTAACACACAACACTAGAAGAAAAACTCAAAATATGTTCTCAAGACAAAGAGAAGAAATGTTCTTGATTTGTATATTACCATAAACCATGTGAAGGTTGAATGTTACGCTTGCAAAGTAAAACTTTTTCTTCATGCTCGATAAGGCAACCTACAACCTGCAATTTCACATTAATCAAACATTCATGATTGACACAGAAAACAAAAGTTGTTGGTAGATATCAAAATACAGTACCATCTTAGGATTCTGATATGCGATTTTGCCGCAATGTGTGCAAATAGCTCTCAATTTCTCTTCACCGGCAGGTATCTCATGCTTGGTTGGTCCTCCACACCATTGACAGAACTTTATCTTACGAACATCTCCCTACAATAACAACCAAAAACACCAATGAAGGGACCTAAAACCTTAAAGATAAGATCTTTCCAGGTGATGAATTAGAGACTCACAGCTGATTGAACAGAGACGAAAGTCGGAGAATTTGCAACTGGGTCAGACCCGGGAAGTGAGGAAGACATTCGAGTTGGGTTAAAAGAGAAGATTTTTCGAGGAGAGATCGAAGTGACAGAGGAGAAAGTGGAGAGATTGAGAGATGTAGATATGAAAGAGACGCTAGAGGACTTGCGAGTCTTGGTCAATCTCTGTGAGATGGTTAACCCTGATGACCAACCCAAGATCTGAACGGCTTTGAGCATTATACGCACCGGAATGTCACCGGAATTTCTTCAATTCCGGCAATAGGCCTCTTTTTGTCAATGAAGCTTCTCTCTCGATGGCCAATCAATTTCGTAAAAATTTGACATTTGAGGAGATTATTATCAGATATGAAATGACTCTTTAACTTAGCCAAAGGTCCGGTATAACTGGTTTTACTTGTTAAAACCCAAAAACCGGTTTAATTTGACCAAATTAACCGGTTCAGACACAAAAGCAGAGCTGAGTGAGTGATATAGAGTCACATGATCAGTTGTAAACTATAGAGGACAATACATATAGCAAATGCTTAAATCTTGTAGCATATTGGTTGATCAGAGGTCATAATAAAAACGTTTCTTTAGGAAATTATTAGTTATAAGAAATCTAAGTAATCAAAACCTATCTAACTCTTACAAAAAAAAATTATTTGACTGCTAGCTTCTCGATTAAAGATTGATAAGCCACAGTGCAGAGCTTGAACTTTTCTTCAGCTGCCTCCTGTCAGTTTATATATTCAAGGATTAACACAAGAGAAAAACACACTTAAAGGGAGATTGAAGAAGATCTTTTTATTGGTCTACCTTGGTAGAGTCCTCGTGACGATCTGGATGCCATTTTAATGCACAAGTTCGATATCTGAAAACAAACAACAAGTTTGGTCATGAGAATGTATCTGTTAGCCTCTATTTGCGTGTTTGAACTTGGAAGTAAAAGTAACTCACGCTTTTTTGACATCTTCGAGTTTTAAGGGACCCCAAGGACTCAGACCAAGTGTTTGTCTATGAGAGGCTTGGTATTCAATTGAGTCAGACACTGAGCCTCTGGATCTTCTTGAACCATAGCCATCTTCTTCTTCTTCTTCTTCTTTCTCATCTTTTTCTTCTCCTCCTTCATAGAATTTATATTTCGATCTCCAAGAGTTGCTAGAGTAATTAGAAGACCATGAAGAGTGATACCACCAATTATGTTCCTTCTCTCTATGGGTCGAATAATAGGAATCTCGAGATTCTTTAAATAGATTTTGGAATATAAATTCAAAGTCGTTATCGCAGTAACTGGAATGCCCTGTAAAATGGAACTCATGATTTTTTTTAATAAAAGTATATATGCATCCAAACAAAATTGCACCTTAACTAGACATTTTCAACACTTACTTTTTTTTTCCGACCTGTAGGGGCCGTGTTTGCTATTCTCTTCTTCTTTAGCTTCTTTAGCTTTTTTAGCGGCCTAATGTTAATTTCACCAAGAGCAATGAGATACACTAAGTTTCATGATCCATGAGCAACAGAAATAAAGAGAGCACATAAAGGGTTTTGTGCTTTAACCTCAACAAGTTTCAAACTTTAATTAAAAGACACGTCCTCAAAACGCAATGAGGTAATGCAAGAAACAAACAGTTAGAGGCCAGCCAAAAAAAGAGATAAAGATAGGGCTTAAACATGTATTTGCATCATAATCTCACTTATGTACCTCTTCTCTTTCTTGTTTAAGTTGTTCAACAGCACGACGCACTGCTTCTTGATGTTCCCTCAAAAATTTCTTGCTTCTCTTCTTCTTCTGAGCATTTGATTTCTGCCAAATATTCAAAACCCTAAAAATCAGAGCAAGTAGTATTCACACCTATGCAAACTCTATAGAAAATTTTCAATCATCTGTCTTCAAAATCTAGAGATTGGTAAATTGAGCATAATAAAATTATCTAGGTAAACCCACACATGTAGAGAAGAGACCGTCTGAAGAAGACGAGGAACGACGTTTGCGTTCTAAGACAGGAGTAGAATGGAAAAACGCAGTTTTCAGGAGAGAACAATAGCTTTGCGGTCTGCAAATCGCTGCTTTTATTGCTGTAGTGTTCATCGCTGTAGGAGAGTACACAGCATTGCGTCTTAAGCCAATGTGACTCGAGCTTGACTCATAAGAAATAAAAAAAAAGTTAGAGAAGAGAGGAGAAAAGAATAATAGAAGATTTTCTTTTTTGTTAAAAAAAAAAAAAAAAAAAAAAAAAAAAAAAAAAAAAAAAACAGAGAATGGAATATTTACACAATAGTTTTTACTTGATCATAAATGAACGAGATTATTACAAAAAAAAAAAAGAGCCTAGCTTCGTCTCTTCACGTGTTGGGCCGACGTAGTTGGGCCTTCCTGGTTGGGCCATTAGTAATTGGGTTTGTTTCTGTCATGTTTTGATTCATATTTGTAATGTTGTGTGATTCACTCTGAAAATTATTTAACTGGTTCAAAGGGATGAGAGATATCAATACACATCAGTAGTAGTTTTCAAAGAAATAAAAAATGACAGAACAAAGGCAATTTTGCTTGGATCCTCTACTGTTTTGCTTTGTGCTAAGCTTTAAAATGAAACAATTTGGAAATTATTGTAATGAGGTATCTCTAAGTAATCAAGATCTATCTAACTCTTTATCTTAGTTCACCGATAGCTTTTCGCATAAAGATTGATAAGCCACACTACAGAGCTTGAACTTTGCTTCAGCCGCCTCCTGTTTTCATATAATCACATATTCAATAACACGAGTAATCGAAAAAAAACTTACATGGAGATTAAACAGAGAGGAGGAGATCTTATTTGTTACCTTGGTGGAGCCTTGATGACGATCTGGATGCCATTTTAAAGCACAAGTTCGATACCTGATATACAAATAAAAGAGAGTTTGATGTAAAGTGGTGAGAAGAAGATGAAATGTATATGTTAGGTTTTGTGTGTTGACATGAAGTGAACTACTCACGCATGTTTGACATCTTTAAGGTTTAAGGGACCTGAAGGACTCAGGCCAAGTGCTTGTCTATGAGAAACTTGGTTTGGCTCAGACTCAGAGTCGCTGGAGTCTGAAGTATAGTCTTCTTCTTCATCATCTTCATCTAACCGATATTTTGATCTCCAAGACCTCTTAGAGTTGTTGGAAAACCTTGAAGAGTGATGCCGCCATCGAGGTTCATCCTCTTCATGGGTGAATGAAAAAGAGAAACCTCGGGATCCACCAAAAGCAGTTCGGAATACATAGTCGACGTCAAAGTCCTCATCAACTTCGCAAAAATCGAAATTCCCTACACAACAGTACAAATGGATTGATACGAGTATGTAGCCAAACAAAATTGCACCTGTAGATTATACAAAATGACAATAATACAATTTCAACGAACAAGCACTTAATGATTATGAAATCTTAATTTAGGAACATGACACAAGTCAAAGAACTGAGTCCACAATGAGCCAGGAATTTCGATAATTATGTAAGCTAGTACTGGAAGCACAAGGCCTTTCTTTCAGGGGATGAGTCTGAGTTTAAGGAAAATCAGGGAGTTGCTCAAACAAAACTAGATTGAAGCCCACTAATAACACAAATCCTATAGCATTAGCAGTAATGGCCAAAAATCTAAAGAGGACACAAAATCTTTGATTGTAGAAGCAGTGAATAAATTACATGCCAAAAGATTTACTACATAGTGTAGTTGTTAAAGAGAAACAGAGCTAAGACATTCACTTACTTTTACCCCAACTGTAGGGACCGTGTTTGTTATTCTGGTTTCCTTTGGGTTCCTTGGAGTACTGTTTTTTGAACCACGAGGTTTGCTTCCGGGAGGAGGGACCATCGTCATCAAACTCATCATGCCAGCTCTGGAATCAAAAAATTCAACCGCATCTTTGAGAGTTATACAAATGAAAATAAAAAAATTGGCATAAACGAATGAACCTTAATAGAGAGAGCAATAAGACACACTAAGTCATGCACAAGAAACTAAAACAGAGACGTAACACTTGCATTTCCCTTTCGGTAACCCCAGATCCTTCCACTTTTGAACCATAACATTTTCAGCATCAACTAGCTAAAATGTTACTTAAGAGCACAAAAAGTATTGTGTTTTCATAAAAACCATATTAGCAAAATGTCGAAAGTGGAGAGAAACAAAACAACAGCTGAAGCCAACAACAAAAGTGATAAGCATAGATGAAGTAAATACCGTAAACATGTTTGCAGCAAAAGCATTGACATTACGCAATAACTCTTGCTTTTCCCTCATTCTTCTGAATCTCTTCTTATGAACATTTGATTTCTGCAGATAAATGAAACCCAAAATCAGAAGACATGTTCAAACTCTAACTCTCTAAAACTAGTAAAAGGGTCACAATTTAGACAAGAAAACCTCTCAAGTCCCAACATTTTGTCTACGAAAGCTCAACGGAGATGCCAAAAACATGGTCATCGATCCATTTCAATTTATTTCGATAAATCCGCTTAAGGAACAACATCTACGACTCCAATGAATTGCCAAAGCACGAAAATTTAGCTGACGAATCAACAAAAAAAATACTCAAAATTTACGGAAAGTACTGACCGATTCCCAGGAAGTGCGACGTTTGCGTTCTAAGACAGGAGTAGAATGAAATAACGCGACTTTGAGCTGAGAAGAATAGCTTTGTGGTCGGAGAATCGCTGCTCTAATGGCGGCGTTCATCTCTGTGAGATCGGAGGATTAAAGATTGCGTCTTTCGCCGTTTGGCAAAGGAAGAAACCAAAGCCGATGTGGGTAACGTGACTCGGGCTTGACTCAGTCGATCTGACCCGTAAAAGGGCATTTTAATATTCACCGCCGGTTAAAAAATAATTACTTTTCCTCTATATTTACTTTTGTTTATTTTCTCTGCCTCACGAAAATGTTAATATCACCGCAAACTGAGTGAAACCACTTGGAAATTAGATTGATTTTTAATAGGCTAGAAAGGTTATGAATTAATTGATTTAATCGGCTAATTAGAATGTTATGATTTTAGTTCTAATGAGAAACATTCAATTTGAGTCACCCTCCCTCCAAATACGTGCTTTTAGTTTATTTTATTTTATAACAACTAGTATCTTTTATTTTTAAAAAACTAAATTAAAATTAGTAAAATCTCAGATATCATTAATCAATAAATCATTTTAATTAAATCTTTCACATAATGTATTGTGTGTATATATATATATATATGAAATTTGAAGATAATTAATTAAGGGATATCAAAACAAGATATGTCTTATTCATCTAGTATAATTTTTGTTGGGTTAAATGAGTAACTTTCAATTTTTCAATAAACTGAAGCTAATTTAGTTTTTATGTTAGTCTTTCTAAGCTGAGTTGGCACATTCATTCTCATTTCAATTTAGCTAGATTGTTTTATTTTTTATCAATCAGAAAAGAAAAAGAGAAATCAAAGATTAGGAAAGAATTGCATTATATGGAAGACTAAAAAGTAAAAAGAAGAAGAGAGTCCTACTTAGTGTGTAGGACACATACCTCTCTTTCCATGCCCTTTATAAGAGAAACAAGGCCGTACTAGGATCCTGAAACACATCCTTGTTGGCGAGACGAGAGAAGGAAGAAGAAGAAGAAGAAGAAGAAGACAGAGAGAGGCACCATCTTAATTTGAAAGTAAGATCATCAGAACGATTGTTCCTCTTTGATCTCTCTCCAAGTTGATTTACCTCTTGCTAATTTTTTTTTTTCTTGTTAAACTAAAAGTGGATAAAAAGTTTTCAATCAATAATGGATTACAAGCCCAAAGAAACAAGTTTAAGATACAAATTGAACCTTTTTCTTCTTGCCCAAGTAGTGTTTGTGATTTGATTTTGGTTCTTACATGCAGTTCTGCTGTTAATTAATGCTGCGTTTGAACTTTTTTACGATTGATTTTTTTTTGAAACATTATATATGTTTACTTTAGATTATTTCGGCATCAGAGGATATGAAGCCTATCGTGTGTGACAAGGGACATGGAATGGTCCAGGTACGAAAAAAATAAACACTTTTTTTTTTTTAATCGTTATAAGGCTTCGATTGTTTTATTAAACACAATTTATGCGTTTGCATTGCGTTTATATTAAAATAAACAACATTTTGACATATACTCTGAAGTATTAATTTCTCGTAAAATGTTTTGTTAAGTGCCAATTAACTGGTGAAACATTTTGAAGGCGGGATTTGCAGGAGACGAAGCACCAAATGTTGTGTTTCCATGCGTCGTGGGTCGTCCAAAAGATGGAATGAACCCGAACGATTCTTATGTGGGAAACGAAGCTCAAGCCAAGAGAGATATTCTTACATACCCAATGGAGCATGGTATCGTTAAAAATTGGGATGACATGGAGAAGATTTGGTACCATACTTTCTACAACGAGCTACGTGTGGATCCTAAAGAACACCCTGTGCTTCTCACTGAAGCTCCTTTTAACCCTAAAGCCAATCGTGAGAAAATGACTCAGATCATGTTTGAGAGCTTTGATGTTCCTGCCATGTACGTGTCCATTCAATCTGTTCTTTATCTCTATTCCAGTGGTCGTACCACAGGTAAGCAACCAAAATCCAAAATATCATAAATTAATTAAGAGAAATTAATATTTTATTAGTTTATACTAAATAAGCTTGAATATTTGCTGTTGGACTTTTTGGTCACTACACGCAAGTGCATAAATTGCGTACGTGTGAAACAATCCATGCCTTACTCTGTTAAGTTTATGCGTGTTTAGGTGTTGTGTTGGATTTAGGAGACAGAGTGAGCCACACAGTTCCAGTATACGAAGGTTACGCACTCCCACACGGTATACTGCGTCTGGACCTAGGAGGCCGTGACCTAACTGACTACCTCATAGAAATCATGGCCGAACGTGGCTACACATACACCTCATCCGCCGAGCGTGAGATAGTCCGAGACATCAAAGAGAAGCTTTGTTACATAGCTCTCGACTACGAGCAAGAAATGGAGAAGGCAACAAAGGGCTGGGCAATCGATAAAACCTACGAGCTTCCCGATGGTCAAGTGATCACGCTAGAAGCCGAGAGATTGATCATGTGCCCTGAGGTTCTTTTCCAGCCGTCTTTGCTAGGAAAGGAATCTTGTGGTATTCACGAGGCTACTCGCAATTCGATCTTGAAGTGTCCAGTTGATACGAGGAGGGATCTGTTTGGTAACATTTTGATGACTGGTGGCTCAACGATGTTCCATGGGATTAAAGAAAGGATGACCAAAGAGATCACTGCACTTGTACCGTCAAGTATGAAAGTTAAAATTGATGTTCCTCTGGAGAGTAAGTGTAGTGTTTGGAATGGAGGCTCCGTTTTGGCTTCTCTAAGCACCTTTCATCAGGTAAATAAGATGATATTAAATATGGGTTTTAAGTTAATTAGTGTAATTTTTTGGGGTTGTTATAATGTAAAATTTGTGATGTCTATATTGTAGATGTGGATAACTAAGGATGAATATGAAGAACATGGAGCGGCGATTGTTCACAGTAAATGCTTCTAAGTTTGTTAGCATATATTTCGAGATTCGTCCTGGTGATGAGTGCTCTTTGTGCTTTCTTCTTGATTTAGGGTCTTGTTTTGGTTAAATAAATTGTTATTTTGGGGATTTTATAAATCTGATTATTTTGTTTTCATAACTTAATTATGTTGGTGTTGGAATCATGTTGTTGTTTGTATTGCTGATAAAAGAAGAACATATATTTTTGTATTTCTTTCTTAGAAAAAAGAACATTTCCAATGACTTAACGTAACTACTCTTGTGAGTTGTGACTATGTGTGTTGATAAATGTTAATGTTATCTTAATTCTTATCTGAAAAACATATATATATATATATATATATATGTATATTAGCTTATTTTTTGGAAAAAAAACCATCATGGACATTATTCAAGACTTCCTTTAAAATTACAAAACTAGTCGTCTTTCCGTTGAAATGTATAACGCCAATACCACTTTTTAAAAATTACAAGAAAATCACACCGGTAAAAAATTAATAAGTTTAAGAAAACTGAGCTAACTAAAACATTTAATTCTCAAGCGTTTCATACACTATTTGAGCTTAGATTCGTAATCTTTTAGGACTGATAAACATTGTCTGTGAATTTTATAGAGAAAGATTTGTATAACTTAATCTAAAAAAGATTTTAAAAGAAAAACTTAATGTACAAAAGAAATTTTTTAAAATATATGTGGTAATTTTGTAGTATTTCAATTCTAAATGTTTTATCATATATTTTTATTAATACAAAATGTCTTTTATATATATATATATATATATATATATTGGTTTGGTACAAGCATAATACTTATTGTAAGTTTAAGTTAGAATTTACATAAATCTTTAGTTGTAATTAAAACTCTAAAATCTTTAGTTATTGACTATATATAAATTAAATTTTAAATCATTAGTTAATAAATTTAATTAACTCTTTCACATAATATTTTATATATAAAATTAGAAAATAATTTAAATCATATCATTAATTAATAGATATATAAATCAAAGTCATTAAAATACAAATGGTTTTGATGATTTCAAGGTTATATGTGTCGCATAATTATACATTAATATTCAAATGTATGTCTTATTCCTCTTGAATAAGTCTTTTTTTTTGGCTAAATGAGTAACCTTTACTCTTTAATTAATTAAAGCTAATTTTTTTTATAATCTAAAATGAAGAAAGAAAAAAAAAAGTAAAAAATTAGGAAAGATTTGAATTTATTTAGAAGTCTAAAAATCTAATTGAGGATTCTCTTTTGTAGGAAAATAAATAAGAACACATGATAATATGGAACCCACGTCTGTCTTTCCATGCCCTTTATAAAGGATACAAGGCGGTAGGATTTTTTGTCAAAACTCCAAAGCAATCTTGTTGCCGAGACGAAGAACAACAACGAAAACTGAGAAAGACACAATCTTAAGTAAGAGAATGATCATTACTCTCGGATTTGATGGTCCCTTCCGCTTCTATATATTGATTTCCGATGTTATACCTAATGATCTCTCATGAGCTTAATATATAATTAAGATTCAATAAGGTGTTAATTGCTAGGAATCAGCATAATCTTTGTATACGGCCGTGCCTATGCTTATTTCCCACGTGTTGATTTAAATTTGGTTTTACAGTTCTACTATGTTATTGTTGTGTTAGAACTTCTTAGCGATGATATTTTAAAAACTTTTTGTTGAAACATGATATGTCTACTGTAGATAATGTCGGAGCCTATCGTGTGTGACAACGGAACTGGAATGATCAAGGTAAGGAGAAAATGAAAACACTCTTTATTTATCCGTTAAGGCTTCCATTGTTTCAAACACATGTTTATGCATACGAATCATTATTTTGAAAATATAGATATTTTCAGTTTTATTCACAAAAATCTTTGCAAAGTAAGAATGCACACACGTATAAACTTTGGCCTTTGCCGTTTACATTTATAAGTAAGAAAATAATATTTTCTTGAAATTACTTCATCGTAAAGGCAAATAAATACACAATTGAGACTACAACAATAGAGGATATCTAATAATTAGGGAATTATTTTGAAGGCGGGATTAGCTGGAGATGATGCACCAAAGGCTATGTTTCCAAGCATCATGGGTCGTCCAAGACACAAGAGGGTGATGCTTGGAATGGATCAGAAAGAATTTTATGTGGGAGACGAAGCTCAAGCCAAGAGAGGTATTCTTACACTTAAATACCCAATGGAGCATGGTATCGTTAACAATTGGGATGACATGGAGAAGATTTGGCATCATACTTTCCACAACGAGCTACGTGTGGCTCCTCAAGAACACCCTGTGCTTCTCACTGACTCTCCTCTAAACCCTAAGGCCAATCGTGAGAAGATGGCTCAGATCATGTTTGAGACCTTCAATACTCCTGCTACGTACGTGGCCGTTCAGGCCGTTCTCGCTCTCTATGCTAGTGGTCGTACCTCAGGTAAGTAACTTCAATTCAAGTATCAGAATTCAAAATATAGTTAAGAGAAGCTAAAAATGTTATTAGAACATCAAATGCAAATAATCAACCGCAAAATATCGTACAGGTAATCACATTTATATTCTTAAATGTGATTTATTTTTTGATGAATTGTTAACAAAGAAATGCAAATGCATAAATTACACTGGAAACAATCCATGACTTACTATATTAATACTTGTTTTGGGTAATTAGGTATTGTGTTAGATTCAGGAGATGGTGTGAGCCACATAGTTCCAATCTACCATGGTTACACACTCCCACATGCGATTATGCGTCTAGACTTAGCAGGCCGTGACCTAACCGACTACCTCATGAATATTATGATGGAACGTGGCTACACATATACCACATCAGCGGAGCGGGAGATCGTCCGAGACATCAAAGAGAAATTATGTTATGTAGCTCTCGACTACGAGCAAGAACTGGAGAACGCTACAACATACAAAACCTACGAGCTTCCCGATGGTCAAGTGATCACACTAGGTGCCGAGAGGATCAGGTGCCCTGAGGTTCTTTTCCAGCCGTCTTTGGTCGGGATGGAATCTTCTGGTATTCATGAGATGACTTACAAGTCGATTATGAAGTGTGATGTTGATATAAGGAAAGATTTGTATGGAAACATTGTCATGAGTGGTGGCACAACGATGTTCCCTGGGATCGCGCAGAGGATGTGCAAAGAGATCAGTGCGCTTGCACCAGCTAATATGAAGATTAAAGTTGTGATTCCTCCGGGGAGAAAGTATAGTGCTTGGATTGGAGGCTCCATTTTGGCTTCTCTAAGTTCCTTTGAACAAGTAAGATATATAAAATATAATTTTAAAGTTTACTATGAGTTTTTTTGGAGGTTTTCTAATGTAGTTGTGATGTTTATATTGCAGAAGTGGATAACTAAGGCTGAGTATGAAGAAACTGGAGCGGCGATTGTTCACAAGAAATGCTTATATTAGCGTTCTTTGTGCTTTCTTCTTTAAGGTTGTGTTTTGGTGAAATAAATTGTTATAATATGTGGGATTCCATATATGATATATCTAGTTCTTTGTTTTGGTCAAAATGTCAAAGGATTTCGTTTTTTTTTTGTTTCCCGCTGAAAAAGAAGAACATGTCCATGTGTTGATTATTGTTAGACTTATCTTAATTCTTAAACGAACTAAAAACGAACCTTAAAGAGAGAAAATTATTCTGGACCCCTCTAAAAATCTGAATAAACCCAAACTTTCTGAAAGAAATATATTTTCGTTACCTTAAAAAAATTGTCTATGCGTTAATGATAGTGTCTCTAAGGGTATCTTAAATGTTTTGTTGAATACTGGCTTTTCCGGTAGATTGGATATTTCTTCGACTTGCCTAGTGAATTTCCGACAAAGCTCCTCTACCTGGATGTCGTATAACAACTAACAAGTAAAAAATCACCAACAATAAATATTATAATTAAGTATTTTTAAAAATAATATACAAAAATTAATATTAAATCAAATCCTTGTCCCATGTTCTTTTGTGGTACATCTCTTTTTTAGTAGTATCAAAGACATCATCTTTTATTATTTTTGAACTGAATATATCTAAAAGGAATAGGATATGAATTATTTTAAATCATAAAAATAAAATAAAAGATTACTCTCTTAGTTTTTTTAACCAGTTGTTATAAATGATTGCGTAAACTTGTATGTAAATGAGGAAAACATTTTACAGCTTAATGTCAAACACAAATTTTAAAAATATCAACTGTAAAGAGTTTGGAAAATTAAAAGATGAAATACTGTAGAAAGAAAAAGATCTCTTAATTCTAAACAATCTCCTCCACATTAGATGGTAATATATAGTACCATTTTTAATTCTTAATAGCTTAACATATGTTTTATTAAATATAAAATGTCTTATATTGGTTTGATTCAATCATAATAGTTATTGTAGCTCTGAGGTATAATTTACTTTGTAATTAGAACTGTTAAATATGATGAGTCACCAATTAACTAACTTTAACTAAATTTGAAGTCATAAATCAAGAAATATATATATATATATATATAAAATTAATAATTATTTAAATTTAAACCTTGCTAAATTAAATTATTTGGAAGTTAGAAACTAATTAAATTATTACATTATACATGGTTTTGATGGTTTATTAGTTATACATGTCGCATTATTATTCATTAATATTCAAAAAAGTATGTCTTATTCATCTAGTATAAATTGTTTTGGGTTAAAATGATAACTTTTATTATTATTTATCTAGTTTTTATAAAGATACAATGATATACATTTTCTGACATATATAGTATAGGTCAAGCTTGCCAAAACATGCAAGTAGTAGCGCTGAGTTGGCACATTCATTCTGATTTCAATTTTGTTAGATTTCAATTTCAATTTATAATAGATAAATAAAGAAAAAAAATCAAAAATTAGGAAAGATTTGCACTTATTTGAAAGGCAAAAAATTTAAATGCAAAATTGAGGATTCACTTTGGAAGGGCAAACAATGACTCCTACTAGTGTGGGGCCCATGTCTCTTTTTTCCATGCTCTTTATAAACGAAACAAAGCGATAGGATTTTTTGTCAAAAGCATTCTTGTTGCCGAGACGAGACAAGGAAGAAGAAGAACATAATATTTGAACGTAAGAGAACGATTGTTTCTCATATGATTTGTTTTTGTTGTCACTGCAGCAATGTTTGTCATTTTAATAACTATAGGGTTCTTTTGATCTAACTCCATCCACGAGTTGATACAGTTTAACCTCTTCCTTCACTCCCCTTTTTAGATCTTGGTTTAATTTTTAAGTTTCTCTCATTCATTTTTTGTCCTCTTGTACTGGACTTCGAGCTCATTTATTAATTTGTATGACTGATTTATGGATAACTGATTAATTTTAATTTGTAGATTTTTTGATGTAATACTTGAAATAATCATAGCAAAAAATACTTGATATATATAAATATAATGGTGTCTCGTGACCTTAAAACTAAGAATTAACATGATCGCTGTATACGATCTCTGCTTTTTCCCGATAGTGTTTGTTATTTAGTGTTGGTTTTTGAAGTTTCGGCTAATTAATTCTGTGCTAGAACGTAACTTCTTAGTAAAGATATTAATTTTGAAAAACAAATTTTTGAAACATGCATGATATGTATACTCTAGATAATGGCGGATCTAGAGGACGAATTCGTGCCTATCGTGTGTGACAATGGAACTGGAATGGTCAAGGTAAGAAGAAACTAAAAACACTCTTTATTAATCTGTAATGCTTTTTTTTTTTTTGATCAAAAATCTATATTGCTTCGTTTGTTTCAAATACTATTTAGGCATTTGCATTGCGTTTACATTTAAATTTTTTCATAATTTTAAAATATAAAATATTTTGCAAAGTACTGAAAACGCCAACAAATAAACTTTTTCTATTTGCCGTTTTCATTTACAATTACCAAAATGTTTTTTCCTTAGAATACTTCCGGTTTGGGCAATAATTAATGATTTAGAAAAATGTATACTAAATGTAAAAGTAAACAACCAATGAATGTATATATATTGTGAAAACAAGATAGGAGATCTAATGATAGGTAAAACATTTTGAAGGCGGGATTCGCTGGAGACGATGCACCAAGAGCTACGTTTCCAAGCGTTGTGGGTCGTCCACGACACAGGGGAGTGATGGTTGGAATGAATGAGAAGGATTCCTATGTGGGAGACGAAGCTCAAGCCAGGAGAGGTATTCTTACACTTAAATACCCAATCGAGCACGGTGTTGTTAGCAATTGGGATGACATGGAGAAGATTTGGCACCATACTTTTTACAATGAGCTGCGTTTGGATCCTGAAGAACACCCTATTCTTCTCACTGAAGCTCCTCTTAACCCAAAGGCCAATCGTGAAAAGATGACTCAGATCATGTTTGAGACTTTTGCTTTTCCTAGTATGTATATTGGTATTCAGGCCGTTCTCTCTCTATATTCCAGTGGTCGTACCACAGGTATGTAAAATCTCACAATTCAAAATACATTCACATGCAAAATCTTTAAATGTTGTTGTTTTTCTTTATAAATGTGATTTTTATAAAAACCTTGAAATAATGTGATTTTTTTTGTTATGTTTGAAACAATGGTCCTTAATCTGTTCAATGTCTGCGTGGTTAGGTATTGTGTTGGATTCAGGAGATGGTGTGAGCCACACTGTTCCAATCTACGAAGGTTATGCACTCCCACATGCGATCTTGCGTCTAGATCTAGCAGGCCGTGACCTAACCGAGTATCTCACGAAAATCATGATGGAACGTGGCTACACATACACCACATCCGCCGAGCGTGAGATAGTCCGAGACATCAAAGAGAAGCTTTGTTACATAGCTGTCGACTACGAGCAAGAAATGTTGAAGGCTACAACGAGCTCGGCAATCGATAAAGAATACGAGCTTCCCGATGGTCAAGTGATCACGATAGGAACTGAGAGATTCAGGTGCCCGGAGGTTCTTTTCCAGCCGTCTTTGATTGGAATGGAAACTTGTGGTATTCATGAGACGACGTACAATTCGATCATGAAGTGTGATGTTGATATAAGGAAGGATTTGTATGGAAACATTGTGTTGAGTGGTGGCACGACCACGTTCCCTGGGATCGCAGATAGGATGAACAAAGAGATCAATGCGCTTGCACCGCCTAGTATGAAGATTAAAATTGTGGCTCCCCCGGAGAGGAAATATAGTGTTTGGGTGGGAGGCTCCATTTTGGCTTCTCTAAGCAGCTTTGCACAGGTAAATATATAAGATAATAATAATTGTTTTTCAAGTTGATTAACGTTAGTAAATTTTTTTGGGGTGTTGTAATTAATGTAAAGTTGTGATGTATATATATGCAGATGTGGATAACTAAAGCTGATTATGATGAAAATGGACCGTCGATTGTTCACAGGAAATGCTTTTAAGTTTGTGTATTGGTGATGAGCGTTCTTTTATGCTTTCTTTTCTTAATGCTTTGTTTTGATGAAACATTAATGTTATGAGGGATTTCATATATCTGATTTCTATCTTTCTTTCAATATTTCTATGTTGGTCAAAGAGCAAAGGATTTCGTTGCTTTTCTTGCCGATAGAAGAAGACTATTCCTTTATTTTATAAAGATGATTATATTCGCTATGACTAACTCATCTTGCGATTATGTGTGTTGATATATAAATTATTAGAGTTATATGGACGAATAAGAAAATGTGTTAAACAACATCACTGATTTTTTCGACGCTTCTAGAGATAGTGTGTGTTGATTATTGGTTAGAGTTTATTTGTTTCTGCCATTATAAAATACAACCATAAAAACTTGAATTTGGGTAGAATCTTTACAAATAAAAAACACAGGCTCCAACAACCATGATAAATTTGTTAACAAAAAAAATTACCATGAAGTGATTTGACTTAAATATGACGAGAAAGATGTAAAATACTAAACGTGAGGATAATACAAACGAATGTAAAATAGTGAGACACAAAAATAAATAAAAAATAAAAAAGTTGAAGAAACTTAAACGACGTCGTTGATGAGACGCCTGTGTCTGTTATAATGCTTCTCGATGAAAACTCTTGAAGCTCCTTCCATTGTTTTACGCCATGTCTGACCAATTAGAGCAGAGTAGAGGATTAATTAAAATGGTTAAATAAAAAAGTTTACCAATTTTAATTATAGAAAATTGGATTAAATTATACCTTGCCGATAGTTCTGACGAGAGACTTGTTCCTGAGATGTGATTTTCCAGAAGCAAGCTGCCGGAGAAACAGAGATCGCCGTTTACTCGCCGGAGCAAGCAAGAGCCGTTTCCTCTCCACCAAACTAATACTGTTACTTTCGATGTCAACGCCGTTCTCTCGAGAAGAATTCTTAGCTGATTTCTTCCGGCGTTTCGTTGACTTTGACTCGTCGACGTCGTCGGGATCGGCGAACTTACGGAGCAATTCGTCGGAGGATTTCTTGTTCACGTGAGTGATTTTGGTCGGGATACTAGTCTCTATGACAACAACAAGATCCATCTCAGTAATGTAAGAGAGAGAAGTAGTGAGAGATAAGTTGAGAGAAAGAGAGGATTAAAGTGTAGACGAAGAAACTGTTTGGGATATAAAGGAAAGGTTGAAGAAATGCGGGAAAATGGACCGTTGGGGAATAATGGAGAATATAATGCGTTACATTATTACATTTAATTTTATAATGTAATAAGTGTGGATGGATATAGCCGTTGAGAAGAGAGAGACATTTGCATGAGATTCTGTGCACTTGTTACTTTTTTTAAGATTATTTTTGCAGTCTTTTCACGTTCTTCTTACCAACGACCACGACACTATCTGGTCGGCCCTTTTTGTCCTTTATGTGACACCTAAGAACTCGTGTCGCGATATTTAGTTAAAAAGCACAAAAGAAAATTAGGACAAAAGAATAACAATACATCCAAAGATTTAGAAGTTCCACTAAAGAACAAGGATTTTTAACAAAAGAAATAACACTTGGTTAGAACATGGGAAAGTGTTAGTGAAAAAGCTCAACATTACATCTTCAAGACAAGGAAGTAATCTACCAAAGTAGCAACTCAATGTTATGATTGGTTTATCTGAGTGCTAAAGCTTAGAGTATGACAGTCCAGATTTCTTAGGTTCACCTGCAAATAAACATCGTGATTTTGATATTCAGAATCTGCAATCTATGAGACAAAATAAAGTCAAATTCTGCTCAATATTTTCAACTCACCGCAACAGCAATACCGGTCTCACAGAACTTAGGAATGCAGATCAACCGAACAAGTTGCCCTTCTGACCCTGCAGCATTCATATTTCCCAAAACAAAACTTCAAGCAGTGTTCAACAAAGAGAAACTATTATGTTATTTATAATCTCTGTGTGAGGAGGTTATACCCTTTAACAAACGGTTGTCATATTTCTCTTGATTTCCCACGAAGTAGACATGAGGGCAAGTTTCAATTAAGAAAGGGTCTCTATCGGTGAAAGGATAACAACCTGTACGCAAGTGAATCAAACTAAAAGACTCAAATAATCTTTTTCATACGGGCTTAGTTCAAAAACAGTAAATTTGCAGGGGAAGGAAAATTCTTACCAAGTGTATTAGGTGCAGTGGGGGCAAGATGTCTCCACCTCAGCGTTCTTTCCACAAAATCAAGCTTGCTTTTAGCCTCTGAGTACTTGTCAAGGTCATCGATGTTCTGACCAGAAGTTCCCAGAAATCTGCAAAATGTCCCCAAATGAGATTTTCAGTCAGATAAACCCAAACTTTATTGTTGTAAAATCACCGAGATTGTATCCATTATTAATGATAACCATACCTTATATTATCGAGATCAAATGAGTGAGGATTTGTACATGATCTGAAGGTGTTATAAGGTGAAGATCCAGGGAAAAGACATCTATTCAGAGGCTGAACAAAAGAGAAGGGCCTATGAATCAGATTTATCTATACAAAATGCAGGGTTTTGAATGTTTTTAATGTATTTGCAAACCTGCTGAGGCAATGCGAAGTTAGCTGGATCATTCGTGCCTGGCATGATATCTACTGAAACTCCTGCAGCTATCTAAAAACAATCCACGAAAAAAACAAGAATTTGAATTTTCATCTCAATAGAATCGATAACACACAGGTGGATCTAGTTAACTGACCTGGTTTAACATGATATCAAGCTCTTTGATGGGCTCATACAGTGTTGATTGATCTTTCGAGGCCAAGTTCTGCAAATATCAACCAATAAAGATCACAAGACATAACTGGGCAGATAATTATTGGAACTGTATCTGAGAAAATATCAGTAACAAAAGTTATAGGTACCTGGCCATTAATGAGTTTGCGGGGAAATTCAACAGAGTTTCCAGCAATTACTACATGAACTATCTGTGCTGCAAGGCCTTGTTCCTGTTCAAACCATAAATTATAAATTAAGGAAAGAAAAATGTTGAAGAACCTGAAAGTTAAGAGATTTGAACCTCCTCATCTCCGAGATGCCCAGTTATATGGTCAACAAGAAGCTGAAATTGCAAGGGAATAGCCGATTTGCTTCCAATGCAAAGTCCCGACAATAACACAACGTATTTATCATCCTCTGCAGAGCAATATGTATCATGAGAGATTGCTTATAGATATGATTGAGCCATGAGGTTAGCAAAAGGAAGAGAAGATAGCTAGACTTACGTAGATCGATAGGCCGCTCTATCTGAGGCGGTAAACCAGCTTCTAATACATCCTCAACAAAGAATTCACCAGCATTAGTTTCCTTCCCATGCAATGCAACAACAACACCTACAATCCACGGAGGCTTCAACGTTAATTTTCTTAAGAGAGGTAAACTTGATTAAAATCTCTAACATTTGCTACATTGCAACAAACGCAAAAATAATACACAGTAAAAACATAACAATCCATTTGCATACCTGTCACATATATAGCAGGTGAAAGTGCAGAACCAGCAAGCTTAACTCTCCCACTCTCGTCTTCGAGGATCAGATTATCATCAGGATGCATAAAGTTATGTGGTTTAACAAGCGGAGTAACTGACCTCTGCATTAAGTTTAATATACTCTCAGATTAATTTCAACCTAAACATAGGTCGAAAATAAAGCCAGTAGAAGGAAGCTATATAAAAACCAACCTCTTTAGAATATTCATCGAGAACACATGGTTTAAGCTTCATGTGTTTGAACAAGGTTCCTACAATTACGCATTCTTTTCCTTTTTCAAGTCCCAAAACCTTACAAACTGCAAACATGAAATCCACATTCAGATCTATCATTTAAACACACCTGAAAACACTAATACTAGCAATCTTTCTCAACTGTAATCCAAAAGATAGCAAAAATCCCAAAAAAAAATCCCTAAATTTGTTGCGTTAAACATGAAATTAAAAGGAGAGAAACAAAAGCACTGACCAGGCAAATGAGGTTTCCAAGTAGGGGCAAGAGAGTAGAGAAGTGTTCTCATGAGATGAAGACGAACAAAGTAAATCTGACTGTATTGCTGACCTCTGTACATCTCCTTCTGTATCTCGAATCTCTCATCCTGCTTCAATTGAAACCAAAAGCTCAGAGTCAGATTACAAACCCTAGCCCTTACACTTATAAGTAGAAACAGTGACCACCACAAAAGATTACATTGTCTTTCACTACAAGTAGATACAGTAATAGGTTTCGTACCAGTGAATTGTAATCGGAATGCTTCCGTTCGTGAATCTTCTCGGAGTCGATTTCCATGGCGGGAAAAGATCTCACAACTGAGAGCAGAAAATTCAGGAAAAAGGTTTCAACTTTGGCACTTACCGACGACAATGAGTCTTTTCTTCTTTCTTCTATGGACAATCAAACCAAACCCCGGTTAACCGGAAAGGTGTTTAATTTGAACCGGAAACCAACCGGTCGAACCAGAGAAACTCCTACCTTAACTCTTTTTCCTGAGGTTTGGTTGTTGAATTCTCAATCTTTCGTGTTTTTTTTGGATTTTTATGTCTCTTTCACCTCCTTCTTCTTCAATGGCGTTGTTACATGGTTCGATTCCTGGTACGTCTGCGGTTCGATTAGGCTTTTCAACCTCAGCGTCACCGTCGAAAGTTTGTCTCAATGTTCCGGTGGTGAAGCAGGGTTGGAGGAATTCGTGCCGGAGAAGGGTTTTAAGAGCAATGGTGCAGGAAACAGTTTTAGGATCTCCTTCGGTTTACGCCAGAGAAATGGAGCGCCTTTCTGCTAAGGAATCGCTAGTTCTCGCTGTAAAACTTCTCTCACTTTTATTAACTTTGAATTACTTGGTTGATATGTGAAATATGATTTGTTTAGATCTTCAATTTCACTCTGATTTTGAAATTGGGTCTCTGTTATCATCTCTGTCTTATGCTGAGGACAAATGGGAAAATTTTAGGTGAATTGTGTATTTGTCAGCTGTAATCAAGATATTGCAGATAACAAAAGAGGAAAATTGTCTCAAGTCCAGAAATGAATGACCATGTTTCAGCTAAATTGGGCTTTCTTGAATATAGGAAGTAGGAACAGCTCTGTCTTTTGAACTCTCTGTTTTTGTTGCCCTGAAACCAAACTTTGTACAGTTGAAGGATGCTGGAGGCTTTGAGGCTTTAGTTACAGGGAAAACAACTAATATGCAAAGGATCGATGTGAATGAGAGAATTACTAGTCTAGAGCGGCTTAACCCGACTCCCAGACCAACCACGTAGGTGCTTCTTTACACTTTTGGTTATTGTTTTTGCTTCGGTGTTAGGAGAATTGTCTTTTCACTGGTTCCTATAGCTTTTTCCAGGTCTCCTTGTTTCGAAGGCAGATGGAATTTTGAGTGGTTTGGATCTGGAAGTCCTGGTTTACTCGCTGCTCGAGTTATATTCGAGTCAGTACTTACCTACTTATCATTTTCTCATCTTAAACCTCACCATTTTTATTCTAAGTTTTTGAATATTTTGCTATCTGATGCTATTGTTTCAGGAGATTTCCTTCAACATTGGCGAATTTATCAAGAATGGAGATACTGATCAAGGATGCTAACGCAAAGGCGACGGCAAATATCAAACTTTTGAACTCGGTAACACACTGAAACACTTTTCAAAGTTTGATTATGTATTTACATGGAATCACAGAGGAGGTTTCTCATAGTGGCAAAAATGTGCAGATAGAAAGCAAAATCATTCTGTCATCAAAATTGACTGTCGAGGGACCTCTGAGATTGAAAGAAGAATATGTTGAAGGTATGCTCGAATCCCCAACAGTCATTGAAGAAGCAGTTCCTGAACAGCTAAAAGGTGCATTGAGTCAAGCCGCCACAACGTTGCAGCAGCTTCCTGCTCTTATCAAGGATACTCTAGCCAGTGGTCTGAGAATTCCCCTAAGTAAGCTACTTTATTCATTATTTATACAGTAAACATTTTCCGCTCAAATGTACACTGAACCAACTAGTGTTATTTGCTTCAGGTGGTTCCTTTGAAAGATTCTTCATGATATCTTATCTAGACGAAGAGATTCTTGTAAGTTTATTGAATATATTTTCTATAAGCCCATGCTCGGAAGCGAATATTTGAAAAGAATGGTGAGACAGGCTGAGATCCTTGCACTAACCGAGTTTTATCCGCTTTTGGTTGTTTTGTTTTTCTTGCAGATAGTTAGAGATACCGAAGGAGTGCCTGAAGTTCTAACGAGGATTGAAACACCATCATCTACCGTTGTAGAAACTCTTGAATACGATAGTTAGATGTTACTAGCCATTGTTCTTGTTCCTATGTTCTTTCTGCGTTAATACAAGAACCAACCACCAAGTTGGTGTCTGTAAATGTTTGAAGCTAATAACTTTAACCATACATTAAAACCTCTTCCTTCTCTTGTGTTCGTTCGGCAATCTTCTCAACTTTTCCAAGTACTTGCAGATTCTCTGTTTTGATATTCATAAACTCTTTCTTTGTAAAAGAGAGTTCAGATTTAACATTTTCTTAGTTGATTTATTATGCCAACTTGATCAAAGATATTATGAGGGTTATCTCTTGATGTGTCATGTGTGGTTCCATCATCATCATCATCATCATCAGCATCACCACCGTGACACACATGCATATATACACGTTTGTAATTGTGTGGTTACTTGTCGGCTCATATTTGTAGTTTTCATATATTATATTTGCTATCTTTAATTAATTATGGCCCCATTTGTACTTATCTTATGTTAAGTTTCAGTCAATCAATCAATACGTCTATTTCTCAGTCAATTCGGATAAGCGAAGAAAACATTTCAAAAATGAGAAAAAAAAATAAAAAAGATTTTCGGAGTGAAAGAATATTCTAAACGTGCATGTTGTTAGTTAATTACGTTGTAGCCAATCCCTATGTTATTTTGTTAATAGATTTTCAGAATCTTTATATTTTTATACATATCTACTTCTAGATTATAGTGTAATCACATACAAAAAATAGAAGAGAAAATGATTAAGAAATAAAATTCGTAATAATCGTAAACCCGAACCTCCCACGATTCCACAAGAATATTGTTTAAAAAGTCAAATCCTTTAATTATCAAAAAAAACAAAATTTAGCTTCTAGTTCCTATATAAAAGAAGAAAACAAAAATTTATTCACCTATTTAAGAAAATAAATTTTAAAAAAATGCTTCCATGAGATAATTTAGGCGATGAAAAAAAAAAAAGATGATTTAGGCATAATGGTTAGGTTCTGCGAAAACGTTGCCATGTAAGTGGGCGGAAGAAGCAACAGCAGGGTCAATGGTGAAGGGTAAATAAGGGAATTCATCTAGCTCCTGAATGAAGCCGCCGAAATCCCCTAACCCGTTGAAGAACCCACCGGAGCTCTCACCGCCATTTCCGTTCCACGTCATCGACACCATCCCTACTTCTTCTTCGTCTTCTACTTCTGAGTTTGTGCAGAATCTCTTGTTCATGTGATGGACTTGATGATGATCATCATGATCATGACTTCCTCTAGATCTAGGGTTTCTTTTTAGGCCCTTTTGGTGAGGGAGGTCGTGGTCATGATCTTGTTTTCCGGTGAGATTCTGGACGATTTTCCTGAAGTTAGAGACGTCGGTCTTAATGATCTCCGGTGCGAATATGTGGATGATGCGGATCTTAGGTTTAGATTTGGTTAGTGTTCTTGACTGCTTGTGCATGGCTATTGTTGGTATGCTTCTTCTTTTCTGAACAGTAGTAGCTTCAATTTCCATATATAGTTTTGTAGAAACAAGAAAATTAGGGTTTATGTGATTAGAAGAGAGATAGTTGGTGAATTTTTATGGTAAGTGGAATGTGATAAGGTTAAGATTTTATAGGAGATAAGGAGAAGAGAGAGAGAAAGGAAATGATAAAGAAAAATAAACTTATTTTAGAGTTACAAGTTTAGTGACAACTAATATATGTTTAGTTAGTCCTTTTGTTTCATTTCGTCAACTCGTATTTCTAGTTTATATGTAGCAGAACGTAAGATCCTCTATATATTATTAATAAAGGCAAATAATATTGATTGATGTCTTGTTGAGATTCAATACATAAACTATAGTTACAATAATTATGAGATTTCATTTATATTGATATGAAAGAGATGTGTCAGGCTGTCTCCGAAGACATGATATTGATAAATCCAAAGGAAGTCCACGGACCCCTCCAACTATAACAAAATCCTCGTTTTGGAATGGCTTAAGACATTTTTTCATTATATTTTTAAGCATATTGTTTGATCATTGATATTAATTTTTTGTGGCTCTACGTACGATATTTCATGTAATTTGTAATCGTTTTCGCATTCATACGACTAAATGTGTACACATAGTGTAAAAACGATCAATATTAAAGTTGGAGTTTATATAACATCATGAAGGTGACACATACAATATTTCCAATTGAAATGTATTTTTTATTTCAACATAGTCGAATTAAAGTAAAAGTAGTCATTAGTATATTTGGCAATGTGTGTTTAGTTTAGGTAGTACGCATAAATCCAGGTGGCTTCAATTAAATAATACCTATAGGATTTCAGAAACTTGTCCCCATGTAATGTACACAAACTCAACCACCTTATCATTTGCAATCTCTAAAGTTCAACATAAAAATACAATTTGTGTGGACCACTACCAAAACTTTTTCTAATCTATGATTACAGCCTTATATAACAACGAGAATCTTAGATACATGTTAATTAAATTAATTGGATGACATTAATGTGAAAGAAAAAAATATATGCAAGGTGTAAAATTAAGAACCACAAATGTCACAGCTACTGGTTGGTGTACATTTAAATACATATATATGTGTGTGAAATGTTCATAAGAGTTTTTTATTCAAAAAAAAAGAAATGTTCATAAGAGTTTTAAGAACCATTTACGAACTTATGATATAACTAACAAGACATAAAGAGATAATAATTATTAGCGTTAATTAGGAAGATAAGAATGTACACTTTGGTCACAAAAAAGGAAGATAAGATTGTACGAAATCGGACGTAATGATATAAGGACATGGAAATGGCATGACCCTCGGGTGCACGAGGCAGTTGCACTTCCTGACGACTAATTTCTCCATTTTACTTGGCTTACTTTTATATTTTTATCTCTTTTCCTTTTATCATGCGAATCCATTCGATCTAAGTTCAACCAATTTATTCCTAATTGTTTTTGTATTATATTGGCCAACTCATTTGAATTATAATGTGTAGTGTTATATATCTTAATTGTGTCTATGCTTGTTAGATTTTCTAACACCTGTTGGATATAAGTAACAATATCTTGAAATCAATACAATACTTATCACACCCACAGACTATATAATATCTTGGACAAGCGATACACTGTCTTCAACAAACAAAACAATCACAAACATATATAGATAATAATACCTCTGTTTTGAGTCAAATAACGACGTCCTATATACTATAGAAAATATAAATTTACACACACTATATAAATTTACACAAGCATACATGTATCATTCTTACTGAACAAGAGATGTTTTTGTAGAAGCCAAAACTTAAATTTTAACTTTATATATGTGTGGTATAGACATCGTCGTACTAACAGTTGAACATTTTAACTAGAATAAGGAATATATTTTATGATACTATATCTTGTGATAATAGCCGTCGGATGTACATGTACCAATGAGATATGAAAGAAATCCAACGGCTAGAAAAATAAAAAAGAAGTGAAACTCCAATGAAAGGATTTGGTTTGTGTGCGTCAGAGGCGAAACACGAGTCTCGTGCTCTCCCTTTTGGATTCGGACCACACGAGCGCAGCGGCTAAAGAAGCAATGTTGTCAAAAACGTGGCTACTAGAGCCGTATGGGTTATGGGCCCCACGATCTCTTTACTTGACGTGGTTCCCAGTTTCAAACTTGTGGTGTATCCTCTTTGGCTGGAACTTTCTTTATTTTTCGAAAATTTAATTCGATTTAATTATTATAATTGTCAAAGTTCTCCAATTTGTACAATGCTAATTCAACACTCGTGCTGCATTAGGTGAAAACTTATTCACACTGGGAAACCTATTATTGTTGATTAATTAAAACTTTTTTTTGTTAGTGTTGCAAAACAAAATTATCATTTATGTTGTTATATATATTTATGAATGTAGATACGGATATGATTGAATCGCACATGTTAACACGTATTGTTCCCTGCCGGGGAAGAAGGAAATCAAAATCATTGGAGAATTATAAGCATCCTACCTACCTTGATTACTAATCATTCGTAGAATCATTTTCCCTAAAATGTCATTTTTTTTTCTAAATACACCCTTGATTACTGAATCTACATACCAAATCATAAAAATAAAATAAAACGTATCTTATAGCAATATTGTTTATGCTATTTCAACACTCGTGCTGCATCAGGTGAAAACTTATTCACATTAGGAAACCTTTATATAAAATTATGTTTCTCATGATATATTTCTAAATTATGTTACTTTATGAAACGTATGCATTCAGTTGTAAAACAAGTTTTTTTCTCTTCTCTTTTTTGAATATAATTTAATATCTATTAAAAAAAAATGATATATTGTTGATTAAAACCTTTTTTTTTTGTGTAGTACAAACAAAAACTTGTTTTTTTACGCTATATGGACCTGTCTCAAGTTTTTAGCCTAGGATTTCAAAATTTTAAAATGCTCGACAAGTTTGCCTCCAGGACCAGATACGAAAATCAAGAAAACAGATCATGTTGTGGTTGGTGATGAGAAGCCGGTTTCAGACAAGGATGATGAAGCCTCTGGAAAATACGATGGTGAATCTCTGATTATGAAGACAATGACTAGAGGAAGAACCTCCTCGACGAAAAAAGTAGCAAACAGGAACGTCAAGATCCGTGAATCCAGTTTGAATGTTGATGATAGCAAAGGCAAGGTTAAGAAAACTGATGAAGAGAAGAAAGGAAGCTCAAAAAAGAGAAGTGCTGCGAGTTTTCTCAAGAGAATGAAAGTGGGTTCTTCGGATGAGACATTGAAGCCTAGCTCTGCGGCTGATTCTTCTACTGCTGGAAAAGGAAGATGAGCAGAACAGAGGAAGAATAACAGCAACAAAGCTGATGCTAAGAGAAGACCAATACCAAGGATAAAGCAAACAAATGAGAAAGCAAGTACTGTGAAGAGAAACAATGGTCAAGCCTCAGAAAGAGAAAAAGAGGCTGCGTCTTCTTCTTCACCACGCTTTAAGAAACGTGCAAGGAGGTGATTTAGTAATTGTACTACACCACTACTTAATTAGCTATATATATATATATATATACACACATATATATCTTCTGAAGAACAGAGCTTTTTTTTGCTACTCAATTAGCTATAAATAACTAAATATTATCAGGTCATACTACGACTCGTTAAATGGTAAAAATGCAAACACTCGAAATCAAATGAGTATAGAATAAAGCATCTCAGTCATTAGATTTAAAAACTTCTGCCTGACGAATCTGCAGGTCATAAAGCATCTGCAGAAACCCAAACCCAGAAAATCAGCACAAATATATATATATATATATATATATATATATATGTATTATAACCATCACGAATGTATCAAATACCTTGGCAGTTGGGAGTTCGACCTCCAACAACCTAAGAATAGCAGCAGCGTCAGTTTCAATGGCCACGTCACCAATATCATCCGCACGCATCTGAAAATGAAACACGATTGGACGAAAAATAAATATCTAGCAGATTTAGAGTAAAACTCGAAACGTTTAGCTCTATAAGAACCAAATGCTAGCAGAATATATAACTTGGACTTGAGATGCAAACCAATAAATTCCAAAAGAGTCAACAAGGCATTCTAATAGGGCATATACCCGATCGAGTCCGACGGGACCAAGTGAGGTCTTAAAATTTTTTGAAGCAGCAGCATGCCAAGCTGTCGCTTGATTTCTTATTCTATCAAATACACTGGCAGCTGGCTGTTCGACCTCCAACATCCTAAGAATAGTAGCAGCGTCAGTTTCAATGGTCACGTCACCAATATCATCCGCACCCATCTGAATATGAAACACGATTGGACGAAAAATAAATATCTAGCATGTTTAGAATAAAACTGGTAACATTTAGCTCTAAAAGAACAGATCTATATATAACTTAACTTGAGATGCAAATCAGAAACCAATAAATTCCAAAAGAGTCGCAAAGCATTGGAATAAGGCATACCAGGTCGAGTCCAACGGGACCGAGTGAGGTCTTAGCAATATTTGAAACATCTTGGCAAGCCATCACTGCATGTAAAGTTATCAAATCCGAGTTAATGCACCAGAAGTCGCCAAAAGAAGAGAGAAAAAAAAAATCCCTAGCAGCTGAAGATCGAACACAAAATCTCCGATGGGAAATTAGTATGAGCAGAAATGGAAAAATAGACGAAAACATGGAGAGAAAATAGAACCTTCCTGAGTACAATCATCTTGACCGGATTGTCTATCGCCGAAAATATCCGGATTTTGAGCGGAGATCGACATTATCAGGTTAGACTGTGAACACGAGCGGAGAAGCTAGCTAGATCGCTAGAGAAGTGCAGTGAGAGAGAGTTGGCATCAATGAAACGGCGACGTTAGTGCTTTTATATCTATTTTGGGCCCTAAAAAGATATGTTCTTAGGCCCCTTTTATAATAATAATGGGTGAAACACGAAATATGGGCTATAGAACATGTGATGCTGAACACTCAAAAGGAACAGCACCTTAATCCGATATAGATCAACGTAGTAGTACTGAATATACACATCAAACCCAAGTAGATCTCTATAAGCATCACAAATCTGCTCTTTACTTTCTCCGGTTTGACTTCTTCTGCCTTCTAACTGAGGAAACTGGCTCGGCGTTGATAGGCACTGGTAAAACGGTTCCTTCGCGTATACCATCTGAATCTGATGACATCTTCTTTAAGGTTTTCTTCGCTTCAATGAAGACCGTAATATCTCTTATCTGTACAATCCATTTTTTACCAGGTCATACTATCACTCGTTAAAATGTTAATAGCAAACCTCAATAAAAGTATAGAAACTTTACCTGTTCTTGAAGATCAGCTATCATCTCGTCTTTTGATCCTAGCAATGCAGCTTCCCTAGATAAACACCAAAAATCAATCCTCTACTATGGTTGATGATTATTTATGTCAAATCAAGAAAGAAGAGCAAACATCTTGCACCTCTCTTCTATTTCTTTGGCTTTCTTCCGCCAAGTTTCCTGCTCTTTTATAAGTTTTCTATTCACCTGAAAACCCAATATTGCATAAGGAAACCTTTCAAGAATTGAACAATGATCAAAATAGAACAAAGGCAGAGATACTCTTACTTCAGTGATACCACTTTTTTCCTCTTCACATTTTTCAATCTCATTCTGAAGCTCCTGCATTTTGTTAACAACAGTTTGCTCAACTGCTTCGGCGACACTACATTCCTGCTTGCTTCTCGCCTCAACAATGAGAGATTCATAGTACTGAAAGACATCACAATCGCAAGTAATTGAGATCACTTGAATCAGTATACCATTAGGTGGCTACAACTTCACCTTATATTAAGTCTGTTCATATATAAATTAGAAGAGAAAGAAACAAGCATCAGAAGAACAACTTGCCTGTCGTTGTCCCTTTAGTTGACTTGCAAGAAGGTCATTATACTCGATTACAATCTGTTCCACAAAAACTTACTCAACTATAAAATCATAAAACCACTGTGGCAAACTGATGATCTAAGATTCATATGCTTTATGCAGGAAAAAAAAATGACCAAGGGTGGTTGAATATCATACTGAATCAACTTTGCTGTTAAAGATGGCTCCGCTAATTCCTGTATCCTCACTACACTCACAGAGACCACAGTCCCCGTCGTGTGACAGACAACGGGTGTTCATTTCTACTGACTTTCCATCAATTTTTGAATGATTTAACCGATGAACATAGCTGTCACCAACATAATCCCAGATTTGTTGTGTTCGCAAATCAAGAGAATAGCAGTGATGCGTTTCTTTCCAGTGCCTGATAGAATGCCCTTCCTTGTATCTACAATTGGAAAACATAATCCACTGTGAATGAAACTTCCACCTCTACGGAAGAAAAAGATGTGGAAATAAATTCAGGTTAACTAAAGCTTGTTACAGTAGAAATGCAAACCAAGCATTACCTTCCACAACCTAAGAAGCCACAGACAAGACATGCCCATACATTCTCTGTTTTTCCACAAATAGAACAGCTTAGTATCTCATCTTGTTGTTGACACAATCGACAAACCTACAAACGAAGTGATCATGTAGTGAAACAAGTGCAAGATATTTGTTAAGAAATGTTTTACGCAAGAAACATGCAAGTATTAAAACTGCAAAGTATGGAACAAAGTGTATTAGCTCAGGGAACACTGCCAATAAATGAACACCGAAAATGTAACACCAACCCATCATATAAAGTGAAACTGCAATGAAATGGATTGAAGGAGAACCACTCACCTGACATGATAGATAAGTCCATTTTGAAGTGCAAGAACACTGAAAGGAGTGATCACAAAGAGTGCTAACTATACCACTGGTATCAGGATCTAATCTCTCTACATGAGTCAAATTCCAAATACAGATATCAGAAAAAAAGGTATATAAAAAATTCAAAGTGATAATAACATAGAAATCGTCTTCTTTAGCACAACTCACCAAGACATATTGGACAAGTAGGTAACTCGGTAAATCCAGCAGGTGCTTCTGCAGCAACCTCATCAAATTCCGTGTGCTCCACCGACATTACATAGAGAATATGACAAACCTCAGCCTAAAACCCAAGAGAAAGTCAATTTCATGCAATCAAATGAACACAAATACAAAATACACGATAAGCTCGTTTTCATATTATAACCTCAGATGGTGAAAATGTTTTCCCATTCAGGTAATTGTAGAAACCATCTGCTGCGGATTGATCACTAAGCGTGATAAGAACACTATATCGATCTTCCATTCCATCGTTCCTAATCAATTTCAAGAAACACCAAATCCTTAATATCATCTTCACAAGTCAAAATCAAATCAAGTAATCAACACCAGTGAATTTTTCCAAGTGATCACCTAAAAGACGAGCAATGGAAATTTCAACGAACCTGATGAAGAGGATATCGGAGACTTGGGAGATGCGGGAATCAAAGAAACGGATAAAATCGAGAGAGGACATGTAATTGGGAACAGCTACGATGAAGAGAGTGGTGGATCGGGAGCTAGGGTTAGGTAGCGAGCTATGTGAAGAGTTGCGGTAGAGATGGATCAAGCCTTTGCGTTCGGTGAGTTTGAGAGATGGTTGTATGAGTTTAAGAGGAGGCTGAGTTCTCTTCGATGCGTAGGTGAAACCTGATTCTTCTTCTTCAATGGAGATTGGTCGCTCGGAGTCAACGGAATGAACTCTGAGGATGAACATCGCCAGAAGCGGGAAAGAGCTCGACGACGAAAGCTACTCTGAGAGAGAAGACGATGCGATGCTTCTTCTGATTTTTCAGTTTTGCTCATCTTAATGGGCTTTAAGTAGTGTCATTGGCCCGATAATTTTCAGCCCAACAATAAACCCGGCTTATCGTTCGTTAATTTTGGGGGTTAATTTTGTTTACTCTTAAAATCAAATCCATTAAGAATCTTCATGGTCGTATTGATAACGTTTTATTTTGGATTAATAATGAGAAGTTCAACTAAAATATTTATCTCGAAATGTAGTTGAAATTTGTTGTTAAAGAATATATAATGCAAGATCACTTTCAATTTTGTTTCTTTTGATTTCAAGATTTCCAACTAAATCAAAATGTAACGAGGCTTGATTGTTACAACATCCACATGACCAAACTCCATATATGTATATAGGCTTCATTCTCTCGCATTTTAGTAATCAAGACATCCATCAAACAAGAATTATATTGACTTTAAAAAATATAAAATAAACTCTTTGTCGTCGTCGCTCTAATGCTCAATTCTCACAAACTCCTAGCCAACATATCTTGGAATCTCCTGTAAGATTCAACCTTCTCCAGCAAAAACTTCTCATGACACCTCGCGATGAATATATCTGCCAAACGATCAATATCTTCATCACCAACACTCTGATGATCATCATTAATGTTATTATTCTCATCAACTTTTTCTTCTAGCCACTCGAGGTATTGAGATTCAAGATTATCCTCATCTTCATGACCATGAACGGAGAAAGGGAAAGGTTTAGTGACAGGAACGACGACATGGGAGGATCCAAAGAAGATGTTGTGGTGGTTCATGGATGACTTTGTTGTGTAAAACATCATCATGAATAACCTCTTCTTGTTGTGTTTAGAAATCTCTATAAGAACGGATTTGGCTCGTGAGAGAGACCGTAAAAGACGGTAAAGAGAGTGTGTGATGAGATTTAGGAATAGGGTTTTGAGATTCATGGAGTGGGAAGAAGATGATGACCTTTTGAGCTGCATGACTCAACGACAACTCTAGAGGCTATCTCACACTCTTCTTTTATGTGCATTAATCGACAATCTCGACTATTTATAAGGGACTTTGTTGACGTTTATAGCCCTACAAGTTCCTGTTATTTACTTAATTATATGAATACGACATAATAGTTTTGTGTCTTACAATTCCTTTCAAAGTTGAACAAGGTACGCGTGAGGAGAATCTAGAGATGACACAATCGTGATACAGAGTTGGTTTCAAATTTTAAACAACTTGCAACTGCCCCCTCCCTAATTATTCATCTCAGTTATAGGTCTTAATATTTTCCCCAACAATTTGCATACTGCAAATTTGAGGTTAATCGCTATGAAAAGTTTGCAATGATAAAAATATGTATGATTTGTTGACATTAGGTAATAGATCGCAAACCACCATATTACACTCCTTTTAACTTTAAGCTCTTGATTTTTATTTACATGTAAGAAAAACAAATTATACAAAGGAAAAACCAAGATTGCTACCTCGTAAATAAATTTACATCACATTCGGAGCACAAATCATATATAGTCCCCGCTGAGAAAAAAAAATCATTCTACAAATAGTTATATAAAAAATGTAGGTTAGGATCTTAAGGTAACAGCCAGAAAAAATGAAACGTAAATCACAAGAAGTTGTTTACGTGTATAGGTTTGGCATATCCTATATAACGTAAACAAAATGAGCATATTTCTTGGCTAAAAAGAGTTAAGAGAGAAGCAGCTTGATAAATTCAAAGTATAGAATCATATAATTACATCACCGCTTATTTCAAACTTCAATCATTTGGCATGCGTCCATCACCAATGATCAATTATGTGCTGTTAAAGCGTTGGGGTAGCTCAATACAACATTTTCCAGTAAATGAGTTCATAAGATCGAATTATATATATATAGATAATTTCTAACATATAGTCATATAGACGTAGTATGAAATATGACATGCACAAATAAATAAATGTTTCTGGGTTTTAGAAATAGAACGAAATCACTAGGGGTCTGATTGGTAACAGCTATAGCTTTACATTTTTTTATTTAGAATATGACTGTAGGTTTATTTGTTGTGGCCGTAGATTTTATTGCTGTAATATTTTGGCTGTAGAATTTATAATTTTGGAAAGTTGAAAATTATGTGATTTAGGAAAAAAGGCTTTCTACAGCAAAAAAAAATGAATTAACGAAATATTTTGGCTGTGAGAAAAAAAGGAAAGCCAAAACTTCTAAAGTTTGATTGGATGTATTTCAAATCTTTGGAAATTTTTTTGCTTTGTAAAGACTCTAAAGCACTTGCCAATCAGACCCTAGATTGTTGTAAGAAATTAAAAAAGCTCTTTTGCATTGCAATCCATTATTTTGTTTTGTTTTTTTTTTTTTTTTTTAACAATCCATTATTTTGAATTAGCTAGGTTCTGAAAAATATTCACATTATCACATATAGTGTGTAAAATCAAATAAATAACAAGTCATTGCTTGCAAAACAATTATGATGCGTATTGATACAAAACAAAAAAAAACAAATCCTAGATGATCTGTTCTCAGGGTCTTGAAGGCCAAGTGTGCATGCATAATTGAAGCTAAAACAGGTTCATTTGCATATACTCGAGAACAGTAGAAAGCCTTATGGGCTTTAGGTTCGGCCCATAAAATGAAGAGAGCAAAGCCTTTTATGAGAGACAATGCTGTTGAGTTATCCGAGTCTTATCCACAGAGACTAGACTAGATAGAGATCGAGAGCAGCACCACCAAAATCCCAAGTCCTAATTAACAACAGTAAGATCAAGTGTGGAAGGGAGTGAGAAACACGCGCGGATAGAGAGCGTGTGATTAGTTAGGATGAGAAAATCCGTATCGCATCTCATCTTCAACGGGGCAAAAGAAAGATCCATCGGCCAATGGACTTGGTCTATAGGGGATGGTGGTGGTAAGTGTGTGCTACTCTACTTATTAGCAAACTTCTCTCCTTTTCCTCTTTATTAGATCTCTCTCTGTTATGATCACTTGATTCAGAGTCTCAACGTTTCTCCTCTGATCTGTGTTGTTTTTCCTCTGTTTGTAAAACAGATACGCTTGTGTTTTAAGTAGATCGATTGGGAAACCCAAGAACACAAAAAGAGTTCCTTTTTCTAAGTACCCAAGAACTGTTTGGTTCTTCTGAGTGATTGGTTCATGTGTCCGAGATTCTGATGATTGGTATTAGCTACATATAGGTGAGTATTATGGATTTAAACAGTTTTGAATTATTGTACTTGTTTAGTTTTTCTGGAGAAGCTTAGGGAGATTGGAAACAAATTAAGATCAGTCTTTTTTATTACATTTGTTTGCTCATGCAATGTAATTGAAATGAAACTTAAAAATTAGGCTTTTCTTCTTGTTTAGTTTATTGCTGGTTTAGGTTTGGAACAGTTTGGCATAAGAAATGCAAATGTTATATGTTGAAGGAGACAAGGAATCTTGTTTTCATTTTTTAAGATTTTGTTTGTGCTTTCCACTGTTGTTAACTATTTAGATCAACAATGTGAAATGGAGTGATGTTACCTGATTGGTTATTTGTTTATAGTTCGAGGAATGACATCAGGGTTGTGTTTTAATGAGCTTTTTTATAATGTAGCAATGTGTTTTTAACTTGCAGGTTTCCAAATTTTGTACTAGTGTTTGGGATTTATAGAGAGTATGAGAAGAGGTAGAGGGAAAGGGAAGAAGCAGAGTGCATCTACTCGGGAAGATCGTGGAAGCGGTGATGAAGAAAAGATTCCTGCTTACAGGAGAAGAGGGAGGCCACAGAAGCCGATGAAAGATGATTTCGAAGAGGAAGAAGAAGAATATGATGAAGAGATGGTAGAGAAAATGGAAGAAGAAGATGAAGAAATTGATGATGGTTCTGTAACAAGTAAAGGTTTGAAGAAGGAGAAAAAGAGGAAGATGTCTAATGGAAGCAATATGGATCTGATTGAAGAAGAGAATGGGTTAGGATCGACATCTATTGGGTTTAGACCAGATGGAAGCCGGAGGAAAAGCAAGCCGAGGCGAGCTGCTGAAGCTGTTGTGGAATGTAACGGGGTTTGAGAAACCTCCCGGTGAAGAACTTCAAGAAACAGGATGACAAATTGACCTGAGGCTTCTTCTTTTCCTTCTTGTTTTTGCTTTTCTTACAAGTTTTTTGAAGTTGACAACTTAGGATCTCTTTTGGTGATTCATGAATCAATGGCATCAATTTGCACTCTCTTCTTTCTTGTGTCTCTTATTTTTTTGGTTTCTGACATTAGCGTCCAAAGATGGTCCCTGCAACACATGAATTTGTAATAAAATTTGGGAGAATGTGGTTGACACTATGAGAATCCTCTATATCTCCAAATATCAAATGATTCTGGCGATGCTATAATTGCAAATTGTGGAAGTTAGGCAAAATATAACAGCAAAGCCCTTAAGGGAAGAAGTGCTGTAATTAGACTTTAGAGATTGGTCTAAATTGAAAAGTTTAACAAAATTAAAATTTGCCAACCAATATTAATATTAAGATATTTTTCATTGAAAAATGTCAAATAATCATACATTTCTAAAGAAACATAAACCCAGGATCCGAAAAAGATAATGATAATAATAACAAGAAATTTGGCAAGTATTCGTCAGTATTGAGTCGATACTATTGACATCAGCATAAATCATAATTTCTCAAAATGTCTAGCTATGACGTAGTGGTAAAACTAGTCAGGGCTAAATTATGAGATCAGGTCTTTAGTTTCAGGGTTTAACCGATGCAGCCAAACAAGTGGAAACCACTTTCACTAAATAAAGCTAAACAAAAAGAACAAAACAAACCTAAACCTAATAAAATAATACTATACTACAGTTTACACAGACTCTGATGGATGATGTCTATGACTTCGATTTAACTTTTCATACTTTTTATTATAACGAAAATCAAGAAAGATCTTTCTTTGGATATTGTTGTAAGTACAAGAAATTATCGAGAAAGAAGTCCAAAATAAAACAAATGTGGCTTTAATTAGCAAAAACAGACAAACAAAGTGAAAACCAAGATAATAATAAACGAAAAAGGAAAAACATTTTGTTACATAATTTGGTTACTTTGCTAAACATGAGAAAGAGGTTAAGCAAATAAAAATAAGAGTACCGAAATTCATTAATAGGTTTGCTTGCACATCTGCCGACACCAGTTAGTTCCCTTGAAGTGTCACATCTTTTGTTGTGTTCCAATAACTGTACTGCTCCTATTTCAGTCTTTAATATTTTAACCTTTCCACGATCAGTATAAAAAAAAAAATTTCTTATCATATTCGTTACTCTTCAACTAACTACAGTGTAGAAGAAACTATCTATTTATAGAACTCTGATCTCCTCGGCAGTTTCCTATTGGTTACCAATGCTGAGTATATAGAATCTATGGAAAATAGTAGTTTTAAAATTCGAATGTTACTATTATTTTAAGTACAAAACAATATCAGATTATCAAAATTTGTAAAGTTGTGAAGTTGGATGTCCTATGGGAGAGTCTGAATATTGCTCCCTGGGTCTCTCAGATAGATGCTTTCAGAATTTAATACTACTTAAATATAAACTTACATCCCACATGACCTATCACCATCACGGTTAATTATGGATATCCAACATTAAAGAGTACCACCCAACACTAGGACTCATATAAAACACATAAATTCCAAAATCTATACCTAAAATCCCTGGACAAGATCAATAAAAATTTTCCCAACAAATGCAAGAGAGATTTCTATTCGTCACGGAGTCACGGATTGAGGTTTACCCAACCCGGTACAAAAGTGTTTACAAATATGTCCAGAAGTTCTAATTCTATCTTTTTGTATCTAAATAAGTTCCACAAAGTTCGACGACAGAAACCAAACATCTGTTGTTGATCCTCTACTCACAACGACGACCAGTCTAACGTTATTGGAAGTTCCACGTAAATTAAAATTGTGTTTCTTTTGTTAATGTTGAAAAAAAAGGGTTAAAAAGTCGACAAAAAATTAGCTTTGAAAATTTGAGGTGTGAAATCATGGTTCGTTTGCACGTGCTCCGGAGTCCGGACCAATCATGTTTACAACTATAAAAACTAATGTTTACAACTATAAAAACTAATGTTTAAACTGTTTTTCTTACTGCTTACAACTATAAACTTATGTTTAATCTATTTTCTTATGATAAACGAAAATAATAAAAGGGTTAAGAATAAATAATTTTCACATGACAAAACTATGAAACAGATACAACTTGAAATGATAAGAAAACAATTCCTTCATATTTTGAAATATAATCAATCTCTCAGGTTTAATTTCCAAGAAGAGTATATTCAGTGCTTTTTCTTCAATTATGTATATTTAACGTGTCGAAAACGGGCTGACCTACTTAATCCAAGTTATCATAGTATTAACTATGTTTACTATTCATAGCCTATAAGTTTTCTTCGGTTTGAAAACAGTTTGATATATATATATATATATCGGTTTGCATTCAGTTCAAAACCAAGTCAAATTTATGGTAGATTGGCTATGGACAAACACAAAATATCATCTCCATTTATTGCCAACCTCATAATGCCAATGGTGGACCAAAAGGAAAAACATGCATTTATTTAAACATGCATTTATTTATTCTCTTTTTTTTTTTTTTTTTTGAGCAAAGTTTTATTCTCTTGACATAAGAAAAAAAAAATGCATTTAACTTGCCAAATAATTGCAAAATAATTGCAAAGAAAAACTCTATAAAAAGGTAGAAAATGTGAACAGTATAAAGTAAAAAAAAAAAGAGAAGAAGTATGTGTACATGAAAGACCTCTCCAATGTTCACTTGCTCCAGTTTCTCCAAGATTAGAAACTGCTACGTCTCTCTCTATATCTCTCTCGTTTTGCTATGTGGTAATTAACAACAGACAACAGTTTTTGTTTGTCCGTACCGTTTTACTTACTCTCTCACTGTCTTTGTCTATTACCAATCTCGTCTCTTTCTTTTTTCCTTCTGTTGTGTTTCTCTCTCTCTCCTTTCTCTAAACCCAAAACAGTCAAAATCAGGGAAGCCAAAATTTTCTTTGCTTTCTTCTCCTTTGGTCCTTTCTTTAAACCCGAGACAGTTAGGTTTGTGAGAGAGAGAATGATGAGAAAAGCCCTTTCTGTCTGAGTAAGAGGAAACCAAAATGGAGATGGGTTCCAACTCGGGTCCGGGTCATGGTCCGGGTCAGGCAGAGTCTGGTGGTTCCTCCACTGAGTCATCCTCTTTCAGTGGAGGGCTCATGTTTGGCCAGAAGATCTACTTCGAGGACGGTGGTGGTGGATCCGGGTCTTCTTCCTCTGGTGGTTCAAACAGACGTGTCCGTGGAGGCGGGTCGGGTCAGTCGGGTCAGATACCAAGGTGCCAAGTGGAAGGCTGTGGAATGGATCTAACCAATGCAAAAGGTTATTACTCGAGGCACAGAGTTTGTGGAGTGCACTCTAAAACACCTAAAGTCATTGTCGCTGGTATCGAACAGAGGTTTTGTCAACAGTGCAGCAGGTTCTTTTATTCTTCCCAGTTCTACCCTTTAGTTCTATTGTTTATTTACATGTTTTGCCATTGCCGGAGATATTCGAGTCCGGCCAAGGCTTTCCTTGTTCCACTGTTGTGAATCAAATCTAAAGGCTTTAGCTTTTTGTGATTGTCAGTGTCGTATGCTTTTTTGGCTTTAACGTCTTTTTATTTTCATTTTAAAAACTTTACAGCTTAGTTTTGTAACCTGGTCTTATGTTTGTTGGACTCGTTGGGCTTATTTTTGGGAACATGTTTACGTGTACTTGTAGATGCTTCTCTTTTATTTATTTTTGATTTTGTCTTTCTAAAAATCTATAATCCAAGGAGATATGAAATGAATGGACAAGAAGAAAGCCATTGCCCTCATTATCTTTGCTTCTTTAGGTCATATCATTATTGAGGGGGACAAAAAAAGTGTACCATAGCATCATTGACGTGATCATTGAGGAACTCTGCTACATCACAAGTGTGTGGTTTTAGATTCTAATTCAAAACTGATGACGAAAGCTTATAATGAGTTATAGAATGTATAGAAACGGTGGTTAACTTGGAGAGGTCCTATGTTTGGAATGTTCTGTTATGTTGCTTTTCTTTGAAGTTAACTCAATCTGAATGAATCACATAGGTTTCATCAGCTTCCGGAGTTTGACCTAGAGAAAAGAAGTTGCCGTAGGAGACTCGCTGGTCACAATGAGCGACGGAGGAAGCCACAGCCTGCCTCTCTCTCTGTGTTATCTTCTCGTTACGGGAGGATCGCACCATCACTTTACGGTTAGATCCTAAAGCTCGACATATTATAAGACCGATTTGTGTGCTTAATTTATCCTTAAAAGATAGATGTTTATATGCTTATAACAGGAAATGCTGATGCTGGAATGAATGGAAGCTTTCTTGGGAACCAAGAGATGGGATGGCCAAGTTCAAGAACGTTGGATACAAGAGTGATGAGACGGCCTGTGTCATCACCGTCGTGGCAGATCAATCCAATGAATGTATTTAGTCAAGGTTCAGTTAATGGAGGAGGGACAAGCTTCTCATCTCCAGAGATTATGGACACTAAACTAGAGAGCTACAAGGGAATTGGCGACTCAAATTGTGCCCTCTCTCTTCTGTCAAATCCACATCAACCACAGGACAACAACAACACATGGCGAGCTTCTTCAGGTTTTGGCCCCATGACGGTTACAATGGCTCAGCCACCACCTGCACCTGGCCAGCATCAGTATCTGAACCCGCCTTGGGTATTCAAGGACGATGACAATGATATGTCTCCTGTTTTGAATTTGGGTCCGTACACCGAGCCAGATAATTGCCAAATAAGCAGTGGCACAACAATGGGTGAGTTCGAGTTATCAGACCACCATCATCAAAGTAGGAGACAGTACATGGAAGATGAGAACACAAGGGCTTATGACTCTTCTTCTCACCATACCAACTGGTCTCTCTGAGAGAATCTTCTTACAATGAACGATTCTGCAATATCTTATCTTTTGTTTTTTTTTTTTTTCTTTCTGTTATCTGCTATTAATAAACCAGACAATTGTGGCCAGAGAATGGCTTTTGATTTTTTTTGTTATGCGTGTTGTTGTTTTATCGCCATGAAATCAAAGTTATGAGATCATTCTTATCTTTATAATTCTTCATAATCACCAGAAGACGACTCAACAGATTCTTATATTTATAAAAAGGTCTCGTCAGAAACAGTAAGAAGTAAAGACGGTGATAGTGACCTTTCTTCCTAAAGATATCATCATCATTCATCAAAAAAAGAAAGAAAGAAAAAGATCTCATCATCTTCCATGGTCATCAGAGCTTTGCTACAGAGACGTAAAGAGAATATCATAAATGGGCTTAATAATGGGCCTAAGAGGCCCACATGAACTTTCGTTAGATTCTTCTAATTAGGCTTTCTCGGGCTCTACCGTCTCGTCTCCTGAAGAACAACAAAACATCTTTCATTGAGCTCCGCCACTGAATCGCTCATCCTTCGCTTCTTCGAATTCCAAAGGTTAGACTTTTCTGAATTCTTCAATGATCCCTCTTCGTTTTTTTCTGTAACATTTCTTCTCTTCGTTAGTGGTGGATTCCTTTTCTCCTTGTATTACAACTTTGATGAGCTTAATGAGCTTTTCACAAACTAGGGTTCTGCTTTTACTTTTATCAAATCTTGGATTTTTTGTTCCAATCCAATGTCTCTCTACATAAATTTTGGGTCTTTAAACCAGATTATATTGACGATCTAGAAATGGGTTCATAAATTTGTAAAGACCGCGACTTTAAAACTTCAATTTGATGAAATTCCTTCAAATCCGCGTCTTTTGATACACTCCGCATTGAAAATTTCACATTTTAATGTTATTTTTTTATCGTGTTTTCTATGTTTTACTTGTGTGCGTTAGGTAGAACCGTAGAAGAAATCATGGATCCAGCTGAAATGAGATATTTGGAAGAAGAGGATGGTCCGTTGATGAAGACAATCAAAGGTAGTATCACTGGTTTTGGTGCTGGGACGATTTACGGAACTGTTTTAGCGACGTGGAAAGATGTTCCAAGAGTGGAGAGAAATGTGGCTCTTCCAGGACTTATTAGAACACTGAAGATGATGGGAACCCACGGGCTGACTTTTGCTGCCATCGGAGGCGTTTACATTGGTGTTGAACAGCTGGTTCAGAATTTCAGATCCAAGAGAGATTTTTACAATGGTGCTATTGGTGGTTTTGTGGCTGGAGCTTCTGTGCTTGGCTATAGAGGTAATGCTTTTTCTTCTTCACTTATGGTTCGTTACTGTATCGATGGTTAAGTAGTTTCGAACTGATATGGTTTTGGGGAAGACCATTTGAAGTTGCTGGAACTAGCAGTATGTAGTTCACTTCACGTGTTTTAGGAGCTTAGTAGTTATTGATGGACAAACAACGATTTCGAGTTGTAGTAACTAAGAGAATTATGATGGGAAGAAATTGATTCTTCCTTACCTCAAGTTAATGTTATTTGGTGCCTACTGTGTAGCATATCTATATGATACCACAAGTGGATCAAGACTTTGGTATTGACTATTGAGTATGTACAAGAAACTCCCAAATTCTCATATAGTAAAGATCGAAAGTACATAGCTTTGAGAGACATGATGCTATAGATTTGTGCATTCTTTTGATGCTATACTTCATTGTAATTTGGTTTATTTTGGTGATAATTTGTTTTCCTTTCTTGTTACAGCAAGGAGCATCCCAACAGCGATAGCTGCAGGTGCAACACTAGCTGTTACCTCTGCTTTGATTGATTCTGGAGGTCAGACCACAAGAGTAGACACTGGCAGAGAATACTATCCTTACACCGTCGAGAAAAGAGCTGAAGCTGATTCCTGATTTCACCTTTGGTGACTGAATTAATAAGATGTGCATTCGCAGATCCCGGGCTCTTGAGATATTCTCTCTTCCATGTCCTCTCTTTTTTGTTTATTGTATCTGGATATGTGAAATCATGAAACTCTTTGCTCTTGTTTCCTCCTGTTTTCTGGAGAGCGACTCTATCACATCTTTTGTCTGAATGTTTCCTACAATAAAAATTCAACTTTGTCTGCAAATGTAACAAATGCTTCAGCTTTTAGGAATCAGTAATCAGTAATCAGACATTTGCTTGCTTTTGTTAGTAATCTCAAGCTAGTTTATTTATCTGAATTTATAATAGATTTGAACGTGACAAGCATAAGGAAACAAACATGAAACATGTATAACAACAATCAGATGATATGGATTTGGAGATCTACATGTAAAAGCAGATGATATGGATTTGGAGATCTACATGTAAAAGCAGAGTTGTAGACGTGGCAATAAATCATTGGCTATCTTAAATTTCCTTGTGGTATGGCTAATCTTGTGGTTCTTGTCCAAGTAACTATCGCATCACAGTGAGTGACCGAGTTCTTTTTCCAGAGACCTCTGCAGCGATGGCGGGGATCATAAGCCCTAGCCCTACGGCTCTTTATTTCACCAGGTAATACGAGTTCCCTCAACTGAAAGCTGACTCCTTTTGAATATCGCCAAGTTCTTTAATCTTGAAGTTAACAGTTTCGATTTCTGATGCAGTAATGTCGGTGGGAGGAGACTGAAAGCGGTGAGCTGGGCGGGAAAGAGCGTCTCTGGGAACACTATCCGCCGGAGAAGCTTGAGGATTGCTGCAGAAGTGAAATTCGTGAATGCAGAAGAAGCAAAGCAGTTAATAGCTGAAGAAGGTTACTCGGTGGTGGATGTGAGAGACAAGACTCAGTTCGAGAGAGCTCATATAAAATCTTGCTCCCATATCCCTCTCTTCATTTACAACGAAGACAACGATATTGGTAAGAACTATAACCTTAACTTGAACAAACAGTTGGCATTATTATAATTCTGAGATTCTGAGTGGGTTTTGTCTAAACAAAATTGCAGGCACCATCATAAAGAGGACAGTGCACAACAATTTCTCAGGGCTCTTCTTTGGTTTGCCTTTCACGAAAGTGAATCCGGACTTCCTTAAATCCGTTAAAAACGAGTTTTCTCAAGACCGCAAACTTTTACTTGTTTGCCAAGAAGGTCTCAGGTTAGTAGAACAAACTCTGGATTTCACTGAGACATTGTACCACCGAATGTAATATGAAGAGACTTTTAAGTTTCTTTATTCGATCTTGAAAAGATCTGCAGCTGCAGCTAGTAGATTGGAGGAAGCAGGTTACGAAAACATCGCTTGTGTAACATCAGGGCTACAATCTGTAAAACCAGGTTTGATTCCATTTGGTTTCATCTAAGATCATTTCTTGATGGGTTGTGGAGATAGTTTGGATTTGAGAAAGATGATGAATCGAATTCACTGGTTGTTGCGTCTTTAGGGACATTTGAATCAGTTGGATCCACCGAGTTGCAGAATGCAGGCAAAGCAGGGCTTATCACAATTCAAGGCAAGATCTCAGCAGTCTTAGGAACAGTGCTCGTGTGTAAGTATAATTTACCATAGAGTTGAAGAGTATACATAATGTTGTTTGATCTTTTCTTTTGGTTATGAATAAGACTTTTTTGAACTTGCAGGTGCTTATTTGTTCATACAGTTCTTCCCGGACCAAGCAGAGAAGCTCTTTCCTCCAACAAGCTAAGACAAGACAAAACAACAATTGATCCAGAGAAGTTTTCACCTGTTTTGAATGTGTAGAGATGCTTAAGAGAAAAGATTGAAAAAGATTTATATAGATGGTATTGAGCAAAGTTGATATCTGCTTATAACAATTGAAAGAAATCAACACTTAAAAAGACAAGGTTGCATAATGTTTTTCAAGGACAAAAACGTGGATATTTAAAACTAATAAATATGATCAAAGCAGAGAGAAACCTACACAAACAGAGCTTTAGGAGTTAGAGAGAGTGCTGTGTATTTAAGTTCTGATGTCAAACGTGCTAGCAATCCCTGAGTAACAACGGATCAAGAGAACTCTACAGTGACTCTGACATTTTCCATCGCCATTGGTCTTTAGTCGCCTTGTAGGCAGTAAAGTTGCCGAATATTTCCAGTTGCTATCACCAAAGAAACAGATACATATAGAGCATTGCATGACCAGTGAAGTAAATGAACTAGAATGTGGATTTGATTTGATTACCGTAGAGCCAGTCTTTAAAATGCATGTGGAACGCTGTAGTAAGTTCTCGTTTTCGGTTTTCTTCAAGAGATGTTTCTCTTAATGATTGTCTTGTTTCTTCTAAATTCTTAAGCTGCTCAAAACCAAAACGTAGTTAAGGGATTAGATGCTGGGATATGGATGAAAAACAAACAAGCAATTTTATGCAGAAAAGCAACAAAAAAAAACCATACGTTTGTCTGCTGCACTGCCTTATATGCATCTGGCAATGGAAATGGATTGTCTTTCGTGGAACCAAGCGCTTCGCCCTCAAACCAGTTTGGGATCTGAAGCAGTGACATTGATGTGAGACCTTAACCCATGATCACAATCTTAGTAACCAACATCACTAGTTATTAGAGGAAAATTAAAATAACAAAAAGGGGAATCTAACCAAAAAGGTAGTGAACTGGTCAGGGTCCACACAAGAAGCCGGTTCAGATTGTTTATCAGAGGCGCCAGTCGGATGTGATAGTGAGTCATGCGGATCAACTGCTCCCAGTGCCAAGGATTCATTCCATTTGTTGATAGTTGGCTGAATTCCTACCTCGGTTATGTGCTCCTCCAAGTGTGAGTAAAATGTATTATATGGAGCAACCTGGAACAGATCACAGTCACATTGATGCCAACAGTTATAGACAACACATCAGAAGATGTTTCCCTCAACTCAACTGAAGAAGTGACTACAGTGTTCAACTGTCCAAACACCATGAACTATTTATATGATCATGAGTATACCAGGCTTTTAACACAGAAAAGATATAATCTAAAGTTACAAAAAACTGTGGTCTATTTACTAATTCCAGCTGAATATCAGAGCGGGAAAGAGAAGAGTTGTGTATGCTAATATGCAGCCCGATATAAAACTTGTAAATTCAACCCTCAATCTTAGGGAGACACAACACCTGTAGTTTGTGGTTATCACCAACAATAAGAGGTCGCTGATTGACTCCCAAAAAGAACACACATTCACGGCAATTGGCGATGCAGATTCGTTTGGTAGCTACAATCACATGAACTCTCTCACAATGCTCAACTCTTACTGCCTGCAGAGAACATAAAATATTCTCACTGCATCTTCTAACCTGAACCTCGTTAACAAAGACTAAAACAGGAAGGAGTATATATGGCGTACCTTGCCAGCAGCTCCCAGAACGATAGTAGAATCAGAACATCCATACACAGTTGCATATCTCAATGGTGCTAACAGATAAATAACAGAATCATGGCAATTGGCAACCTGCAGAATACACAAAACATGCAATTGACGTGCATACATGAGCGAAAGAAACTAAATGAGGAATACAAAATGTGAAAGATTGCTGATTAAAATGCAAACTAGTTGTTTAATACGGACCTTAACTGATCTACCCTTAAGATCAGAAGCCTGCTTGAAAAGTGAGGTCTTAGAGACTCCCTCAATAATACACGGACCTCTGTCGTTAGATGAAACTTTATTAAGAGCTCCAAAAGAATTTGCCATTGCAGCATCTTGATCAGAGGCATTAGATGCCCCATTTTCTTTTCCAGAAATTCTGTCAGAAATGCTCTCTAAGGCAGAAGCTATGTCTTTGAGAAGCCAATCATTCACTTGGGAAGCAGGAACGGGGACAGCGGGCATATTGGAATCAGAATTCGCAAAAAAAGGACTAGCTTGGCTTAAAGAAGGTACATCAAATCCCTTATCACCATAATGAACAAGAAATCCAATATGCTCCAAACTCCCCATAGACAGGACCTGAGGAGGAGGTTTGGACCATCTAACATGAGATATTCGTTCTTTTCCATTTCCCATAATATTTGTATTACAACATAAGTTTTTATATCCATCTAATACAAACAGTTATTCATTCCCAAATGAGATAAAAAAAAGGTTAACACATACCAAAGATTCATCTCCTTCTCCCTCCCCAGGCTCTGCAAGGAGAGCAACAATATTTGCTATGTGCTTTTGCAGATACGATAATTGATGAGCTTCTTCATCTGCCGGTGATGGCATAAACCGACGGCTGTTGCTACGAACAAGCTGCAAGATGATGAAAGGAAATTAAACTTAAACTTCAACAACAACAACGTTGTCATATATTGCTTAATGCTAACGTAATTTCTTAACTTGCATTGCAAAGTTATAGTGGAATCCAATGCAAATAGATCACAAGATAACATTTTGAGGCACATTACATAATTAAGAGAATGTAAAACGAAGAAGAGTTGCCTGAATTGGAGATAATGCGGACAAGTATCCATCAAAAGCAGAAGTCGATGGCCAAACATCAGCCACAGAAGCAGAGTCCTTATGCGTCCTAGGCAACAACTTCTTATACGATTGAATGAAGAGAAACAACAACAGATCCCTCAAATCAGCTCCGACGGAATCAACTTCCTCAGGTTTGGCCAAAACCAATGGGTCAGTCTCGCAATGGAGCACCGAACCGAGAGTTTCAAGAACGAGGCGCGCATGGTCATTGGAGATCGAGAGTGCATCGGAAATGGCAGCAGATCCGACGCGGTTATTCGTTGCGGAAGCAGCTAACTTTTGCTTGATCGGAGCTAGAGTTTGAATCGGGTCGGTAAAAACAAGCTTCTGGATCGGAAGAAGGCCGTGCTCGAAAGGAACACGTCTCGGGTGGATTACTAAATTCGGACTTTGAATCGGGTTCGGAGTTTCAATCGGGTCTGGGTCAGGTGGTGGTGATTGGTCGATGAGTTCTTCGGTCATTATGCCTCAAAACCAGAGAAAGAGAATGAGAGAACAGTTATGAAGAAGTTGCAGATCTTTGAACAATTGTCATCGAGAAGAAGAAGAGAAGAGAGAGAGTGTTATATTTATTACAGTGTGTGCAACCACATGCTATTATCCTACGCCTCGTGATGAATAATGGGTCAAAAAGGCCGATAGTTAAATGGGCTTTAACGGCCCATTAAGTAACACTTGATAATTAGTTCCTTCTCCGTTCGTTGTAAAACTGCGAATCAGTTTCTTACCGTCGTCAATGGATGATTATTTGGCAGCTTACTATAATCTACCGGCGATTGTTCCTCCTCCGCAGCCGGGGGTGGCTCCGATTCCAATTACTTCCGCTCATTCCGTTTTTTTGCCTACACATGTCTCAATCGGAGCTCGCGATGAGGTTCGGACGCTTTTCGTCGCCGGACTTCCTGAAGATGTCAAGCCTCGGGAGATCTATAATCTGTTTCGAGAGTTCCCAGGTTATGAGACTTCACATCTCCGGAGCTCAGATGGAGCTAAGGTAATCATTTTATATCTCTCCGGATTTGTGATTTGGGTACTGATGTTTTCCGGCGAAGAGACTGAGAATCTTACTTTATTTTTTTTGGTAGCCCTTCGCATTTGCTGTGTTCTCGGATCTGCAATCAGCTGTAACGGTGATGCATGCTCTCAATGTGAGTACAAATTTCTTCGAACTTGCTCTTGCAAGTAAATTTGGTGTCTTTATGGTTGTTCTTATTCAATCTAAGTAACTTGAAATCGTTTGGTTGGGTTTTGTCTGCGTAAATGAATAAGCTTTGTCATTTACCTTTGCCTGGATTAAGCAACATTCTGAATTTATTTATGAAGAGCATTAAGTCATCTTTGTTTATTTTTTTACCTTTTAGGGAATGGTGTTTGATCTTGAAAAGTATTCTACTCTTCACATTGACCTTGCCAAATCAAATCCCAAATCTAAGCGTTCAAGAACAGGCAAGTAGTAGGATTCTTTCGGTTCGGTAGCTCAATAAAAGTTTGATCTTTGCTATTGTGTTAATTTTTATTTTGTGATGTGGTAGATGATGGTTGGGAAAGCTTGAAAAAACCCAAGCCTTGGAGCACCACTACTGAATCTGGTAAGATCATTGGCACACACCTTCATCTTGGGGCTTCTTGTGACCTTTTGTATTTTATGTTTCTTGTATCTGAATATTTGTATAGTATTTTATTGTTCCAAACTTCCAATCTTCACGATCCTCACGCAGCCACGCTCATGCATGTTAGCTCTTTTTGGTTTAAGATTTTACACTTGGGCTATAAGTGCCGTCAACATGGTTTCACGTTTCTGAAAGCTCACACTGCACATTCTTGCACGTTTGGGCACTAGCAGGTTTTGGCAGCTTTCACACTCCTGGAATGAGTAGTTCTACTTACAACACAATTGGTTATTCACCTGCACAAAGGTCATCTGCACTACTTGAGCACATTTTCTGGTTACTTGTGAATGCTTAGATTCTGTTTGTTTGTTGCACACACTTTTCTTGTATCTCTGCCCTGTAATCTGACCTACTTAAGGCTTAGCTGAACTAGTCAAGTTTCCATGCCCTGGATACGAGAGTGCTTGTTCTTTCTTAGCTAACAGCTTACGAAACTCAGGGTCTCATTATATTCTTTTTTCTCGTTCAGTCAAGGAATTGCTAATGTTGCTGGGAGGGCACCAACTACTGGAAATTCTGTAAGCTTCTGCCTATTTTATACTTTTATATGAATATTGTTTTCTGTCTGGACGAAAAACAGTGAGGTAAACTATCCTTACCAGTGAACATGACAATCTCTGTTCTTTTGACAGAGTAAAGCGGCAGATCCTTGTCCAACACTTTTCATAGCGAATATGGGACCAAATTGCACTGAAGCTGAGCTAATTCAAGTTTTCTCGAGGTAAGAATACTCTATTCTCCACGCAAAACTGTGACCACTAGAGATAGTTTTCACTCTCTTTCCTCTCAGATGCCGTGGATTCTTGAAGCTGAAGATTCAGGGTACATATGGGACTCCTGTTGCATTTGTTGATTTCCAGGTACAGCTCTTGCAATATTTTTTTCTAAATGAAATCGAGAGAGATCCTATTTTGTTTAAAGAGTGAATTGACTACTTCAATATGTGTCTCTGCAGGACGTCAGCTGCTCAAGTGAAGCACTACATACTCTTCAAGGGACAGTGCTTTACTCATCCCTCACTGGGGAAGGTTTGAGGCTGCAGTATCCTTCACTTCTATACCCATTTTATTTCTTTGTTTTTTTACTCGTGGGACTTTACAGCTTTCCCAAGAACTGACTTAACAAGCAATATCAGATATGCTAGATCACGGATGGGAATGCGTAAGAAGATTAATTCGGGTTAAAATTGATTAAGCTCTGATTAGTAATGATAAAGTAGAAATGTCATGCCAAAACGGCATAGGTACTGAACTTTGCTATATGCATGTATAGTTACAGTACGCAGATGTATTATTTATCATATTAATTTAAGGGATCATATTTGGAGAGCAAGTTTTATGTAAGAGTCTTGAAATTATACAGAACCATGGTTCCTTTATACATATACTTCTTGGGAAATCTTATAGAAACAGGTAACATCTAGCGGTATACATAAGCACTTAGAAGGTTTTAAAGTGATCAACAGGGTTGCACACAAGTGGTCGAGCCATCTCAGCAGAAAAACCAGAACCTTGGCTCAGATCTACCTTCTGTCCATCAACACTCTTCCAGTCAAAGCGCTGCACCAATGAACCCACACCTATATGCATCACATTCATGGCCAGGGATGCTCCTGGACATCCTCTTCTTCCACTCCCAAACGGAAGGTAACGGAAATTCTGCCCCTTGAACTCCATCTGGTGTTCACCTATCTTCTCTTCAGAGCTCTCTAGAAATCTCTCCGGGATGAATCTGTCTGCATCTGTCCATAGTTCTGAATCTCGCATGATTGCATAAACATTTACGAGTACACGTGTTTTTGACTTGACAAGGCACCCATGCACCTGGCAGTCTTCGGCGCATTCTCTTATGATCAGAGGAGCTGAAGGGTGGAGCCTCAGAGTTTCCCTTAAGACTGCTCGGAGGTAAGGTAGGTTAGGAACGTCTGATTCTTTGACCAGTCTTTTACTGCCAACAACGGTATTGATCTCTTCTCTTAACTTGTTGAACGCTTGTGGATGGTTTATTAGTTGCCCCATTGCCCACTGCATTGCTGCTGCTGATGTATCTGTTCCCGCCATGAAAACATCCTAGAGAAGTTTCACGCAGCACACAGTTTTATCATATCAGAATAGTCAAATTGAAAATTGGATACTAATTGCAGGTGAGAGGAAACATACCAGCAGGAAAGATTTCATGTCATTCCTCGTTATCTTCATTTCAGCAGTGGGATCTCTGTAAGTATCCAACAGTATATCCAAAATATCCTTTCTGGTACCATCTTTCTTCTTTGCCTCTGCCTCACGTTCCTTCATAATCCTCTCTACAAGCAGGTCATATTTCTCCATTACAGCCTCTAATTTCTTCCCGTTACCAGAAAAATCCAGTACTTTCAATGGCCCCAACACATCTCCTACACTGATCTTCCCCGCAAGCTCCAAACTTTTCTTCACCAGCTCCCTTATCTCTTCCGCTTCATTATCAGTACCTGAACACCTCGTGCTCATCGCCATCCTGCAGATTACATTGTTGGTGTATTTTATGAACTGGCTACTCAAGTCACAAGGCAACCCTTCTCCGCAACAGTTAGCCACAGACTCGATCAGCTTCAGTTTCTCCTCCTCACGGATGTCAGCGAATTTCTCCAGCTGTGGAACAGCAAGAAGCTTAGTCATGCACAGTTTCTTCATGAACCTCCAATAATCTCCATACTGCGCAAGGACAAACCTGGACCCTCTATACTTGAAATACTCAGCAGATCCAAACTCAGGTCTCGAGGAGAAATTAAGCTCTTGCTCCTTGAAAATCTCTCTTGCCACCGAAGAGCTTGAGACCACAACGCACTTAGAAGCACCAAGACGTATCTCCATGAGTGGGCCATACTTGTGAGCTAGACTCTGGAATGAGACAGGCAATACTTTGCCTATCAAATGAAGGTGACCAATGAATGGTAAAGCTGGAGGGCTCTGTGGCAGCTTCATAGCATCCGTTGAACCCTGCTCCCTCAAGAACCATTTGAAGAGAGCATAAAGCATGAAAGCAGAAACGAAGGATGTGATGAGAATAATAAGGTTAGTGTTTAGTTCTAGATCCATTGCAGGTTTATTGACATTTTGAAGTGTGATTGTATTTGTACCCCAGACAGACGAATCTTGTTTATTAGATGCTCATTGTAAATAAAACAAACAACAGATGTGTGATCTTTTACCAAATATAAAATATGCGTGACGTAACATATATGAAAATTGTTTAATTCAAGAAAATTGTTTAATTATAGTTTTTTTTTAATAGAAGGCATTTCCCCGATTGTGACAATTGCAGACACAAGAAATCTCAGGCTAAAAAGAACATCTGCAATTTCCACCAACAAACCAAACTTCTGTACAATCTGTTTAACTACAATATCCTGAATCAAGAAGACATCATCATACAAAAAGCCTAAAAGTAAAAGGTTTCCAACATAAACCCGTGAACTATCTAACAGTTATCACCCATACGATATATCATCAGAAGATGAATCTCTTATACTATGTTTTTATCATCAGAAACATGATAGAATCTCCCTACTATATCATCAGAGAGATGATTGACCCCTTCCTAGTTAATCATCAGAGATTGATACCCAAAAGTCTCAACAAAATCTACACGCTCATGAAGATATCACCAGTAGATGATCCACCTCTCTCTTAGATATCATAAGAAGATGATGTACTCACTGTGCAGGCACACCTTTATTCCCTGAATCCTATGGTCTCCTCCTAATGTCACTTCATTTTTTTTTTCTTTTCTGAGTATGAAAAGTGGATATCATCGCATTGACATTAACGTCCGAACTCTTTTCTCCCTTTCTGCTCTCTTTGCACTAGGAGTGCTTTTCATTTTCTGAATCTCTTCCATCACAACCTTCTCCACTTTATCAATAGAGTTGAGGAGCTTCTTCTGTGGAGTGAGGGCATCTTCTTCCCCTGTGTTTTCTCTTGTGATGTCGAGCAGAATCTGATGGACTTTAGCAGTTGAGGGTGGCCAGGGACGCTTGAATCCAACAGATGGACCAGGAGTAACCATAGAGTAATCATGCTCGAGCTGAGCACCTGAAAGTGGTACTAGAGAATCAAGAACCCCAAGCTGTTGTGGAGTTGGGGTCTCAATATCTCGGCCAACGCCTTCTCCCATACGAGCTCTCCTTCTCTCAACAGCCTGCATATAAGAATTTGTAAATAGAATAAATAGCCAGGCTAAGCAAGCCTTTTGGCAACAGGTTATGATATAGTTAAACAACGAGGCTAAGCAAGCCTGTTACAGAAGACTAATCCAGCTTATAAGCATCAGGTTCCAACTCAGCAGGAAAAATACTAGTGAGGTAATCAAGATGCAGCAAAACAATACTCTATGTGCAAACTCCAAACAAATCCAAGAATAAGGGAATATCCTGAACCAAGATACAAGTTATATACCAGATATAAACAGTTCACAAATTTGGCTATATATCAATTGAAAAAAAACTCCAATTAAATCCAAGAGTAAGCAGACAAATCCAAAATCAAATAAGGTTTAGTCAACTAACCCTAACAACGGCAGAAACATCACGGAGGGGAGTTCTTGGATACCAAGAAGGTAACACAGAATTTGAAGCACGAGCCCTTCCACGTCTTGTAACACCCAAGCTCATGTTCTCTCGTCCCTGTGGCGATCTAAATTGAATTTGACCTCTTCTACCACCACCAGTCCGCCGAATACCGAAATTACCCCTCACAAGCCCACCTCTACCCATCATAGATCCTTGACCAACTGACCCAAGCCCTGTAGCTTCGGACGGCACTCTCTGAACCGGAGACCCAAACAAATTGTGGTGTGTTGCTGGCTCGTCAAGTAAAATACCATGAGAGCGTCTATTGAGAAATGCGGCTGGGTAATCAACTGGTCTCTCTATTCGGTCTCTTGCTTCTGGCATTGTGATTCAACACTGCGTAAATCGAATAACGAAACCATTAGAACACACCCAAGATTGAAATCACAACACTGACGAAATTAACAACCCCAGAATTTCAAATAAGAACTCAATCTTGTCCTCCATTGCAATCAGATTTTCTCGAAACTTCACAAAGAACTTAATTCTAAACAAATCAAACCACGGATTTACCTATAAATCTTCAATAGGTTCCTTCGTGATTGCTCCGAGTGGCTTCGTGAACGGTAAAGTGCAGGGGACAAAGGGGAAAAAGAGAGAAAAGCTTTAGAGAGAGAGACGATCTGGCAAAAAAATTGAGACCATCTTCTAGGCGGGTTTTATAATTGAAAATGAAAATTTTCGAGCTCGCACGTGTCTGAGAGGTTTCACCTGTGTGAAATTTTTTGAATTTTCATCTCAGGCGGGATAAAATTTTCGTTTTTTCAGCACACACAATTCGTCAAATTCTTGGTCAGATTACAATTTTGCCCTTCTTAATAAGACTGGGCTTTTGGCCCAATTCCATTTACTAACGGTCGGCTTGGCTGGTTGGTACGGTCTATATAAGACGATAATACGAAACACTACTAACCAAGAACCAACTCTAATTAATTGTTTCTTCTAGTTATCGTTAAACCGATTGAGCCGGACAAATCCACAATTTAGTATGGGCCTGTGGATTTGGAATTTGTGACCGACAATGTAAAGTAAAGTCGGTTTAGTTTATATATATATATATTGTCCGGTTAGAACCGTGCCTCTGTTGCACAAAAACATTGTCTCGATCAAATCCGAAAGACGACGATTGCGGAGAACGGGAGAGGTAATAGAAGAGTTTTTCGTTCCGCTTATTGTTTTGTTTCATTGATTTAATTTTGGAATTTGGGGTTTCTTTTTCCGATTTGGTGATGTCGAATTTGGGTGGCGGTGGTGCGGAGGAGCAAGCTAGGTTGAAGCAGTATGGGTACAAAGTCAATTCCAGTCTGGTTCTTAACAGTGATGAGCGTCGTCGTGATACTCATGAATCATCTGGTGAACCGGAGAGTCTCAGGGGCAGAATTGATCCGAAATCCTTTGGAGATCGTGTTGTTAAGGGGAGGCCTCATGAGTTAGATGAGAGGCTGAAACAATCGAAGAAGAAGGAGCGTGAAGATGATATGGTATCTACTCAGGAGAGTAAAAGACCTCGTCTCAGGGAGGTGATTGTGCTTACTGATACGGATGATGGTGTTTATCAGCCCAAGAGTAAGGAAACAAGGGCTGCTTTTGAGACTATGCTTAGTCTTATTCAGCAGCAATTGGGTGGGCAGCCTTTGAATATTGTTTGTGGTGCGGCTGATGAGATTTTGGCTGTTCTCAAGAACGAATCCGTCAAAAACCATGAAAAGAAGGTAGAGATTGAGAAACTATTAAATATTATTCCTGATAAGGTTTTCAATCAGTTTGTTACCATTGGAAAACTGATTACAGACTATCAAGAGGAGGGTGGTGATTCTTTAAGTGGTCAAGCTTGTGAGGATGAAGGACTTGATTATGATGTTGGTGTGGCACTTGAATTTGAAGAGGATGATGAGGAGAGTGATCTTGATATGGTCCACGATGAAAAGGATGAGGACGATGAAGACGATGTTGAGCCTAACAAAACCAGAGGTGTCCAGGTGGGTATGACAATAAACGGTGAGGATGCAAGACATGCAAAAGAGGATATGAGTCTTAATGTTCAGGATATTGATGCTTATTGGCTTCAGAGAAAGATATCTCAAGAATATGAGCAGAAGATTGATGCACAAGAGTGCCAGGAACTCGCAGAAGAGCTGCTTAAGATACTTGCTGAGGGTAGTGATAGGGATGCTGAGATCAAGCTGCTTGAGCACCTTCAGTTTGAAAAGTTCAGCCTTGTTAAATTTCTGTTGCAAAACCGCCTTAAAGTTGTGTGGTGCACCCGTTTGGCTAGGGCAAGAGACCAAGAAGAGAGGAATCAAATTGAGGAGGAGATGACGGGGTCGGGCTCAGAGTTGGCAGCAATTGTGAAGGAGTTACATGCCAAAAGAGCAACCGCCAAAGAAAGGGAAGAGAAACGGGAGAAAGATATCAAAGATGAAGCCCGACATCTTATGGATGATGACTCTGATGGAGACAGAGAAAGAGGCCTGAGAGATGTTGATGATATAGATTTGGAGAATGGTTGGCTGAAGGGTCAGCGTCAGGTGCTGGACCTGGAGAGCCTTGCTTTTTATCAAGGTGGTTTCACGAGGGAGAATAACAAGTGTGAGCTTCCCGATCGCTCTTTCAGAATATGTGGCAAGGAATTTGATGAGGTTCATGTACCGTGGGTTTCGAAAAAGTTTGATAGTAATGAAAAGCTTGTAAAAATTAGCGATTTGCCAGAGTGGGCCCAACCAGCTTTTGGGGGAATGCAACAGTTGAACAGGGTTCAGAGCAAAGTGTACAGCACTGCTCTTTTTAAGGCCGAGAACATTCTTCTTTGTGCTCCAACTGGTGCGGGGAAGACCAATGTTGCTGTGCTCACCATACTGCACCAGCTTGGATTGAATATGAACCCAGATGGAACGTTTAATCATGGGAATTACAAAATTGTCTATGTTGCACCAATGAAAGCCCTTGTTGCTGAGGTCGTGGATAGTCTATCTCAACGGTTGAAGGATTATGGAGTTACTGTGAAGGAACTCAGTGGGGATCAGTCCCTTACTGGGCAAGAAATCAAAGAGACTCAGATAATTGTTACAACGCCAGAGAAGTGGGATATCATCACCAGGAAATCTGGAGATCGCACTTATACTCAGCTTGTGAGGCTCCTTATAATCGACGAAATTCATCTTCTTCATGATAATCGAGGGCCTGTGCTTGAAAGTATTGTCGCTAGGACTCTTAGGCAGATTGAAACCACAAAGGAGCATATTCGTCTGGTAGGTTTATCTGCAACACTGCCAAACTGTGACGATGTAGCTTTATTTTTGCGGGTGGATCTTAAAAATGGGTTGTTTAAATTTGACCGCAGCTACAGACCTGTGCCTCTCAGTCAGCAATATATAGGAGTTAATGTGAAAAAGCCGTTGCGGAGGTTCCAATTGATGAACGATATATGTTATCAGAAAGTAGTGGCTGTTGCTGGAAAACACCAGGTCCTTATCTTTGTCCATTCGAGGAAGGAAACAGCAAAAACTGCAAGGGCGATACGGGACACCGCTATGGCAAATAATACCCTCAGCAGATTCTTGAAGGAAGATAGTCAAAGTCGTGAAATTCTTCAGAGTTTGACTGAACTTCTCAAGAATAGTGACCTGAAAGAGCTTCTGCCTTATGGTTTTGCAATTCATCATGCCGGGTTGACAAGGACTGATCGTGAGATAGTTGAGAATCAATTTCGCTTGGGGAATTTGCAAGTGTTGATTTCCACGGCAACTCTTGCCTGGGGTGTGAATTTGCCCGCACATACTGTCATTATCAAAGGAACCCAAGTATATAATCCTGAGAGAGGGGCGTGGATGGAGCTGAGTCCTTTAGATGTTATGCAGATGATTGGTCGTGCCGGAAGACCTCAGTATGACCAACAGGGAGAGGGGATAATAATCACTGGATACAGCGAGCTACAGTATTATCTTCGTTTGATGAATGAGCAACTGCCTATTGAAAGCCAGTTTATTTCCAAACTTGCTGATCAGCTCAATGCTGAAATTGTGCTTGGAACCATTCAGAATGCTAGAGAAGCTTGCCGCTGGCTTGGCTATACATATTTATATGTCTGCATGGTTCGGAATCCGACACTGTATGGCGTACCGCCTGATGCCCTTGCAAAAGACTTGCTATTAGAGGAGAGAAGAGCTGATCTGATACATTCTGCTGCTACTATCTTGGACAAGAACAACCTGATTAAGTACGATAGGAAAAGTGGACACTTCCAGGTTACCGATTTGGGACGCATTGCTAGCTACTACTACATAACCCATGGGACAATAGCTGCATACAATGAGAATCTGAAGCCAACAATGAATGATATAGAGCTTTGCCGTCTGTTCTCACTGAGTGAGGAGTTCAAGTATGTCACTGTTCGACAAGATGAGAAGATGGAACTGGCAAAGCTTTTGGATCGTGTACCGATTCCGGTAAAGGAAACACTAGAAGATCCTAGTGCAAAGATCAACGTTTTGCTGCAAGTATATATTTCAAAGCTAAAGCTCGAGGGTCTTTCTTTGACATCTGACATGGTTTATATTACCCAGAGTGCTGGACGTCTGCTACGAGCTATTTTTGAGATTGTGTTGAAGAGGGGGTGGGCTCAACTGTCTGAGAAAGCTCTCAACTTGTCTAAAATGGTAGGGAAGAGGATGTGGAGTGTTCAGACACCCCTCTGGCAGTTTCCTGGAATTCCCAAGGAGATTCTGATGAAGGTGGAGAAGAATAATCTGGTGTGGGAGAGGTACTATGATCTATCTTCACAGGAGCTAGGAGAGCTTATTCGTAATCCTAAGATGGGCAGACCACTTCACAAGCACATCCATCAGTTCCCAAAACTGAATCTTGCAGCACATGTTTTGCCGATTTCTCGTTCTGTTCTGCAGGTGAAGCTTACAGTGACACCTGATTTCCACTGGGATGACAAAGCACATAAATATGTTGAACCGTTTTGGATAATTGTGGAAGACAATGATGGTGAAAAGATCCTTCATCATGAGTACTTTCTTTTGAAAAAGCATTATATTGATGAGGACCACACGTTGAACTTCACTGTGCCAATCTCTGAGCCAATTCCCCCACAGTATTTCATTCGAGTGGTTTCAGACAAATGGCTTGACTCGCCGACTGTGTTACCTGTATCTTTCAGGCATCTTATTCTTCCAGAAAAATATCCACCACCTACAGAGCTACTGGATTTGCAGCCCCTCCCGGTGATGGCCCTAAGGAATCCGTCTTATGAAACTCTGTATCAGGATTTCAAGCATTTCAATCCAGTGCAGACTCAGGTCTTTAGTGTTTTGTATAACACAAGTGACAATGTATTGGTTGCTGCTCCCACAGGAAGTGGGAAGACTATATGTGCGGAGTTTGCTATATTAAGGAATCATCTTGAAGGACCTGATTCTACTATGCGTGTTGTCTATGTAGCACCTCTTGAGGCTATTGCCAAGGAGCAGTTTCGTGATTGGGAGAAAAAGTTTGGAAAGGGGCTTGGTTTACGGGTTGTTGAGTTAACTGGGGAAACAGCATTGGATCTTAAGCTGCTTGAGAAAGGTCAGATAATCATAAGTACTCCTGAGAAATGGGACGCTCTATCCCGCAGGTGGAAACAGAGAAAATATATCCAGCAGGTTAGTTTGTTTATTGTTGATGAGCTTCATTTAATTGGGGGTCAAGGTGGTCCAGTATTGGAGGTAATTGTCTCTAGAATGAGATATATTTCAAGTCAGGTCGGGAATAAAATCAGGATTGTTGCATTATCGACTTCCCTTGCAAATGCCAAAGATCTTGGGGAGTGGATTGGGGCCAGTTCATGTGGCTTTTTCAACTTCCCGCCTAATGTTCGTCCTGTCCCACTGGAAATCCACATTCATGGGGTGGACATATTGAGTTTTGAAGCCAGGATGCAGGCGATGACTAAGCCAACATACACTGCCATAGTCCAGCATGCCAGGAACAAGAAACCAGCTATCGTTTTTGTCCCGACCCGTAAACATGTCCACCTTACTGATGTGGATCTGATAGCATACTCACACATGGACAACATGCAGAACCCTCATTTCCTTTTAGGGAATCTGGAAGAATTAGAGCCTTTTGTTAAACAAATCTGTGAGGAAACTCTGAAGGAAACTTTACGTCATGGTGTTGGCTACTTGCATGAGGGTTTAAGCAATCTGGATCAGGAGATTGTGACTCAGCTTTTTGAAGCTGGACGGATTCAGGTATGTGTAATGTCTAGTTCATTGTGTTGGGGCACTCCATTGAAGGCGCATTTGGTTGTTGTAATGGGAACACAATTCTATGACGGACGGGAAAATTCTCATTTGGATTACCCGATATCTGATCTGCTCCAGATGATGGGTCGTGGTAGCAGACCTCTGCTTGACAACGCTGGGAAGTGTGTGATCTTCTGTCACGCACCACGTAAAGAGTATTACAAGAAATTTCTGTATGAAGCCTTTCCGGTTGAGAGTCATCTCCAACATTTCTTGCATGATAATTTCAATTCAGAAGTGGTTGCTAGAGTTATAGAGAACAAGCAAGATGCTGTTGATTATCTTACCTGGAGCTTCATGTACAGGAGGCTTCCCCAAAACCCTAACTACTACAATCTCCTGGGAGTGAGCCACAGACATTTATCTGATCACCTCTCAGAGCTAGTTGAAAACACTTTGTCTGATCTTGAAGTGAGTAAATGCATTGAAATAGAGAATGAGTTGGATCTCTCTCCTCTCAATCTTGGTATGATTGCTTCGTATTATTACATAAATTACACCACCATTGAGCGATTCAGTTCTCTCTTGGCTTCCAAGACCAAGATGAAGGGTCTTCTTGAGATCTTGACTTCAGCTTCGGAGTATGACTTGATTCCTATACGTCCTGGTGAAGAAGACGCAGTTTGGAGACTCATCAATCACCAGAGGTTCTCTTTTGAAAACCCAAAATGCGCAGACCCTCGTGTGAAAACAAACGCGCTTCTTCAGGCGCATTTCTCAAGGCAAAAAATCAGCGGTAACCTGGCAATGGATCAGCGTGAGGTCCTCTTATCTGCAACAAGACTTCTTCAAGCAATGGTCGATGTGATATCGAGCAATGGCACTCTAGATCTTGCTATTTTAGCTATGGAAGTAAGCCAGATGGTGACTCAAGGCATGTGGGATCGAGACTCCATGCTTCTGCAGCTTCCTCACTTCACAAAGGACTTAGCGAAAAGGTGGCAAGAGAATCCGGGGAATAACATCGAAACCATATTTGATCTTGTGGAAATGGAAGAGGACAAACGCCAAGAGCTTCTCCAAATGTCAGACGCTCAGCTTCTTGACATTGCCAGATTCTGCAACCGCTTCCCCAACATTGACCTTACATATGAGATTGTGGGCAGCAACGAGGTAAGCCCTGGAAAAGATATCACATTGCAGGTAATACTGGAGAGAGACATGGAGGGAAGGACAAAGGTGGGACCTGTGGACGCACCAAGATATCCCAAGACTAAAGAAGAAGGTTGGTGGCTAGTCGTTGGAGAAACCAAGACGAACCAGTTGATGGCCATCAAGAGAATCTCTCTGCAACGGAAGGCGAAGGTGAAGCTGGGGTCTGAACCAGGAGAGAAGTCGTATACACTCTACTTCATGTGCGATTCTTACTTGGGTTGTGACCAGGAGTACTCTTTCACTGTTGATGTCAAAGATTCTGATGCCGCAGATCACATGGAAGAATGATTTATGTTTTCTGGTTAGTTTTCGCGTCTTTCTTTGTTTTCTGGTCATAATTTCGCATTTAGCTACTGTTGTTGATCTTACCTTTTGTAATACAACATGTGATTACTAGATTCTGCATCGTAGCTGGAGTTTGCTGTTCCAACATGACCAGGAGAGAAGTCGTATACGCACTACTTCATGTGCGATTCTTACTTGGGTTGTGACCAGGAGTACTCTTTCACTGTTGATGTCGAAGATTCTGACGTTGCAGATCACATGGAAGAATGATTTATGTTTTCTGGTTAGTTTTCGCGTCTTTCTTTGTTCTTCTGGTCGCATTTAGCTACTGTAGTTGATCTTACATTTGATTACTAGATTCTGCATTGTAACTTGGATGTGAAAAAAGAAAGAAAAGAACAAATCGAGTACTATTTTATTGCTTAGGATGTTGTTGAAAGCAGATGCTTTTTCCTCAAGAGCTTACATAGACAATTTGGTCTGTTTCGGCTAAAAAATATTCAGACATGACATAGTTTCTTTCTTATCCTTCTCTCTGCTTTTTTTAGTCCTATCTACACACTTTGTTGCGCCCTATATTGACTTCTTCTCTTTGTTCATACACTTGCAGTTAGCTCTGTTGTCGTTTAGAATCTGTGTAAACCAACCCAACAGAAGTCTAAATCAATTCAATCGGATTACACTTAAACCGGCCCTTTAGTTTTTCCACAATGATCATGAACTTTACCTTATACTGTCTTTGTAAATCTTTGATGTAATCCACTGCTAAATCCAACATATCCGAAGTGTTCGTTTGCTGTTAAAACATAAGGAACCAACATCATTGAACCGAGTCAATGCAAGGGAAAACACTTCGTTTATGATCAAGACTCATTACAAGGAAGTTCCAGAAAACTGTACCTTGTCCATGTTAGGAACAAGCTCTTGTAATTTCCTCATTCGCTCGCTTATCCGCGTTCTTCTTACCTGACACAATTTGACAAAAGATTTTTTAGGAAAGAAGAAACTTTTCAGGCATTAGACTTCTAAAATCAAACTAGAGTATGCTTCAAAAGGACTTCTATTCATATGTAAAGATGGTTTTGAACTAGTTGAAGTTACCCGTTCAGCGATGCTTCGAGGATGTGTAGCGCAACCACGTTTGGCTCTAATTTTACAAGGAACAGAATCTTGCAACTGAAGATACTTATCTACTGAAACCATGTCCGACGCTGTTGATGAGGACTTGGGTAGACTCAAATGATGCGACAGTAACTGCATACGATTCCCGGACTCTCCGTTCTGTACAAAACATCATTCAATTCTCTAGAAACCAGTCCAAGAAATCAACTCCACTTTCAGCTATTGAGCTATATAAAATGTCTAATGACCAACAACCAAAATAAACCGGTTGGAGAAACCGAGTTACCTGAGCTCCGAGAAACAATTTTCCATCGTCCTCTGTTTCTCTTTTAAGGGAGGATAAGTTATCAATGAAGCTGGATGGATCATTCCAATGGCTATATTGAAAATTCGTTTCGGGTGCAATTTCAGGTATTTGAGAGAGCATTCCCAGTGAAGAAGGTGGCCTTGAAGAGAGGCTGCAATGGCGTCTTAATCCGTTGGAGTTAGATGGACTCTCTTCATCTTCTTCGTAATTCATCATATTTCTCATTGAACCATAACCTGCAAATTGGTAAGTATAGTAGTAGAAACCATCAAACACTTATTAATTTGTTGAGTCCAAAGTGTTTACATGGTTGACAAAATCAGATCTTGTCTTAAAACATTCAAAAATCTTGAATCCAGTATTAAGACATATATTAAAAATTTATTTCAGACAACAAAAAAGGAAGAAACTTTGTTGCAGAGAGCGAAACGGTACCGTTGTGGTCAGAGAGGTTAGTGAACATTCCGGCGGGTGAGCTGCTTTGCCGGAGAAGATTGGATTCAACTGGTTTGGTGTGATGATTATTTATACCCAGAAACTGATCCAAACCAACCGAGTTCATCATCCCTTTACTCTGCCTCGGGTAATGCGGCGGCAAACCCAGAAAACTCGACGGCTCAAGCTGCGGTGGCGGCGGCAGAGTGGCGGCGTATGAAACAGAGGTGTTCGTTAACGAAACCGGAGACTTATCCTCGAATTTAGGTGAACCCAGATCGTCGTTTACGCCATTAGAGCTAACGAATCGTGAAAGCAACCTATCGGAGTCGAATCCAATCTTGTCGTCGTCAACAAAAGCGGCGAGAACAGAGCTCGGAGCTGATCTAAAACGAAGAAGACCCGACCCGGTGTGATTCGGGTCGTAGAGATGATTATTTGAATCCATTAAAAAATGGGACGAAAATTCCCCTGATTTTCTTCCTGTGCTCTGTTTCGTGACGTTTCAGGAAGAACAAATATGTAGAAAACCGAATCTTAATAAGCTTTCCAACGTCAACCGTTGATATATGAATATAAGCTTTCCTTTCTGTTTCTCCCTTGTCAAGTTCTTGTTTGTGTCACTTTTCCGGGAAATATAACTTGAGCTTGAGATGTAGTAAGCTTGAAGTTGGAGAAGATAAAACCTTGAAGAGGAAACAAAGAGGAGGTTTCGTGTGAAGAAGAGGTGAGAGAGAAAGAGAGAACGGTGAAGAGAGAAGGTGATGATGAATATTTATCGTCTTTTTGCTTCTGAGTTTCTGCGTCCAACTTTAATTGCTGAAGATAGCGGCGGATCCAAAAGCATTTTTACCAAAATTATTATAATTAAAATTAAAATTAAAAATAAGAAGAAAAAAGTAGCAGAGGAAGACGTCGTTTTAAGCCGCCTGTGAGGCTGACTCACGGAAATGCCTTATCATTTTCTATTTTATTTTTAATTACTAGTATTTTTTTTTTTTAAGAATATGAAATTTTATTTATAGAAAATGTAAATGAGAATAGAGTGTAGATTTTTAGATGAAATACATACTTTATACTCGTAATAAAGAAAGAGCATGTGAAGTAATTTACCTACCTAATCAATTTTAGCAAGTATACTGATGGACCCGTGACAAATTATTTCTCATTTTATAACCTACAAGTATCCATAATATCGCCTATTATTATATACAAAGAGAAAATTTACCTAATTTTTAAAAATTTTGCGGAGTTTTTATAGTAAAAATTGTTATTTTAAAAATTTTGGGCCTTTTTATACATTTTTTTATAAATAATTAGGCCTCTTAAAATATAATTCTCATATTAATAATATTTTTATAAAATATTTGGGCTTTTTTTATATGTAAATTTTTTTATAAAAAAAAAGCCCCGGGCCGTCGCACCTCCGCCCTACCCATCTGAGCCGGGGCTTCTGATAGACCCGTGACAATTATTTCTCATTTTATAACCTACAGTATCAATAATATCATTTTCTATACGATTATTCTAGTCTTTTACTTTGTCATCTATATGACTTTAGGTTCTTTATATAGAAAATATGGGAAAATATGTGATGTTTCGACCCTAATTTATAACACTCGAAGAAAAATATCTGTGTTGGGGACAATGAAATCGCTTGTAGGCCATACGATTATAACAAGATGCATTCATTTCAATATATATATATATATATATATATATATATATATATATATATATATATATATATACATGTTTTTTATTTTGGGTCGGTAGTTTAACTAATGTTACAATCTAAAATGAGAGAGTTTTCATGGTCAGGGATTCGAAATACCAAACATCAACAATTTAATATGTTTAAGGGACATGGATATAATCTCTAATATTTCTTGGTTACCTTAATAATAATAGACTACATACATAATCAGCAATTGTACAGACAAAATCTAATTAATATTCACTCGCATTGTACAATTTAAGAATTTCAGATTGTCCCATCATAGTATAAAAGTCAGAAGTTAGATGGTTAATATAGTTAGACACAAAAACATACTTTAAAGAGAAAGAAAGAAAATTGTCGGAAGTACAGTTTGTGTAAGTAATAAGAGAGATCAAAACTGTTAACTTTTTAACAAAATTTACGTACGTGGCTTTCCAAATCCGATTTAAGGTTCACGGAACCACAGTCCAGCTTACGACACGATCGTGACGGAGGACGTTGACGTTGACGCCGTTAACACGCATTGGGAACGTAAGTTGGCGTCGACTGGCGACTATAGTGTATGTGACATACGGTACATCTGCATGAAAAAGTATGATTGAAACCTAAACTCTAAAACCTCATTGGTCTAGGGATGATACAGTGACGTGACTCTATGTGAACGATACACACCAGATTACGCCTCCTCTAAATCTCTTTAAATCTTATCTTATTTTAACTTTAATAATTCACGAGCGCCGTCTTTTCTAAAATTTAAATCCAATAAAGCGACTTGCGTTTCTCTAATCAAGTTTTCATTTCAGCCCTTTAATGGGGAAATTGATTAGTTTCATTTCAGTCCTCCTTTAAACTTGTGGTTTATGTTTTCAAAAAACATATTTGTATCGTATCAATCTGAATTATACCTTTTAATTAGTACTACATTGTAAGAATTGAAAAAGAACGAACTTTACTAAGAAACTAAGAATGAACCGGACCATATTGAGAGGATTGGGGTGGTGAATTGCTTTGAATGTGAATTTATTCTCTATGGAGTTATTAGTTGTTTCATTCTTTTTTTATATGGGGACTACGGTTTATGTGCCTAAGACTATCTTCAATGTCCAACTCTATTTTTTATTTTATTTTAGAGTTGACTCTATTTTAAAGGCATTTTATTCTAATGTATGTCTCTAAAATAGAGAAAAATATAAAGTAGTCTTATTTTTTTACTCTATATATAGAGTAATCTCTACATTTTTCTTCTATTTTAGAGCTAACTCTATTTTAAAGGCATATAATGGAGCAAAATCAACTATATTTCCTCTAAAATAGAATCATCTCTAAAATAGAGGAAAAAATGAAGTTGGGCATTGGAGATGCTCTAAAGCTCTATATATATTGATGACATTGATATAGACTAAGCTACACAGTTTTAAAACTTCGAGCTGTTTAATAATTAATCAACAAGAAGACAAAATTGTATGAACAAGCACATGCACATACATAATACTACTATTTAAGCATAAGTAATGATTTAAAAGTTGTACATACTATCTCGAAACTAGCTATACTGATGTTAGTTTGTTTTAAATCACTAATGTATGGCAGAAGAAAAAGACATAACTCAAAACTACATTGATCTAATTCAGCTGAATCAAAATTTCATATCACCGTGCAATGAAAAGTATATATGTTTAATCATATTATTCATATACATAACAAATTTTAATTTATTTCTTCAAATCAAACCAGTATTTCCTAGCTCAAAGGAATCCATACCAATATATGATTTGTAATCTATAACAACTATTTTCCAAATCATCACACACAAATGTTCTCAAGTGCTCTCACTTCAATGTAGGTTATAATCCTTTAGTTTTTTTTTGTAAAGACGTGCATAAAATAAACTCTTCATTGTTGAAGTTATTTTCCAGTGTTGTCAACATTTTTCTTCTAAAAGCAATGGATACAACGGGAAAAACACCCCAAAAAAAAAGAGGGAAAAAAGCAATGGAAATTAAAGAGGCAAAATAGGACGTATTAAGTGCAATTTAAAAAGGTTTGGCCTAAAAAAATGTGGAAAATTATAAAAGCAAATCCCGTCCGTGGCTTTGTGGATGGGAACATGAACACGTGAGACCCCCATTAGTTTCTCAATGTTGTTGTGTACATTTTGTTTTTCCTACTGTTGATCGTATTTGAATTTTAATAATATAAAAACAAAACGATTGCCCATCAATTTATTTAAAATATTTATGTTCTTTAAAAAAAAAAGATTACATTGATAGAAGTGGGGAATCGTGGTCCACCAGCTTTGGCTTTTATAATGTCAACAAGCTCAAAAAGGGGGCTTCACTATTTTATTTTCTTCCGTAAGGAACTTCTAAATTAAGCAAGTGTTTCTCTCCTTTTTTATTTAGATTTCTCGAGTGGGCTGCTAAATCTGGAAGTAATCAATCGTGCTGGGGGCAATATATGTTTTGCCATGAAGATCTCTCTCTTTGTTGTTTTTATTTTTTGGTTTATAAAAGTCATACTTTCTGTTGTAAATTCGAACAAAGGACCAACGGTGGGATGTGATCATGTTTGATGTTTCTGACAAAAATTATATTCGACATAGATTTGATCTCTCTTTTTTTTTTTTTTGTTAATCATGATCTTCAAAAAATCTATGCATCTAATCAAAATCGAATATAAGTTTTGACCAATGAAAACAAACAATTAAAAATACATGTATATAATCCCCACTTGGTTATATATTTATTTTTGGAAAGAGAGGATCTATCATGCAAAATTGCAAATTGCAAGGACAATCTATACTTAAAAGTCGGATAAGGTTTGAAACAGATCTTTATCATAATTTCCTTATTATCTGTATAAGATTCTAGAAGACGAGACAGAAAGAGCCCATGACACAACCAAACTCTCTTCCTTAAGATACAAGGAACATGTGATGATAATAAACAGAGACAGACAGACACTTGATCCGGAAATAAACCCTAAACCATTCATTTAAACTCGCCATAGAATTATAGAAACTACAAAACTCCACTTAGCCTGAGACTAACACATACACAACTAATTATTCCCGGCTCTTTAAAAAGAGGTTTATTCCTATTTGATCCGACCTAGAATTTCAGACACAGATCTCATCCTAGGACGCATATCTGGATCCATTTCCGTGCAGTTCAAAGCGACATGAATGGTTGCAATAACCTGCTTATCCGCAAAATCCTGTTTCAGAAGCTTTGGGTCTAAGATCTCAGCCAAAGATCTCTCTTCCTTGTGCCAATTCCTCAAAACATTCACGAGTTCTTCTCCTTCGTTTTCAGAGGAGCCATTAGGTAATCGACCAGTCAACAACTCCAATAGAATCACCCCAAATGAATAAACATCGCATTTCTGAAATGATTTGCAACCAGATGAAACTCGGGCTTCGGGTGCAAGGTAAGCAGCTGCAGGAGCTGAGACTGAGAGCCTTGTGGCAAATGCTTGGTCTTTGCTTTGCGTTTTGGTTGATGGTGAATGATCATCAACTTTGGGATAACCGGAAACCAGACGTGTGAGACCAAATCCTGAGATGTGAGGATGCAGCTCATTATCTAACAGGATTTTGCTTGATTTTAGGTTGCCGTGTACATACTTTCTCGAACTGTATTCATGTATATACATCAAACCCCGAGCAGTTCCTTGAGCTATACATAACCTCTCAGCCCAAGAGAGTGTAGGACGAGTATTCAAAGGTCCACCTACAAAAAAACTCAAATGCCTTTTCAGAAACCAGTGATACACGATGCCTCAAAGCACAACATATCTCAGGAAAATGGAAAAATTTCAACTTTGTTCCCTAAATACATCTAACTACAGAATCAAACATATCACGAGTACTAACTTCCCAACGGAGATAAAGCAGAGGTTAATGACTATAATCTTCGACCATAATCTAAATCTCTGTCTAAGCACCAAAAAGAAATCTTCTTTATGTCATATTAAACACTCTCTAAACTACCATTAACTCATACTCGACTTAATAATTCCCATGAAAATAACAGGACCACACACTGTAGTGCTAGAGAAGCAAATCGGTTTGTTTGTCCACGAGCTCTACTGTATCTAGTTTCAACACATGCAAATACAGTAAAGCTTTGAACAACAAAACAAGGAGAAGAAGCCAACAAGTTAGTCAATACTACACAATCAGACAAAGACAAAGCAAAGCTCTGCACTTTATAGTCTATCTACAGAGCAAGTACACATAAACCTATTAATAAATGCAGATTTAGCACTAAAAACTGGAAAACAAAGAAAAAGATTAGTGTTTTACCATGTAAGGCAGAGTACAAGCTGCCATTGCTAATGAAATCAGTGATGAGAAGCTTCTCGTCCTCTGCATAGTAGTAAGCTCTTAGCCGTACGATGTTAGGGTGATTGATCCTACCAATGCTCTCAACTTCATTCACAAAATCCTTAAACCGCCACGTGGCATTGCCGTCGTTGAGCCTTCTAACGGCGACAACAGTGGAGGACGATTCCGCCGCCACTACTCTGTACACAATCCCACTTCTGCTCTTGCCTATCACGTAAGCCGATGCTCTCAGCAAATCCTCAAGCTCGAGCTCGAATCCTTCATCAAACGCTACGAATTTACCTTCTTGCCCTTCTTCGTCAAACTCCGAGACCATCGTTGTCGTCTTCGTCTCCGATTTGTACCCGTTGGAGCTTCGTTTTCTCCGGATCAGAAGCCATACCGAGACAGAAACAGCTCCGATTACAACCGAAACTCCAGAAATCAAAGACACTGTCACTGATCCCGTGATCTGCTGCTTCTTCTGCTTTGCGTCGTCATTGCTGATTACACTAGGGTTTGGTTTCTGGAGTTCTTGAGTTCCCTCCGGCTTTGCATTGGCGAAATTAGGGGTTTCGATTTCTTCGCACGGTGTTTGCAATGGAAAGCCACATAGATGAGAGTTTCCGGCGAATGCGTTTGGTCCTTGGTTCAACAGAGATCCCACCTGAGGTACTTTTCCGGTGAGATTGTTTTGACTAAAATCTAAGCTTACGTGAGCTGGAAATCGACCGTACGACGGTGGAATCTCGCCGGTGAATTGGTTAAAAGAGAGATTTAAGGTTCCGACGAGGCTTTCGAGTGACTCAGGGAGTGACCCGTTGAGATGATTGGAGGAGATATCAAGGTGGTTGAGTGATTTCATGGATTTGATTTGGGCCGGAATTGGGCCGGAGAGTGAGTTGTGGGAGAGATCGATGTACCGGAGCTTGGTTGCTTCGAAGAGTCGAACCGGTACGGTTTTGGAGAAATTGTTGTGAGCTAGATCAAGCCGGGTAAGCGAGTTGAGTAAACCGAGTTCTGATGGAATGTAACCGGAGAGACTTTTCGCGAAGAGGACAAGTGAAGTGACTCGGCCGTTTGTGCAAACGATTCCGGACCAGTGGCATGGAGTCGGGTCGGATTCAGACCAGTGAGTCATTACTCGGGTCGGGTCGTTATCGACGGCGGATTTGAGAGCTAGTAGAGATAAACCGTCGGAATTGAGAGAAGAGCAAAAGCTAATGCAGAGAAAGATGGAAGAAACAAGAAGTGAGAAAATCCAAAGTAACTTCATTTTTTTGGTTAGTATATACGAATCTTGAAATCTTTTGTTTGTTAAAGAAGCTACAAATTACAAATGATTCATATAGTGAAGCAACGAGAAGTTGCAGAGGAAAAACGATAAACAGTGAAGACGAAGGAGAAGAATAATGGGAGATTTGACAGAGGTTTGATTCTTTTATGGTTTCATGTTAGCAACGTGGAGTTATGTAGTCATGATCAATTTTTTGAATTCTTGTCCACAGGAAAATGGTTTGAAATTATAATAATATAATAATATAGTTCTAATTAAAAGTGATATAGTTATTATGTTTGAAACTTTTTAAAGTTTTAAGTTAAACAGTGATATATTGGGATTTGCGTTTTGGGTTTTTGACTGTGGTTATTTAGTTAGGTTTTAAGTTATTGATTGATGCAGGTGGGTTGTTGTTATTTTTTTAATTTGTGTGTATGCGTTGGTGATATCTAGGGTCATTGGATTTTTATAGGATTGAAACTATATATAGGTACAACAAAAAAAAAAGTTACAGCAAATTTGGGATACAAAAATTAACAAAGTGTTATCTTAAATGCTTAGAATCTTAACTCGTATAGGGACATCTTGAGACATGAAAAAACTGTACAGTCCTACTGGGTCTATAAATTGTTTTGCTTCTACAAGATTCAGCAGTAATAAAAAAATGTTACAATATGTTTAGGAATAATTGAAAATAATCGAACTCAGGTGGATATACGCATATGAATTTGAATTCAACTGAGGGATGTCATAAGTATTCAAATTAAAGGAGGGAAGAGACGATGGAGAGTAGCTTGTGTCAGAGAAAAATCATTTAACCAACCGACAAAGTAACCACAGAAAGATGCATTTGAAATTATGCCACTTTTGGCTCTAATCCTAGTTCTAAGGGCACTTCCGTAATCATACACGAGGAGTCACAAGTCCTATTGTTGGGTTTAACTCAAGCACCATGTCACGGCCCAAATTCAACTTATTATAACATCAACTGAAATTACTTTCTCAGTTAAAGAACTTTCAAGAAGAAATAGAAGTATCTTCGAATCCTACAAAACCTTGTGCAACAAGAACTGTGAGCGCTGCAAATTGCGGCCAATGTACGCAAACATTTTGTCGTTTTTGGTATAAACACTAGAACTCCAATACAGTGAGCGAGATGGGCCAATTTTGGCAATCTCAATCAACGGTCCATGTGGCCCAATAAATCACTAAAACGGCCGAATTTTTAGATCCATTTAACTTAAATGATTGGTGGGGACGGCAGGTCTTGTCGTTTTCAGAATTCGAGTGTGGCACTCTGATTCATCTCAAGCTTTTTTTTTGTCACAATAGTGAAGCTTACATTTTTTTTTCTTCCTCATTTCACTCTATGGATTCATCTGAAAATCGTTTAAGTCTACAAAAAAGAGTAATTTGGAGGGTGCACAACGACCTTGACCAAAAAAAAAAAGAAAAAAAAAAGAGGGTGAACAATGACCAGTAAAAAAATTGAAAATTCATTTACTACAGAGTTAAAAAAAAAACTGAATGAATCAATAGTCAAATGACCTTATTTATGGCACCAAGTCCAACTATTGTGACCACTAAAACCTATAGTAACAAAGCCCAAAAGGCCCAACTTAACCATTGAGATCCAGTCCAAGTTTGTCTCTCTATCATCGTCTGAAACCCCATAATTGGATATTATCCTCTCTCTAAAAATTTGGCTTTATTAACAGACGCACTCCAAAGCTAACGTTGCTTTCTTCCCACTCCAAAATGGCTCTCGTGTAATCTTTTCCTCTCAGAAGTCAGAACATACACTCTTACGAAGACGAAGACTTTTTTTTTTTTTTTCCTGAGCAATCTCTGAGAAGCACACAGATAGAGAGAATTATTTCAGTCGCTACTCGCTTTAAATTCCGCCATTGATGCAACCTCTTCGCTTTACCTGTCAAAAATACTCGCCAACTGACAAACATTAAACTCCTTCTCCTCTCTCGATTTCCGAATTTTCTTCATTATAGAGAGATCCGAGTCCAACGAATATAAAGAAGCTTAACTCGAACCAGTTGATCAAGTCGGTCGGTTCTGGGTTTCTCTGAATTTCAACTCGGTTTATTCCGGTTAAAGTGTGATTTTCCCGGCTTATGGATCTAACCCAAGGCTTCGGAGCTAGATCCGGCGTTGTTGGGCCGGTGACCGGACTTGAATCTCTCAATTTTAGCGACGAATTTCGGCACTTAGTGACGACGATGCCTCCGGAGAATACTGGCGGCTCTTTCACGGCTTTGCTCGAGATGCCTGTGACTCAAGCCATGGAGCTGCTCCATTTCACAGATTCATCGTCTTCTCAGGCGAGAACCGTTACCGGAGATATTGCTCCTACTACTCTTCACCCTTTCGGGGCTTTGACTTTTCCTTCTAACTCGCTTCTCTTGGACCGCGCCGCTCGTTTCTCGGTTATTGCTACGGAGCAAAACGGTAATATCTCCGGCGAGACTGCGAACTCTTTACCTTCCAATTCCGGCGCCAATCTGGACAGAGTCAAGGCTGAGCCTGCTGAGACCGATTCAATGGTGGAGAATCAGAACCAGAACTACTCTTCTGGAAAGAGGAAAGATCGCGAGAAGAAGGTGATACCAATTGTTCACACAATCAAACTTGTTAATTAAACCAGAGAGATTAGTCCCTAATTCTTTATTCCTTAATTTATAGGTCAAGAGCTCGACGAAGAAGACCAAGAGCTCCGTAGAGTCAGACAAGTTGCCATATGTTCATGTCAGAGCTCGTCGTGGTCAAGCTACTGATAACCATAGCTTAGCAGAGAGAGTAATTCACAATCTCACAAACATGGTTTATATTAGTTAATTAGTGGCATTATGCTAATTATATCATTATCTCTTGATTATAGGCAAGAAGGGAGAAGATAAACGCACGAATGAAGCTGCTACAGGAACTGGTCCCAGGCTGTGATAAGGTTTGTCTTTAGATAATTGACCTTTTAATCAAAAAGCTAATCCATAATTAGATCTTCATTCGTGCTTAAAGACAGAATCTTTCTTTATTAGACCAACCCCCAAAAAGTGATTTTTTTCTATAATTTGATGATGTGGTTTGATAAGGGTCTTAATCCTTCACACTTTCTTTTTACATGAAAAAAGTGTAGTGCTAAATTCCTCTTATATGAAAAAGGTTTTGTGGTGTGCCAAAGAACAAAACCACTTGTTTGGTAATTTCGCTGGCTTGAAGATCTAAACTTTATTTTCGTGTGGGGAAGAATATCTCACGGGTCACAACCATTTAGGTAAACTAGTAGTAATACGGAAGTGATGTGACATTGCTCAATAGATTCTTGTTTCGTCTTCCCAAAGTGTATTCATTTGAGCATGAAGCTTACTCCATAAATGCCGATAATGGATATATGATGTGGGAATGCTAGCTGGAGTGTTCCCTTAAGGTTTTGGGTAGAGGGGACAGATTTTGGTGAATAGATCAAGGTCAGACTGTGTTTTGGGGTCCATCTTTTGATAATAAGTGGCAAAAGTTGTAGGCTTTCTATGGAAGGTGAGGAGTGTAGTATCGTCTCTAATAAGTTTGGTATCTATCAAGTAGAAAGAGGGTGAGGAGTGTAGTATCGTCTCTAATATTGTTATATGCTTTGAGTCCCACAATACCTAATTGGTTGGAAACATGATGTGACACTCCTGCAGACAGCTAACTAATCCATAGATATCTTGGAATTTAGCAGCAATTATTGGTGGAAGGAGATGATGATAAGTGACAACTCTTTAAGAATTTGTCAAATTTGTGGGGTTCTGGGGACTTGATTATTTGTTTCATGAATCTTGAGAAATCCTGAATTCATGTTTAAAAACGAGAGATGTTACTCGGATTCGCTTTTTCTGGCAATATTATGTTGAAAAGAGTAGAGTTATTGAGATTATAGAAGCCGTTATACATGCTACCTAGGATTAAGGCGCATTTTCTCGCTGCTTCATTAACCACACATAGTTTTAAAACTTGTTAAGTTTGTAATCGTCAATTAGTTATAGATATGCGTATATTAATCTCATAACTAACAGATACTCTAATCAAGAGATAGCTGCTAAGGAATTCTTTTGTTTCTAAAAATTGTGGCTTGTTCTTCTTTATGTCTGACTGATCAGAAAGCTTTGGCCTGTAGATTCAGGGCACAGCATTGGTTCTGGATGAAATCATAAACCATGTGCAGTCTTTACAGCGTCAAGTGGAGGTAGACTTCTTGTACTATTTTTTGCTGTTCTTTACCTAAACTGAAACAGTAAGCTACACAATATGTGATAAAATTGGGTGCCACAATGTGACATAACCGTTGTTCTTCTTTTCAGATGCTATCTATGAGACTTGCTGCAGTAAACCCCAGAGTCGAGTTCAATCTAGACAGCATACTGGCTTCAGAAGTAAGTATGAACTAATTAAATTACATAGGAGAATTAAGGTTGCATGTGATCTTCTTTTACAATAAAAACCCTTAAATTTAATGTTCACTAGAAAAAACCTCCCTTTGACCATGTTGCTCGTTTAAGTAACCATAGGGGTTATGTTTCTTTGAGTAACCTTTTTAAGTTGTATCACAAAAAGAGAAACTTTTGGATATTTGTTGATCCAACATTAATCGACCCTATTCTAGACTAGGCTTAAAGAAGAAGAACAACGTGGGGGAAATAAATACTTAGACCTTACAAAAATGCAGTACAAACAGTGAGATCAAGGACTCCAAAATATCTTTTGAAAGGACTCATAAGTCCTCTCAATTATATCATACAGAGAGATAAAAGTGGCAGAAACACGGACCACCTTTGTTCTACGGTCTATGATGCTGTCTTTTTTTTTTTATCCTTGCACAATTATTTTTCTGTGGGTCTCAGTCTTAAGTTATTGTTGCTTCAAGTTTCACCTATCTAATCTAATAATCAACTTTTGTTTCTCTGCAAATAACTTTCTTATTAAATGACCTTCTTCTTTTACAGCTTGTACACCATTTAAGAACCAGACCCCACTCATTAAAAACCTTGTTCTTTTAGGATGAATTACAGTAAAATAGAGCTGGCTTGTTGACTAGATAGAGAATCTAAGATGTTGAATCAATCATCTCTAAGAGAAGCTGATAGGTTTTACGAATTGAGTTAATGATGAGGTACAATTATCTTCTGCAGAACGGCTCTCTTATGGATGGTAACTTCAATGGAGAGTCTTATCATCAGCTGCAACAATGGCCTTTCGATGGCTACCACCAGCCGGAATGGGGAAGAGAAGAAGATCATCATCAAGCCAATTTCTCAATGGGTTCAGCTACTTTACATCCAAATCAGGTGAAAATGGAGCTCTAAGTTGGAATCAGTTTGACATGCTTATGTATATATATAAGAGTTATATATCTGCTAAAGTTTCGATTGTTGAATTAGAGGTAGAAAATGGTTATGATTGTTTCAGGTCTTTGTTCATGGCCTTCTATATTTACTAGATTCCCCAATGTAGAATTCAGAATGTCTCAATTGTGTTTCCCTTGAGAGAAAGTATATGAAGATTTGATATGTTACTGAGCAATACGACGTCGTACACGAATATTATTATCCAATACTGCTTAACCGACTAGTGTGACCAATTCAATTTGGTTTAACGAAATTATAACCGAACTGGTAGAACCGATTTGGAACAGAATTTCCAGTCAAACCGTAAAAACAAAATGAGAACTGAGAATACCAAATCATACCGAACATAAAAGAGAGATTCAGTTTGGTTTATAAATCTATTAGACCGGATAATCTAAGCTGAAACCAATATAATTCCAGTTAAACCGACAATTTCAATACCAAATTGAATTTCTCGGTTCGGTTCGAATTAACCTTTTGTTTTGTTGGTCGTGGACGTATATAGTTCCACACTAACACATCTGAGCATTTCCTTTTGCTTACAGCAGAAATATCGGAACCAAAGCGATGCCGTCGACGCAGTCCTTGACCGTCGCAGCGAAGACGCTACGAAATCGGATCTTCTCTAGGTCTGGATCTACATCCGCCGGTCCGAGTCGGTGGGCGACGCCAGGTCACGAGGAGCGGCCTAAGGGTTACTTTATGAACCGGACTCCTCCGGCACCAGGACAGTCGCGAAAATGGGAAGATTGGGAGCTTCCTTGTTACATCACTAGCTTCCTCACAATTGTTATCCTCGGCGTCGGACTCAATGCCAAACCTGATCTTTCAATCGAGACTTGGGCTCATCAGAAAGCTTTAGAGCGTCTCGAGATGGAGAAGCTCGCGACCGCTGGAGATTCGTCTGATTAAGCATCACCGTTGGATCTCCGGATGCTTGATTTGGTATGTCTTATTTTCCGGGAGTTGAGGAGTTTTTTTCCCGTTTTATGATGATGATCACGAAGACTGGAGAGTTAGGGTTTCGTTTGGCCCTTGAACTGTGTTTCAAATCTCCTTTGTTTTGTCGATAATGATGATGTTTATGAAATAAGTGTTCTTTTAACTGTTTAGACGCACTTGCCCTCACTTATTACTACCTTTCTCAAATTTGGTTACACTTGCTTTGATCCTTTCTCAAGTTATTTGATTCGACTATTGATTGCTTGCTTCATTATTACTTTGAGAAAGAAACTAAACTAGAATTGTATGATGACATTGTGTGCTTCTCTTCCTTAGGCTATGGCTTGTTTGTGTTATCTGTGAATTTCGGGTTGGGGTCGATTCTGAATCTCTTTAGATCATCTTTATATTTGTCATTTGTTGTAATAGTAGTGATAAGCTGATAGTATAGCTCTAACTAGGGATTTATTGTTCCTCTGTTTTGTAGACATGTTCATGCTTCAAGAAGGCTTATTTAGTATAGAATTCGTCGTTGTATGTGATTATAGCTTATTGCAGTGTGCACATTAAGTTGTGTAGGCTTTCAAGTGGTTGGAATGGCATCCGCCATTGTTAGATGCAACACTCTAGATTTCAGTTTGTCATCTGCTGTATTTATTAGGCTGGAGGTTGGACTTTGGAGTTCTCATGGTGTCACTTGTCAGCCATTGGTAGATTTGACACAGTAGATTTCAGTTTCTTTGATTGTGGTGTTTATTAGGTTTCTACTTAGCTGAGAATGTTGATTTTGATCATTGCTATCAATCGAGGGGATTGTTCAATTATACTTGGATAAGTCTGGAGTTGAAACTAATTTCACTGGATTTGGGTAGATAATGTTTTAGAAATCATGACAGCTTACCTCTATCTCTACAGATTTTGGTCGATGAATACTGCCTTCAAGTACTATTGCTCATAGTTTCCCAAATCCTTTGATTAGTTTCCTTTATTGTGGCTTCATATTCTTCTCTTTTAAGTACAAGTACTTAATGCCGGTGTTGACTTTTTAGCAAGCTTGTGATGTTCATCTCTTCCTCTTGTTTCATACATGATGATTAAACAATGCAAGAGACTAAAAAGATTAAAGGATTCCAATACTCTCTTCGTGGTTGCTTTTTTTTTTTTTTTTCAGGTAAGTAGTAGCTTGATTTGTTGTATGCCTTAGTTAAGCAATCTCGTGCCCTCATATTGCATCACATAGAGAGGGCTGTTGTGGTAATTCCTTCTCTCTGTGTAGTTGTGTTTCCCGAGAGTACGATTCTGTAACACTGAAACGATTAGGCTAGGTAAATCTAAGAAGACATTATCACTTCACTCTTCACATGCTTCTGGAGACCCAAGAAGAGTCCAGTGTAAAGCCATGTGAGAACATTTGTCCTCTATCCATTTCCTCTGTACATCAATCAGATGTTTTCTTCCTTAAATTTCAATTAAAGAAAGAAAAAAAAACACTCGTAAATGAAGTCGGTGGAGTTGGAGCCAAATGTTTAGGACGAAAGTGTAAAAGGACAATTACGGTCATTTAAAAGAGAAGCTACTTTTTCTGGTAATGTGACCGGTTATTCCCGGTAAACACTCGAGCCACCGACACAAACTTCCATGGATCACGACCACGATTGCAGTCCGTACACGATCCATGTCTTTTTATTTAAACGCACCATAACAGCTTCCCGCATTCGGATCTCCCATAGCAAAGAGAGAGAGAAGTAAGTAGCTTTATTATGGATTACAGATAAAAGACAGGTAATTTCAGTGACGCAAAGATAAAGACAGGTTATATCAGTGACGCAAATCTGAGAGTAGACTTCACTCTGAGTAGATTAAAGTGTAACCGTCTTGAAGAGGAAGGAAGACAACCAAGTGGGTTTCGTGATGATTTAGACGTGAAAATTCACAACCACTTTCTCAAAGTCTTCTTCTCCTCTTGTTCCTCTGTTTCTTTTGGAGATTTCAGTCACTGGTAATGTCTTCTTCTCTTCTCTAGTCCTAATGGTTGTTTCATGCTCTGTTTCTTCTCTTTGAAATTGATTTTTTTTTTTTTTTTTTTTTTGTGCAAATGAAATTGATATATCGTAAGATACTTTAGAAAATGCAATTCCTGAATTTTTTTGGTTTGATCAAATCTGGTTAATTAAATCGTTCTTGTTGAATCCCTATGTGAATGGCACCCATTTTTCTATTTTAGCAACTATGAACAAAATGCTGGGACCTCAACTGCCACTGTAGAATCAGACAAAACATAGCAAGTGCCAATTATGTCATTTTCCTCCTCCATTATTTGCTGTCGTTTTCAGAAACAAGAATATATCTTAGCTGTGTTTTTATCCTTTTGCTCATCTTGCAAATCCAAATCTAAAACTCTTTACTTCTTGAGGATTTATCAGACTTGTTTTCCCTTTCTTTATTGTCTGTAGGGTTACACAAATCTGCTTGGATTGAAAGAGATTCATGATGAAGGCAAGAACAACTAACAATGTTCAGTCGAAGAGATCTACAAAGAGTGTAAGAAAAGATCAAAAGCTGCAGAAGACGAATAGCCAGAAAAAAACAGAACAAGAGAAGCACAAGGACTTGGATGCTAAGGAAGAGTCTAGTAATATCTCTACAGTAGCAAGTGATTCTACCACACAATCAGATCCCTCTGAGGTTTACGAGACGGTAGATGTTCGTTACTTGGATGATGATCAAGGATCAGATTCTAGCAGAGTTGTGGACAAAACGGAGAAGGAGCATAATTTAAGTGGATCCCTTTGTGATTTGGAGAAAGATGTTGCTGAAAATGTATGTAAAGTTGCTAACATTGATAAAGAAATCGATACAGATGTTCGTGAAGGTATCAATGCCGATGTTTGGGAAGATGCTTCGAATGGTGCTCTTAGTGCTGGAAGTGAGAATGAGGCAGCTGATGTAACAGAGAATAATGGTGGCAACTTTGAGGATGGATCTTCGGAAGAGAAGATTGAGCGTCTAGAGACGAGAATCGAGAAACTTGAAGAGGAGCTTAGAGAAGTTGCTGCACTCGAGATTTCGCTCTATTCTGTTGTGCCGGACCATTGTAGCTCTGCACACAAGCTTCATACGCCTGCTCGGCGTATTTCTAGAATCTACATCCATGCCTGTAAGCATTTTACTCAGGGGAAGCGTGCTACAATCGCTAGAAACTCTGTTTCTGGTCTTGTTTTGGTTGCCAAATCTTGTGGGAATGATGTTTCGAGGTACACATATTATATTTGACTTGTGAGTGAAATTTCAGGATCTTGATTCTTCTCAGTTGTGATGTTTTTTTGCTTTGTCTTGGTTTCCATTTGTTAGGTTGACCTTCTGGTTATCAAACATTATAGCTTTGAGGCAGATAATTTCACAAGCGTTTGGTAGGTCTCGCATCACACAGATCTCTGAACCAAATGAGAGAGGAAATGGTGATTCAGGGAAGAAAACAAACTTGAGATGGAAGAATGGTTTCCAACAGCTTTTGGAGGATTGGCAAGAAACTGAAACATTTACTACTGCACTTGAGAAAATCGAATTTTGGGTATTCTCTAGAATCGTGGAGTCTGTTTGGTGGCAGGTATATACCAAATGTCCTAACTAAAAATGAGCTTCTGAGTTAGTTGATGAAGCATCTCACTTATGTTCTTCTTCTTCTCCTATCTTTAAGGTCTTTACTCCTCATATGCAATCCCCTGAAAACGACTCATCAGCTAGTAAAACAAATGGGAAACTGATGGGACCTTCCTTGGGTGATCAGAACCAAGGAACCTTTTCAATTAGCCTATGGAAAAATGCTTTCCGAGATGCTCTGCAACGGCTTTGTCCTATGCGAGGCGCGGGACACGAATGCGGTTGCTTACCTGTATTGGCTAGAATGGTAATCAGATTTTCCATTAGTTTTAATTCAAGCCAAGACATAATAATCATATTCTTATATCGTCTTTAAACAGGTTATGGACAAGTGTATCGGTAGGTTCGATGTAGCCATGTTTAATGCTATTCTCCGCGAGTCAGAACATCAGATTCCAACTGATCCCGTCTCTGATCCTATTCTTGATTCTAAAGTGTTGCCTATTCCTGCTGGAGACTTAAGCTTTGGATCAGGAGCACAACTTAAAAACGCGGTAACCAACACGAAACAAAGTTCATATTTTCATAGCCATTAGAAAGTTAGTAATGTTGATTAATCTAATGACACAATATTTCCCTTGCAGATTGGCAATTGGTCTAGATGCCTCACTGAAATGTTTGGCATGAACTCTGATGATTCTTCGGCGAAAGAAAAACGAAACAGTGAAGATGATCATGTAGAAAGTAAAGCCTTTGTTTTACTAAATGAACTAAGTGATCTTCTTATGCTCCCAAAAGATATGCTGATGGAAATATACATTAGAGAAGAGGTTTGTTTGAGATACATATCTCAGTTACCCTTTGTTTATCGGTTAAGCCCATCGTATTCACGAGCTTCATCTAGCTCTGTATTTGATTTATTGGTTTTACGAACAGATATGCCCATCAATTACTCTTCCACTCATCAAAAGAATACTCTGCAACTTCACTCCTGATGAGTTCTGTCCAGATCATGTACCTGGAGCTGTCCTAGAAGAGCTTAATGCTTCAGAGGTACAAATAATTCAAAGTTTGGATTGTTTTTGTTCTTATAATCCCAAAAGCAAAATTGTAATCATCATTTGTTGTTATATTTTCAGAGCATTGGTGATAGGAAGTTATCAGAAGCTAGCTTCCCTTATGCAGCTTCCTCGGTTTCTTACATGCCTCCATCGACCATGGATATAGCAGAAAAAGTTGCAGAGGCTGCAGGAAAATTGTCTAGGAATGTGTCTATGATACAGAGAAAAGGGTACACAAGCGACGAGGAGCTTGAAGAACTGGACTCTCCTCTTACATCCATTGTCGACAAAGCGAGTGACTTCACTGGTTCAGAGACTTCAAATGCAAGATACAAGCTTCTTCGACAAGTGTGGGTTTAGTTGAGTGATGATTGGTGAACCAAGTCAAACTGTAAGTAGTATGTATGTGTTGGTGTTGCTATGAATCTATGGGTATTATTGCAAAGAGAAGTTGGTGATACAAGCAACTATAAATGTGGAGAGCTTCTGTTACATAGATACTCTGTTTTAGGTATCATAAAGAAGCTATTTAAATATGTATTCATGATTTTGATCAGATTTGTTTGTTGAAGCAGGTTCAATTTTTATTAGTCATCAACCAAAAAACGCCAACATACGAAGCATATTCAGGAGGTGATTGGTAGAAGCTTTAAAGCTATAGCTTTATTTTTAAAGTCCTAAAAGCCAAAAAAAATTACCAATCACTATAAATTTTTTAAAGGCTACCTTGTTTTTACGTGTAATTTTTCAAAGTCACAAATATAAGACTTTTCAAAATTGTAGCAAATAAATAAAATAAAAGTTTATAGTTTTTTCTCTTATTTTTCTTATCCATATGTATGTAAACTCCCATAAGATTCACTCAAAAAATAATTCAAATTTCAATAGATTTACAAATGAATTTTTTTCTTGTTTTTTAAGATCCATTTTCCTACATATTTGGTGGTTATTTAAAATCGTAATTTCTACTGTCAAAGTCTTTACCAATCGATTATAAAATTTATACAGTTAAAATTCTTCCAGCAAAAGTTCTTAAAATCAACAAGAACTAATAGTCGTTATCAATCGGTTCATAATGTAATAACATAACAATTGTCAAACATGTTGACTTCTTTTTTATGGAGAAAATGATTTTATGGCTATTAGCTGATAATACTTGTTTATTTACTGCTTGCTTGGAGAACCTTCCCAGCGATCCCAGAATCTAGAGTATCATGAGAAACACTTGCAGTTGAGGGAAAGGCGATGTGATTCTTCTTGCTGTGGGAACTCATCTCTACTTGTGATAAAGTAAAGTAAGCGACAACTTCTTTGTCTTCCGGTGAGAGAGCCGAAACTTGTTCTACTGTAGCAACAAGGAGATGCGTGAGAAAGTTCCTGACTCTCTGCATCTTCTTTTGATCTGATCTTCTTAGACCAGCAGTGACTTGTTTCTTACAGAAAAATATGTAAACCCAATTAAACCTAATCTAACTCTGAGATGTTTTTTTTTCTAAAAAAAAAATCATATTCATCAATGGAATATTCTACTGAGAAATCATTTTTTTGATGAACTTGTTTTCTTATCCGGTTTCTTAGTAAATTCAGATGAAGAAGAATTGGTGTAAAAGAAACAACTAATCTTGCATTCTTATGTTGAGGAAAAGTGAGATTGTAGCTGGAGCGATTGAGATGGCTCGCACATTGCTCGCACATAAGTATTGCGAAGATAGTCCTAGTATTTAGATAGTTTTATTAACACTCCAGTTGATTGACAATGGTCATGTATCATTGTATCAACATAGTCGTATGCATGTATTGTAGATGTCAAATTTGGCCTAGTTTTATTGCTTACTTAAAAATCTCGATAATGCTTTGGTATGATTAAAAATGCAGAGCCGTTCCTACCGTTTTCGAGGCCCGAAATGATTAAAGTAATAGAGATTTTATTAGATTCTATGTTTATTCGCAATTTCTATCATAAAATTTTGTGAAAGACTAATAGAGATTTTCTTCCAATATATCAAGAAATGTTCTTTCCAATATATCAAGAAATGTTCTTTTAAGAATGTATTAGGTAGAACATGTGCGTTTTTATCAATTGATTAAAAAAAAAATACTATTTCAAATTTCATTGAGATGTATAGATTAAAAATACTATAGAAATAAATATAAAAATAATTTACATAGACGAGTCTAGATTTTAGAAGAAAAATATACAGAAATATTTTTTAATTAAATAGAAGGCAAATAAAAAAAGTTGTGCACATTAGAAAGATATTTGCTAAGTGTTAAAACTGAATCCATGCAAGAAGAGTTATGAGATACTTATTATTACATCTTGCTAACTATCACGTAAGTCCCAACTCCCAAATAATTATGAGCATCACTACATCCAAATTATGACTCCCAAAACACAAGATGCCAAGAGTGATTGGTTTTAGGCTTGTGTAGATCTCTCTAAGGAGTAAGGAGTTATTGAGTAATTAGATACCTGAAATATAGGATTGTGAGATCCAAAACTTATCCTTTACAATTATAAGATTAGATTAATGATTTTATGGCTACTAACTCATAATACTTGTTGATTTCTCATTAGCCAACAATCTTCCACCTCACCTAACTTATTTAATGCTTTGGAATTTTCTTGGTATCATTTTCTCTGAATTACTCTCTATACCTGCTTTTTTCCTGTATGGAGTATTTACTTCACAAAGATGATGAGGTTGTGGAGAACAAAGGACAAAGATAAAAGGGTCGAGAGGTTTATCAAGAATGGAAGCACTTTTCTTAAGGAACTGATCGCTGACTGTAACGGTACATCAAATCCTATCTGTATATACTCTTCTGATCAAATCCTCAAGGCCACAAACAACTTTGATCCAAGTGGTTATATATCTAGTCAGAGATTCTTTATCTGGCACAAGGGAATAATCCAAGATAGGTGTCACCTGATCAAGAGATTTAAAGAAGAATATATATTAGGAGACTATGAATCAGTTGTTTACAATGATATTGTGATATCTGCTCGAGTCAGCAATCACAATAACTTTCTCAAGCTATTAGGATGTTGTCTTGAGTTTCCTCTTCCAGTTCTAGTGTTCTAATATGCGGAAAATGGAGCTATGAACGACCAAGGAGGTGTTGGTAATGAGAAAAGACAACCATTGCCATGGAATCTTAGATTAAAGATTACAAAGGAAGTTGCTAATGCTGTGACTTATCTTCACATGGCGTTTCCACGGATCATTATACACAGAGAAATAAAACCGACGAATGTGTTCTTGGACAAGAACCGGAAAGCCAAGCTGTCTGATTTATCCTTCTCTATATCTCTCCCTGAAGGTAAGTCATGGATTAAAGATAAGGTGATGGGAACACTTGGATACATTGATCCCTCTTATCACTCAACGGGTATAGTGACAGAGTACACTGATGTGTTTAGCTTTGGAATCTTTTTGTTGGTTCTTCTGAGTGGGAGACCTGCTATTTTGCCTGAATCTCCTGATAATATTCATGATTATGTGAAAGGTTTACAGGATAAAGGAGAGTTCTTTGAACTCAGGGATGAGTTTGGTAAAAAATCGATGTATGCATTTCTTGAGCTTGCGTTGAGATGCTGTAGGAGGAGGAAAGAAGAGAGACCGCAGATGATTGAAGTAGCAAAAGAGATTAAACTGATTGAGCGGTCTCTAGATGTTGCATCTGTATCAGAACCAACAAGTTGGGAAAAGAAAGGAAAGAAAGCTTGCATCGCCTAAGTTAAATCTCTATTGTAGAAGGAACTCATTGTAAAAGCTTTGAGTGATATTTCAAGAACGGTATTTCGGAGATCAAAATGTATGTGAAAGATGAAATTTTTATACGCTTATTCTTATATAGAGTGATGTATAAAGAAAAGCTTATTTGGCCTAATGCGATTTGGTTTTGGCTTGAACAAGCATCCTTTTAAGTTCTTTGGCAACTTCAATCATTTTTGGAACTTCTCCTCCGTAGCCAATGCATCTCAGTGAAAGTATAAGGAAAGCGTGCATTTGCAATAGCTCTTGTTCTTTGCAGCTTTCCAACACCGTTGGATCAATGATCTCAACAAACCTGCCATCTTCAACCAACTTGGTAGGAGAATCCTTGTATAGTTTGACAACAAGACTCGGGTTCATTGCGGTCAAAAGAGTAAGCATGAATGCTCCAAAGCCATATACATCCGTGTTCTCTGTTACTTTTCCGGTATTCATATAGTTGTGATCAAGGTACCCAACAGTTCCCTCTACAATATCTTCAACAAACTTTTCTCTTTCTGGAATCAAAACAGAGTTGTCGAACTCACTAAGCTTCGCTGTCCCTTTCTCATCCAAGAAGATCTTACACGGTATCATATCTTTGTGGATGATACTCTTTGAGAATGCAGTGTGAAGGTATGTTAAAGCATCTGCAACCTCCTTTGCAATCTTCATTCTCATATTCCATGGTAACTTCACATCAAATAGATTTTGTGGTCCATTTTTTGGTCTGCATATTATACTCTCTGCATATTCATAGACTAGAACTGGATAAGGAAACTCAAGACAGCATCCTAACAGCTTGAGGAAATTCTTGTGACCACTAACCATTGATGATATTGCTATGTCACAACAAGTCTTTCCACTGCGGGAACTAAACTCTGCTACCCATTTCTTGACAAGCACAAGGCGGTCTTCGAGCATACCTCTATAGCCATGGTAGCTACTAGACCGGCTGCGAAAAAGAGCATTATTTGGACTGAAGTTGTCGGTTGCTCTAAGGATCTGAGAAGCAGAGAAGGTTTTGATTGGATTGGATTGTCCGTTGCAATATTGGATGAGCTTTTCTAGCAGCACCTTGCCGTTCTCTTGGACCAACTTCTGCTTTTCATCGGGTCTTTCTGACTTCTTCTTTCTCCACCAACCCATCTCAACACTGAGATGAAGTAATTGATCATTCACGGCTGAGAGTAAAAATAATAATCTTTTACAAGTTCATGACTTGCTTTAGTGAAAACATGAGGATGGTTCAGTTGAAACCACTCTTTTCTTAGGGCTCTGAAGCATTTGGGGAGAAAGGACATATAGTTAATTAAGAAGTCTTGCTCCTTTTGTTGACCATTTTCTTAGAAAACTTCAAACAGAGGTTCGAGTTTAAGCTATTGCCATTATTTTTTTACCAAAAAAAAAAAAAAACTTCAAACAGGCGTAGAGACAGAGACCTGACTGAGAAACTAACTATAACTTTCAAAGAAATTATGGATAGTTGCTAAAAAAGACTCCACAGTTGACTTATAAAAAAAACGTTGACTGCTTCATTCATCTAAAAAACTCATTAAAACTCAAATTAAAGCTTCTCGAAAGATGAAATCTTAAAGGCAACAGAGGAGTTGGATTGTCAATGGTCCTAGACATGTGTAGAGCTCTTTACAATCTCAATCATGGGCTTGAAGATGTTAAATTCGACCAACTTATATTGTTTATTTATAGATAAAGAACGAGAGATACAAGAGGCATTGTAACGTGCCACCGCAGGGAAACAAAATAGTAAAGCTCAATATATATCCACAAGGTTTGCTCAGATGCAACCACTAGAAAAAACAGGTAAAACAGTTGAAAGAAACAAGAGTTTTATTCTCTAAAAGTTGAAACATATTGACTTCTCTAACTCAGACCCATCTGCAGGGAAATGTCGATGCTTCCAAAACATTTATCCATTCTTCCTGAAACAAGAAACAAAAAGCACAAAACAGATTATTAGAGATCATTAAGAAAACCACACTTCTTCAGCTTTTTTCAAAGTTGAAAATTTGTCATCTAGTAGGAAAATGAAACGTTATTCAACTATCAACTCTTCTCCGTGATGAGAGAGCTATAAACTCTCTATACTTAAATCTTGAGGCACATCATCAGGATTTTTCCAATACAGCATCCAAAGGATAAACCTTTATAAACTCCATCAATGATCTGCTAGGTAACCTGAAAAACAAGAATTGCGAATATGCACTGTCTAACAAAGAAAACAATTTCATCAATCTTGTAAGTCGTTACACAAGTGACTGGTTAAACCAAGATATACGCAAACTCAGGTCCCTGCAGCAACAAAAGGTGAAGTTTTTTTAACTGTCAGTAACGAATTATGATAGCAAATATGTTCGTAATATTCCAAACCCATGAATTCTCCTGGTTATACCAGTAAGTGTTCATATTCAAACCTTCATGATGTTCCAAAACACAGCTTCTTCTGCTAATGTTCCTGAAATTAGGATACTAATTATACGATTAAACAATGGACGAAATAGAACTCTATTATCTTCTTGACAATCTTAGAGAACGCTCACCAAGCAGTACACATTTTCTACAAAGCAAAACACAGAGGGGAAATAGAGAAGTCGTATGCAAAATTACCTTCTTACTTCCTTCTTAGGGGTAATGTTTCATTGTTTTCCAGCAACAGCACTATAGTGCATCTTAAGCAAGCTGTCAAGATCAACAGGAAACCAACCTCCTGCTTCCTGGGCCAACAACTTAGAATTTGCTGAGTCTAGTAACACGCTCACGTTCCCGAACCTATAGATCTGAAGACCGTTGTGCATTCTATGAGGTTTAGGTTTCAACAGCAACTCCTTCTCCTGCGCAAATAATTCTACTGCTTCTTTAAAACTCAGTTCCTCGGGGTCATCCACCTGAGCCTGAACCTTAGCACGACCCTCAGGCTGCCTCTGCTCTTGTGCCTTGTGGTAGCTTATATTCTCCCTTGCCCCTGGCTGAGACATTTCCATCAGTTCAACTGCTTCCCTCGCCATATCTAGACCACGCTTGAACTGGATTTCGATCCTCCTGTTTGCGGAAAGCTCATGTGGGAATGATCCTTTCCAACCCAAAAACCACTTCATTATCTCATCGAACTTTCGTTCTGAACACAGCCAGTGATATAAAACATCCAGCCACTTGGGGAAAAAGAATCTCTCCATCAGATCAGTCATGAGATGTATGGGTACTGAAGATACCCACCCCATAACCAAATTGAACTGGTCTAAATTCTGGTCTGCTGGGTTTATCTGGAACTCTTGCAAAGCCAGCTGTAATTTAGGAACTATGTAACGACGCATAAGCTGCTCCCAGCTTGCAGCATCAAAAACAGTCTTCCAAGGGGAAAGGATAGTGTGGACAGACACATCACTAGGATGCCAAGCATCGAGAAGGTTACCGAATTTCATCTGAATGATCTGATACGCACTTTCCAACTTCTGACCAAGCACTGGCAGCCACGGATGCACCCAAACATGGATGGGAACAGTTTCCAAACGTGGTTCCCAAGATTCAATAGCGGTTGACAATTTTGGCAGCACTACTGTGGTCAAAATCATTTCGAAAATAAGTGAGGGTAGCATTTTCTCCCATGTCTCTACAAATCTCAGCATTGGCTCTGGATCTCTAGGTTCCCAAGTATTGATGCCTGATACTCGCACAGCAGGTAAAATTACCTCTGAGACAAGTTGGCTAAACGGCGTCGAGATACTTTGATTGTCCTCAACTTCCAGCAGCATTTTCCAGGAAGATATAGCCTCGATACCATGCTCTGCATCACTAAGAGGGTCCCAACCCTGAAACATCCTGATAAAGAGAGTCAAGGCCAGTGAGCAAGCAATGCATGACAAGTTACAACTCTTATAGTCATCAGGATAGCTTGAACGCAGGTCCTTGAAACAATTGGCAAGTGAATCCAATGTTAAATTCCCAGACGCATTCTCCATCTCAATTCGATCGATTTCCTCTGCAATATATCCCAAGTTGTCAAACAGAATTTTCTGTTTCTTTTCCCCCATTTTAAATTTCTCCTTCTCTTGCTGCAAGCTCAAGGCTGATTCTTTCTCATTCCTCAAATCTTTATCAATCTTCAGAATTCCATGCTCGACTGACTCAACAATAAACCTCAAGTTATGCTGTAACTCTGGCTGTGGAACATTAGCATCTCTTGCTTTCTCCTCTGCGTATAAATTTCGTAAACTTTTAACAACTCGACCTTGTGGTCCTCGCTTATCAATAATGGTCTGACCACAACCCAAACCCTCTTCCTGTTTCTTCCCCAAAAACTCCTCAGCAGTAATATAAACTTCCTTCCTCACATTTTTCTTTTTCCAAAGATTCCTCCTTCCATCACCATGATTCTCACTAACAGTGACCTCAACAGTCCTCTTCTCCTCAACCTTGTTTAAAGCAGGCAACAACGGTGCAGTCTTCTCCTTGAAATCATTGTAACCCAAACCCATATTCTTCGGTCTCAGTTGCGCTTCAATGGGAATCACAATTCCCTGCTGGTTCTTCCCAAGCCCACCTCCTTTATATCCCATTTTTTCGAGCAATTTCATACCAAACCCTCCATTGAACTTTTCAAAGTTTTCCTTTTTATCCTTCTTCTCTCTCACATGTGTCTTATCAGCTATCTTCTTACCCAATGCATCAGGTAAAATAGTATCTTGATACTCATCAATTTTAGTTTTCCCCCGATTCTGTTTCAGTACCTGATCAATGTTACCTGCAGAAAGAAAATTGACAGGTTTGGTTTTACGCCTCTTCGTCCTTCGAGAGCCGCCGGAATCATCAGAGCTCGAATCACTTTCGAAGAAGGTGCCATAAATAGCGTCCTCCTTAGTCTGTTTCCTCTTCTCCTTCTTTCCTTTGAATAAAATCTCGTCACCCATGATAAAGCCACGAAATTCAATTTAGGGTTCCTGCAAACAATTAAGATTATCTCAATTGAAAAAGGAGAAAATTTCCATGTAGAGGTTACGAAAGCATTGTTGATTTGTATAAGGAAAATTTGAAGAAGCGTACCTGCGAATTTGAGACAGAGCAAGGATGAGAAAACGTAGTTTCTTTCAAGCTTTTTTTGACCAATTCCAAAAATTAACAGGGACGGTTTTTTTGACCAATTCCAAGCAAATACTTTGCCCTACTCGGTCAATACGTCATCGTTTTTTTTATCTAAACACTCACTCTACCGAATGTTTCACCAGCGGCCCACAAACAAAAGGGGCTCACATAAATTTTTTCCCTTCATAAGCATAACCAAAAAAAAAACATTATGAGATAATGAGACCATCGGGCCTATTTGAGTCTAGCCTTAACCAAATGATTTAAAAAAACCACTAAACGATGTATTTCGAGTATAACCGATAGCCCGATAACCCGACCCGACGTCAGTGAGAGGAACAATCTTTGCTTTGTCATTTTGCCTTTGTGAATTTTGTGACTGATTTGTAGTGTACATGCTTGTTTTGCCTTTCTTACAACATTTTGGGGATATCGCTTTGTTGTATTCACTCTCTTGTTTCCTTGACGAACACTTTTACTAGCAAGAAACTCGATCTCTGCACCAGATAGACTAGAGAAAGCATTTTGGTGCTAGGTTAAGCTATTCCCCAATCTATAAAGAAGAAATATGGAGGGGCGTTGTTTACTATTTCGTTATTAACAAGTATCTCGCTATTACACAAGTTAAGATTCGAGTCAAATCTCTAAAATCCCCAAAGCGTTACTGGCTCCTTCATTCCCATCGGTTTCCTACATGCTTCCTTAGCCCTGCTTGTTCACTGATGATGTTCCCAGCTCTCACTTGCCCACTGATGATGTTCCCAGCAGAAGCTCTCACTTGCCCACTAATGATGTTCCCAGCAGAAGCTCTCACTTGTCCACATATGTTGTTCCCAGGAGTAGCTTTCACTTGTCCACTGATGTTGTTCCCAGCTGCAACTCTCACTTGTCCAGCTCCAACTCTTGTAGGGAATAATACTTTGTGTAGCTGTTGTACGATCTTCAACAAGCCCAAAGCAGTTGAAAACTCCTTCTTCAGTGCTTCAATTGTTTCAGTATCAGCAGGATCAAGTATTTCGGATTGTGCTAAAAGAAGCCAAAGACAAACACAAACAGGAGCTTTTGTTGAGATTGAAGAACACATGAAACAAATATTAGCATACACTTATACTATGGTCTATATATGTAAAGGAGTTATATGTCAAACTCATTAACCTAGACTCCTTAACCTAGGGTCTCTTCTCTGTATATATATTGTACTCATTCACATCAATGAGATTATCCAATTCCATAAACCTACATGGTATCAGAGCCGTCACGATCTCTAACCTAAAATTTTTTTCATCGCCACTCTCCTCTTTCATCTCCTCAGATCTCAATCTCTTTGTCTCCATCTCTGTTTTCTCGTCCTCTGTTCTCCATTCCTCTGTCTCAAACACTCACAAATGGCTCACCAAAACAACTCCAACGTTGATGTTGTCCCCGCCACGACCACTTCTCTCCTCAATGTCAACATGGCCAACATCACAAAACTCAACACGTCCAACTACATCATGTGGAGCCGTCAAACTCATGCTCTTCTTGATGGGTATGAGCTCTCTCACTTCCTTGATGAATCTGCTAAGATTCCCGACGCCGTCATCACCACTGATGGTGTTGAAGCTGCCAACCCGGCGTTTGCTCTATGGAAACGGCAAGATCGTCTGATCTACAGTGGCCTAATCGGTGCAATCACTGGATCGATCCAACCACTACTCTCTCATGCTGCAACATCCGCTCAAGTGTGGTCAAAGCTGGCTTCTCTCTATGCCATGCCCAGTCGCGGCCACATCAAGCAACTGAAACTCCAACTGAAACAATGGCAGAAAGGATCTCGCACCATTGATGAATATATGCAAGGTATTGCTACGAGATTTGATCAACTTGCACTTCTGGGTAAGGTTGTGGATCATGAAGATCAAATAGAACAAATCCTAGAAGGTCTTCCAGAAGACTACAAACCGGTGGTAGATCAAACGGAGGGTCGTGAGGTTCCTCCAACAATCACCGAGCTCCATGAAAAGCTGAGAAATCAAGAAGCAAAGCTCATCTCTCTATCGTCACTCACACCAGCAACGTCGTTTCCAGCCTCTGCCAACTACGTCACCAACAAAAGCCGTGGTCCCAACAACAACAACACCAATCGTAACAATTCACGGTCACCACAAAACTATCAACCGTCGGCCTACAACAAGTACCAAGGAAGTCGTCCGCCACGTCCATATCTCGGACATTGCCAACTGTGTGGTACCCAAGGTCATTCCGCAAAACAGTGTTCCCAGTGGACATCGAACACGTCTCGGTCTGCACCACTCCTGCCTACTCCGTCAATGCCTCCAATGACTTGGCAACCCCGTGCAAATCTGGCCATGACCAATCAGCAGCCGCCATCAAACCCATGGGTTGTTGATTCAGGAACCACCCACCACATCACTTCTGATTTAAACAACTTGGCCCTTCACCAACCTTACAATGGAGGTGAAGAAGTTGTTCTCGGTAACGGTTCAAGTATTCCTATCTCTCTTACTGGATCATCTTCTTTATCAACTAGCTCCAAACCATTATCACTGCTAGATGTTCTTTATGTTCCAGATATTCAGAAAAATTTACTTTCTGTTTATCGATTGTGTAATGCTAACAAAGTCTCTGTGGAATTTTTTCCATCATCGTTTCAGGTGAAGGACTTGAGGTCGGGAACCCGGTTGTTCCAAGGCAATACTAGAGGTGAGCTGTACGAATGGCCAGTTCAAAAAATGTCTCCATCTTCCTTTTTCGCATCTCCACAAAATAAAACCACAGCTGAGATTTGGCACTCAAGGCTTGGTCACCCATCATCTCAAATTTTAAAGTCTATTATTTCAAAGTTTTCTTTACCTATTTCTACTTCTTTGTCGAATAATTTTTCTTGCAATGATTGCTTTATCAATAAGAGCCATAAACTCCCGTTTTCTGAAACGTCCATTTCTTCCTCTCGTCCTCTCGAAATTATTTTCTCCGACGTATGGACCTCACCTATAACATCCATAGACAATTACAAATATTACCTCCTCTTTGTTGATCATTTCAGCAGATACTCTTGGTTATATCCTCTCAAGTACAAATCTGATGTCAAAGACATGTTCGTACGGTTTAAAGCTCTCGTTGAAAATAGATTCCAAGAAAAAATTGGAACCCTCTTCTCGGACAACGGCGGTGAATATATAGCCCTACGAAGCTTCCTCGCATCCTCGGGAATCTCTCACCTTACATCTCCTCCTCACACACCAGAACACAATGGATTGGCTGAACGTCGACATCGTCACATAGTCGAAACAGGTCTGTCTCTCTTAAGTCGAGCTTCGGTCCCGAAAACATATTGGCCGTATGCTTTATCAGCGGCGGTATACTTAATAAATAGAATGCCAACCCCAATTCTTTCATCCTCTTCTCCTTACCAAATCCTTTTCAAAACCAATCCAAATTATTCAAAACTTCGAGTTTTCGGGAGCCTCTGTTATCCATGGTTGAGACCATACCAAACAAACAAGCTTGATCCAAAATCAATTCCTTGTGTTTTTCTCGGTTACTCATTAACTCAAAGCGCTTACTTCTGCCTAGAACCCAATTCGCAAAGAATATACACCTCTCGGCATGTTCAATTTGAAGAAACAGTTTTTCCCTTCCAAAAATCAAACACTTCCACTGTCACAAATACGAACTCGTCCTCACAGCCTCCTCCTTCTTCCACAGAAAATTCGATCATCACTGTCCCATTCACGGCTACAGCTCCACCGCTAGTAGTGCTTCCGGAACCGCCGTCGTCTCCGGCTCCAAATCCGTCACCGGAGATGATAAACTCAGGTATGAATTCTACAGAGTCTTTGCCATTGGAACATAACGTGTCTTCTAGTGCAGGTGAAAATCAATCTTCCTCCTCCACCACGTCACATTCAAGCCCCAATCATAATAACAGCCCACCAAATATAACCCAACAAAATCCCTCTTTAAATACAAACCAAACAAACACTTCTCAAAGCCCAACATCTCAACAGGCCCAAACACCAACCCCAAGCCCAAATCATTCCTTATCTTCTACCTCCTCACACGAACCCGACGCTTCTACCTCGTCTCCACAAAATTCACCATCTCCACCACAACAAAATTCACCACCACAACCACCACCAAACAATCACCATCAGATGCAAACACGATCCAAAGCTGGAATCACCAAACCGAACGCAAAATACACTCTTCTCGCCTCTACACAAGCCAAGTCGGATATTGAACCGAGAACAACGACGGAAGCTCTAGCAGATGAGCGATGGCGAAATGCAATGAGTACTGAGTTCAATGCTCATGTCAAAATGCAAACATGGGATTTGGTTCCACCATCACCAACACAAAATCTAGTCGGAAACCGGTGGCTCTTTACAACAAAATATCAAGCGGATGGGACTCTCGATCGGTACAAAGCGCGATTGGTTGCTAAAGGGTACCACCAACAACCTGGAATTGACTATACCGAAACCTTCAGCCCCGTAATTAAGTCTACAACAATCCGAATTGTTCTTGGAGTTGCTGTTTCTAAAGACTGGAAAATTCGCCAATTGGATGTAAACAATGCCTTCCTCCAAGGCACGCTCACCGAAGATGTGTATATGCCACAACCACAAGGGTTTATTGACAAAGACAGACCCGACTACGTTTGTCACCTTAAAAAGGCACTCTACGGTCTCAAACAGGCACCTCGAGCGTGGTATCTTGAACTCAAAAATTATCTCTTACAAGCAGGATTCACAAACTCGCTGGCAGACACGTCCTTGTTTATATTTCGGCAAGGTAGTGATATCATCTACATTCTCATCTATGTTGATGATATTGTTGTGACAGGAAACAACAGTGATCTTATCGAACGTACCATCACTGCTTTCTCCAAACGATTCTCCACAAAGGATCTTGGAAATCTGTCGTATTTTCTCGGCATTGAGGTAAAGAGAATACGATCAGGACTACACCTGTCTCAACGCAAGTATATCTCCGATCTCCTGGTTCGTAACAACATGATCACTGCTAAACCGGTAGCAACGCCAATGGCAACGAC